CCTTGGGATAATTAGCAGATATAGGAGGAAAACTTTCTATAACCTCCCTTGCACGCGAACCCTCAACAGTCGCTTGTAATAAATATTGAAATTTATCACTATCAGAAATCGTAGTATCTTTGTTAATTTTTTCAAACTGACTCCGAAACAATAACCATTCCTTAATTTTCACCATCAAATTTTCGTAATTCAAGCTTTGGAATTTTAAATGTACGCTTACATACATTCTCATTAACAGATTCATTCAAAATTAAATTCGAAGTACTTACATTTTGTAGATTCTGAAGAATATCTTTCACTTTAGTTTCGATTCTTAATGGCCTTGTCACGATAATCTTCGATAACATTGAATTCTGCTTCAATTTCGTTTCCGGACAGTGTGCGGAACGTATCTTCCAAACGTTGAACTTTCGAAACAAAAAAATTAAGCTCCGACTGTAATTCAGAAGAATTTATCTCACTTTTCTTTAAAATTTCTTCTAAAACATTGAAGGATTTTGTAAAAGCAGCTCTGTGAAGCTTCTTTTCAAGTTTAATAGCTTCTTTAGCTTCCATTTTTATACTTTAGAATTCCAAACTAATGTCTCTTGTTTCCCGCCGAGGGTACTATTAAAATGTTCGCTTATGCGTCAAACTATTACGCTACCAGCCTATCACGGACTCTAAAGAGACTACTATATTTAAAAGTATTCATTTATTTAATAAAACATCACTCAGGTATATAACATACAATTAATCTTCAATAAACCTAACTAACTACAGAAACATATTTTCCTAATTCTATAAATTGCCCTTCTGCCACTCTCTAGAAACCAAACTAACAACAATTATTAGTGGCCAAAAAGTAAAAATAATAAGTATTGTAAAAATATAATTTAAGTAAAAAATTAAAGGAAAGTAAGTACAAAATACAAACTACATTGTTTTGAAATCCAACAAAAGCATGGACGAATTTCACATTGCGGGTGAAAAGAAGGGAAATCGTTGTTTGGGATTGATTGTGTGCAACTGATTTAGTTGAAATAAAGGCGAGTTTTTTGCTCCGAAGTTTACATTTAAAGTACTGTACCTGTGTGTTATACAAGGGGTGATCAAATGAAAAGGTACGAAACGACGTAAAAACGTAACAGATAATATTTGCATATTCCGCCTTGTGAGAACGTAGCGAAACATCTCGGGATGTGATTGGAGTCTCTGCAGCGTCCAAATGTTGCGGCAGTCCGTATGAGGACAGGATGGCGTTCGCGTTGCAAAATTCGACGACTGAGGAGCAGCGAGGTGTTTCTGACAAAGGAAGGTGAGAAACCGGCAGCTATTCATCGCCGGATGGTGACATTTTACGGGGAGAAATGTGTCTCTTTCACGTCTGTTAGAAAATGGAGTGCCGTTTTCGTGCAGGCCGTGAGAGTGTGGGTAATGACCCGAGACCAGGCCAGGCAAACACTGTCATCACGAGGGATCTCATCGACACGGTGAACGACCTAATGAGAAGTGATCGGCGTGTCACATTGCGAATGTTGACGGGGAAGGTGGATGTCAGCTATGGAACCGTGTGGACAATTGTTCACAACAGGTTGCGATATCGGAAGGTGTGTGCCGCTTGGGTTCCGAAGCACCTCACCGACCAGCAAAAGGGACTGCGTATGGGGGTAGCACTGCAACATCTGTTTCGGTATTAGGAAGACTCCGCTTTCATGGAGCGGATCGTCACAGGTGATGAGACCTGGTGCCATCACTACGAGCCAGAGACAAAGCGAGCCAGCATGCAGTGAAAGGATGCGTCGTCACCTCCCACTAAAAAGTTCAAAGCCGTGCCGTCAAGCAGGCAAGGTGTTGCTCACCGTCTTTTTCGACGTTCAAGGTCCGCTATTTGTAGAATTCCTCGAGTACAGAAAAACCATTAACTCCGATGTGTACTGTGAGACACTCCGACGCCTACACAGGTCCATCAAGAACAAAAGACCGGGGCGGCTCACGGAGGGTGTGGTTTTGCTCCATGATAACGAGCGTCTACACGTCTCCAGAGTCACACACATGGAACTAGCCAAGTTGAAGTGGGAGACGTTGGACCATTCGCCCTACAGTCCGGACATGTCACCCTGCGATTTCCATGCGTTTGATCCACTGAAGAAACACCTGAAAGGGAAGCGCTTTAACTCGGACGACGTACTCAAGGACGCTGTGAAGGACTGGGTCTCGTTACGGCCACAGGAATTCTGGGAACAAGGAATCCTTGCGGCTTGTTCATCAGTGGGATCGCTGTGCTCAGGCCTATGATGTATATTTTGAATAAAGTCTACATTTGTACCCACCGTGTCGTTTGTCGTTTCATACCTTTTCATTTGATCACCCCTTGTATGTACAACATTAATGTTTATCAATATTTAATAATATTTTTACCCGAAACATTGAATGCAGTGAAGCTTTTGTTTACTTTCATGTTTTGTTTTGTTAAATTTACTGCTCACAGTTTGAGTTGTATTTTAAATTATCCACCTCCGTTTAATCTTTATTTAATATTGTAGTATATTCTTAGAAAAATAATCAGTCAATAAGGAGTTAATTTTAAATGACGTTTTATTAACATCTAACAACAACATACAGGAAAACGATAAAACTTAAAATGGAATTACATAGTTTTTTTCAAAGTTCAGAGCGTGAGTTCAAACAATCACATCTCACTTCTGCAGCTCGCGTGCGTTGAATTAAGTATTTTCTCTATATCGTCGGTAGAGCGTGTTGCCGACGATATTCATTTGTTACAATATCATTTATTTATTGTTAACTTCGTTTAATGTTTTTTTTTATCTTATCGCTAAGTCTCAAAATGAATATAAAACTTTCAAGGTGGATTTATTCCTTACGCTTTAATTCTCTCATTCGCATTCCTGTGTATTTTATAATGTAGCGAATTTCACGCGTTCGCTTATTTGAATCACTAGAAAACAGGAGGCTTATTAGTAATTCTGAAAGTGTAAGGAAGAATAGTATTTATTGCGTTTTAAATCAAAAACTAAAAGGGATTAATCTGTGTTGATTAATTAGCGACAAGAAAAGCGACAGCAAAAGATATGAAAAACTTTGAAAAGAAAAGAAATAGTGTTCTGAAAGACATTAGCATAATATATAAGGTATAAGATGAGACATAAAATAGAGATCTTGAAACTGAGAAACTCGTGGAAGAACTGCAGCAAAATAAAAGAAATTTTGCAAAAGGACTTGGGCAACATTCTAGTTGAAATGGAGCAAATAACAAAAGAAAAACTTCATGATAAAGAAGTAACACGTCGACTGCTTAAAAACAAAGAGAAATTACAAAAAGATTTGCTTGAAGTAAGGACGAGAGAAGGTGCTAAACTCTGAAAAAAAAAAAGAGGAAGCTATAAATATTTTTAAAAAACTAAATTGAAATATTTTACAGATTTGCTAAAACATCAAAGATAAATGTCCGCTTCGATACCAAATGACAGAAGATAATTTTGAACTCATAAAGCATTTAGAAACAGAAACTGTATTGGCAGAATTAGTTACATTGAACTATCGTATATTTCTACTATTATATTTGTTATATATTTTATCTATTTATTTATTTATTTAATATATATTTTGACATTAACATGTATTCAAATTTATATTATTATGTGTTAGAGAAAATTCTCCAACCAAAATTTTTATTTAAGATATGTTAATGTGAATACAACTATTGTATAAAATTTATCTGTAAACCAGCCACATAATGGCCATGTAAAAATTCAAGGATTGATAATAAATACTATATAAGGCGGACATGGGCAGAACTGATTAACCGTAATGGTAGAAGGATGGTGCCCCACGTCCTCCGTTACTACTACTACTACTTTTCCTATAGACTTGACTGCTGAACTTAAACAAAATGCTGAAGAAATGGAAATATAAATTTGGCGGAGGAGGAATGATTAGTAAGTGGGTAAAATTCAGTTATTTGCTTTGGGTTTATTTTACATTTAAAGTTTCAGGTTCGTGTCAGGTGTAAATTAGAAATATAGTTCGACCGTCTCAAACCCAACCCTGGCTGGCATTCTGCCAAAACACACAGACTCGTCCAAAAGAGGCGTTATTACTTGCTGCGACGTGAAAGGTCACATCAAAGCCTTCTCTTCTCTGGAAAGAGATATGCTGGAGAGAAAGAAAGCCACCATCTTTCCACCCCATTTTGAGAATAATTCTGTCCACAACAATTAGCATGCTCGCTTCGAATGAGGGATGCCTTACAAATATTATCAACATACACAAATTTAAGACTTAGAACAATTTTTTGATAAAGCCTAAAACACACGTTTCACTTCACTTCTTGGCATTATAGTTCCCATTTCGCAAAAGGACTAAAATAGCAATTCGTGGACAAAAATCGAAGGTACTGCAAATTTTTATGGAGTAAGATATTTATCTTAATCAAATTATAATAGTGAATTATTTAACAGCGAGAAGCAAAGTGAGCAATTTAAAATCAACATGTATTTATTAACAACATTTTGCAATTGCGTGAAAACAAACAAAGAGACTGTGCTTTATATGTATTTTTTATACAAATCATTTAAATTTGGGCAGTGGCAGCATATTTCTTTTAAATCCCTCAGTTTTTTCATAAATTCTAAAAACAAGTGCATTGCATTTTGCGGAATGATAAAACGTCGAGTTTTCGTATTAAATTTGAAACACATATATCTTATGCTTTGCAGAGTGACTGTACAAAGATTTTAAAATACAGTGATTTTAATCAAAAGTTCATTAAATTCGCGCAGAATCAAAATGTATGTAAAGAGTGTGGACGTCGTGAGGTGGTCTTTCGAAATCTTGTGTAGAACTTTCCTCGAGTTTTCAAGCTAAGTATGTAAAATATCATCAAGATATGAATAAAACTTAGATTTGTATGAATTACACGCATACAAACAAATGTACACTCTTCTTCATATATATAAATGTGATAGCTGACTTAAATTTGAATTTGTTACAATCTTCAGATACCCATTTCTTGATTGGAGGAGATTTAAAACCGCATCCAGACGGAAATAAAGTACCCAATGAAAATGGAAGGTAAGCATTTTCTGTGCTTTCGAAATATTTAAATTTCTTATTCTATGAGAAAAGAAATTAGTTTTAGATATTTTTGTGTGAAGGAAACTTGCCTTTAGCGACATTTACATAAAAGGTTAAGAACCTTTTATGTAAATGTCGCTAACAATATAATAAGAATAAACGAAAGTGACATAAGTTCTAAAAATCCTATTTAAAATTAAAGTATCATGTAAGGACGGACAAGTTTGCTTCCAAATGTGTTCATATGAGCAAGTTTTAATTACTGTTGACTTGATAATGGATTTTAAATTGTAGAGACATTAGGTTAGTTTGGAAGCATAAAAAGTGAGAAATGAACAATGCCCGCGCCGGGACTCGAACCATAGACCTCTCGAGTATACGCTAAGTGTGCTGACCACTATACGACGAAGAAGACTATGTTAAGAAGGCGGGAGAAATACCTTATATACTCCCCCTTTTTAAAGGCAACTGGAGGATTAGGGCACCCAGTCGCCAAATCCTGGTGGTGAAGAATCATCATCCACCACCGTTTTTAGTTTGGGCGCCACTGTAGAGATATTAGGTTATTTTGGAAGCAGGAAAGGTGAGAAATGAACAATGTGCTGACCACTGCATCACGAAGGCATGCTAAAAAGGCGGGAGAAATACCTTATGAAATAAAGAAAAGTAAACCATAAATAAAAAGAAAGCTCGCTTCAGTGAATAGATAAGATAACAATAATATTTGTTAATTGCAGGTCTAATTAAAATATATGACGTCAAATATCATCTAATAAGTATTCTTGCTTAGAATTTCAATTCAAAAATTAAGATTAAATTTATTTTCTGGTGTTACGGATTAAGTGTAAATTAATTTTGCTTATCCAGAATTCCATTTACCTGGATCATTTTTATTCATTTCAAGCCAAGGATAATCAAACTTAAAGCAGTGTAATTAGTTAAAAGCGGTTTTAATTTCTTCTCGGATATTAAATAATATAAAAAATATAATATAGTAAATTAAATAATTTTAAGAAGCTATTAAATGAAATCAATTGAATAAGCACACATGTAGAATGATCTGGAATGTTTAATAGATGTATATTCTTACAAGCACTAAGAAAAAAAGAAATCACATACTAGTTATACACTACCTTAAACATGTTTTGTGAACACCATGAATCATTGTATACCCATAAATTGCGCCTTATTTCTGAAAGTAGATTAAACAATCATAGTGATACTATATTAATTCTCTTCTAAGCGGAAGGAGTTTATATTTCCAACGTTTAGGCAATAAACGATTGTCTAATTTTACTACAATAGAAAGAAAAACTATCTTTTAAGGTCTACAAAGGTAAAATTTATAGTTGTTATTATTTATTTTTGTTTTAGCATAAACAGAAATAAAATATGTGTTTAGGCAAATAAAAATTAATATGATTGTTTAAATTTGTCAGATAAAGGGGAGTTCTGCGTTTTATTGTACGGAATCTTTTTTAGCTTTCCGTTTGTTGAAATAAAACGTGATAAGCAAAAAGAAAAAAAAAATAATAATAATAACAATTTTCTCTCACTTGCAGTATGAAATGCGTATTTAGCCCACAGGGAAAAAGAAAGTAATTTTAATGATTGTTCCAGAACATTTGAGTAACTCGGAATATATTTTAAAGGCAATTATATTTTGAGAGTATAGTAAAGACCTATAATCCCAATTTTTTCGAATAAATTTGAAGTCCTGACGTTCAAACGTATTGGGTGCCGTATCACTGCAACTCGAAACTCTTGACGTGAACTAAAAATTCTCCAGTAGAAGTACAGTGTATTAGTTCGTCAACACCATAAATTAATAAAATTGCTCAAAATTCCTTAAAATATGATAACTGTTCATTGTGAAAAATGGTTCTTCTTCCTCTATTAAAGAACAAATAAGAACTGACGTATACCATTGGTATCATCATTTCTCTTTGGGTGCCGTGAGCATAGAACCACCGAATCCCATCTTTACGAATGTTATAAATACTTTGGAAGTCTTACTTTTCCTTAATCACCGATGGCAACTGTTAAAGCAAATTTTTGTAGTAATTGACTGTAAAAATAACTGTTAGCAAACCTTTATAGTAATTAACGAATTATCTTATTATTTTAGCTGTATCCCACTTTTTTTCAGATCTTACTGGATGTAAATTAGATGCATGCATATCAGAACAGAGTTAGAACAAAGACAATGTTTGAGAGCGATCTTTGGCAGCAACATTGACCATTGTGCTATTTTTCCGCCCAAATCTAAATTACTTTAGGCTGGAGTTAGACTTTTGCCAGCCGAGATACTCGCGTAATTAGTTTAGAAATTGAGACAACGCTTGTTTGACTTTTGCATTTGTGAATCTTCTTCAGCCATAAATTATTTTGAGTTTTCATTCACATTCGAACATGAATCTTTCAAATGAAGCCAAAGTAAAATCATTTATACCATTTATACCAAACAATGCAAAAAAGGATTATGGATGAAAAGTAGCTTGAATTCGTATTTGTAAGAATTCTCCCTTACAAATTCTTCCCTTTCACTATCCCCCCCCCAAAAAAAAACAGTTTGAAAGAAAACAGCGCAAACTAATTGTTTGTACTGTAGTGAAAACAAAATTAAATAAAAAGGTTATTTAGCAGTTTAATAAGGTGTATGGTCGCATCTGGTAGCCACGCATGCTGTACAATGATTGCCGATAAGTGCTATAAGAGTGTGGATGAATGGTGGCCTCAAAACAGTTCCAAGAATTAAAGAAAGCTCTTTTCAGTCTGGAATGCAGTTTGGTGGGTGCGGAAGAGCTGCAGTTTGTATCCCGAGCATATCCCACACATGCTGAATAGGATAAAGATCAGGAGAGGAAGCGGGCCACTGCATGCGCTGGGCATTTTCACTTTGAAGGAACTTGTGGATCATGATCGCATGGTGACAAGGTGCGTTATCATCAATGAATATGAATCCAGGACCAACAGCACCTCTAAACAGGTGAACATAAAAACTCAAGGACTTCGTCCCTATACCTTTTAGCAATAATAGACCTCTTGTCAAACACGGGGGTCTGTGTGGCCATCCAGAATTATGAGGCCTTTGAAGGAAAGCCTTTAAAGGATTCCAGCCTATGAAAGAAAAGGATGCCTCCATGCCTTCTTTTCAGTGATGTTTCTTGGGTGAAAACGAGTTCAACGTTCTCTCCATATTGATATCCGACAAGAATAAGTGTTCAGTATAAACCGGAACTTGTCATTGAACATCATATTGGCCCACTCTTTAAAACTCTAGCGCTGATGCTTCAAACTCCAGTTTAGACGCGAGTGTTTATGAGCAGACGTGAGAGAAATGCAATTGGCTGGTCGTCTGGCATACAAACCAGCATCATAGATTCTTCTAGAAAACGTTTGCCTCGAAACTCGTACTTCTTTGAGGCTGTGAAAGCTGAACCGAGTTCTCTGACACAACTGTCCCCCTGTCGAGGCAGATAATTGCCAAATATCTGTCTCTACTAATGTTTCTTACTCTTGGTCGACTTCGTACTGGTCGTCGTGTAACACCTCTGTCACAGTCTTGAGATCATACACGGAGGTATATTCAGAATTTGAGATATTTCGATTTGAAATCATCCAGATTCCAATATTCCAATAATTCTTCCTTTCAAAAACATGTTTGTTTGGCTCTTTGTGCCATCCTTCGGCCTTTACGATTGTTTGACTCGTTCCTCAGCATAGTAAATGCACATTACCTTCTAATCTCCCTATGGCAGATGAAATGGTTTTATACTCTTTTTGGCGTGAGCACATATTTTGCGCATGCCGACGTCGATTGAAGTGTTTTTTGATATGCACACTGTTGCACCTTCAAACAAAAATTCTCCACAAGTGATTTCGAACAATTTAATTAATATTTCTTCAAGTTCTTCCACATTTTACGAATTATGCTTCATATTTGGTCACCAGTGTACAAGCACACTTCCTCCAACTTCCTCAGAAACAGTTCGTGAAGAGCATATTAAATAATCTTTAACTGTATGTCTAAATTTAATACTTTTGTTTTTTTATATTCACATATCTTAGGCAGGAAAAGTTAATAATATTTAAATAATAAAGTACATTCTATATGAAAAATAAACTGAGCTGTAACAGAATGGATATATATATCTATATATACAGAATGGGTGTATATATATATATATGTACCCATTCTGTTATGTTGTTCATATGTTCCGGTTAAAGTTTTCATGCTTTTAATTATTCTAAACTTCGAGGAATAAGTTTAAATGAAATGCAGGAAGAATGTGCATGATTTAATAGGCCGTACAAGAAGGTCTTGTCGTGTCTACATCAGATATTTTGTTTATGTTTTAGAAATATTGCTCACTTTTATCAGCGGATGTTCGAAAGTACCTTGGCTTAACAATCGACAAGAAATTCTTGTGGATTCCTGACCTACAAAATATTAAACTTCATACAATATCAATAGATAACTGCCTATGATGTATGCAGGCATATAAATGAGTCTTCAATCCCTATATATAACACGGATTCTTCTAAAAGCTGTCATATCGTAAATGGTAAATTACGAGGCCGTAATTTGAGCACAACTAATAAAAGTGAGAAAGATTAAATGTTTAAATTCATTCAAAGCCTTTTACTCTTTGCTTTACTCGGGCGTATCGTGCAATTTCAAACATACTTTAGCTAGTACTCTTTCACTATCAATCAATGCAGAAATAGAAAGCACCTATGTGAAATTCATTCAACTTAAGGAAACTACAGAATTTAACAACCAAACCATTCTATCTTCCAACTATGAAAAGAAAATTAACTCCAATATTATTCATCCAGCTTCGCCTCAGCAAAATAAAATTCCCCATGTCTGACGAAAATTCAAGTAGTTCATCTACAACTGTATATACTGTAGGAAAAGTTGGATGTATAAGAAATTGAAGGGAAAATTGGTTCAGTAGTCTATTTTCAAATTGCCCCTTCAAATATTATCAAATGCAAAGGCCATCTCCATAATAATAATAGTGTTTTCCAAATGGAATTGCCAGCCATAAAAGCAGTGATACAAATAGCCATTTTCATTGATCCCTAATGCAAGCTTCTCATCTCTGTACTCAAATCCCTCATTAAATTATTATATACCAGGACATGGATTCTTCCCCACATATTTCTGTCCAAGAAATATGGCAAACTCCGATATCTACATATGTGGGGAACAGGGAACTCATGATTGTTACACTTCTCATACTCTTTAACTAAGTATATTCACATAATCCTGTATAAAATCCTCACAAATTGATCACCTGGCATTCCAAAGTTTTCTAATCAAAGCTAAACATCAGTATCCGAAGTTTAAAAAAATTATGCAACGACTGTCTTCCTACGACCTAGATCTTTGTCGAGTGTAAGTTCTTATCCTGCATAAATTTAGTGAACTTTTACATGCTGTGAATATATACAAAGTGACTCCACTCGTGAACTTTATAAACTGTAATAAACTTTTATATCTGAAGTAGCCCATGGACACCTACCTCTTTAGTATTATTATTGCAGTTCATTATAACATTGTGTTCCCAGTACAATATTTAGCTATCTCATTATGTTTATCTGTATACTAATTATGTTCATCTCTTATTTTTGTTACACGAAAACAGATGTTCAATTTAATTTGAAAATTTCAGATTTTATTGAGACTGTATTGTAATCTCTTTATGGCCTAAATCATTACTTTTAATAAATACTAAATGCCGGGCGTATGGTGGGATTGCACGATGTACCATAATAGGTAAATTTCCTTTGTAAATTCTTATAAAGCTTACATTTTCTCCATTTCTCTCTTTCGCGCTCGCACTCTCTTTCTCTTTGCATATTAGTTTTATTGCGCGAAATAGTATTTTGAAATTATATTTTACTGTATTAATTTAATGTTTCTGAAAAATAATATTTGTATGGCTTGTTTCAATACGCAAACGTTTTTTGAGTGTGTTAATTTTTAATACATTTTTATTCTGGGTAGGCCATATTTCTTTCTGGGTAGGCTGTTTGATAACAATAAAAGAATGAGAACATTTAGCCAAACAAAATGTTTCTTTGAAAGTAAATACTTTGAGCTAAATTTCCATACTGACATTTACCGCATTAAAGTACTTATTAAAACAAGAATATAAGTTTATGTATATCCCGTCACACATATCTGCCGTTAGTCTATTGAGAAATGTAGTTCTAATATTTGCCGCCCAACCGGTACAGTTGTTAACGACGATGACTGCCGCGCCGAAGGGCCCGGGTTCGAATCCCAGAGAAGGAATGAATGATTCTAAATTTATAGTGTCTATGTGATATGGGGGATTTTAAATATGCGGCGAGCCGAAAGGATACTCGAGAGGTTGGAGATAGGGGACGAGATCCTCCGACCCGTCCCCCCCCGGGATGTTCTCCATTAAAATTAGGGACAGAACTGAGCTAAATCACACTGTCACTTTTAAGGTGCTCAAGGCTGTTGCCAATGGCAGGCATAATTTTGCGCTACTTGTCACGAGAAATTTCGTGGGCTTGGGCTGACTATACGTCAGACAAGGATCACCACCAACCACAACCGTTATAATGTTTGCTGTTTTTGTATTGCTTGTCAGCAAAGCGCTTTGAGCCCAAAAACTTTCTGTAATTTTAGGAAACTCGAGCAGGGTGAATTTAGGACTGTTGGCCGGGCGATGTTTAAATTTTTGCCGAAACTCTAAAACGATTGGATGGATGCGGTTGCATGTGGCAGTGCTTGTCCTGGAGGATGATCAGTATGTTATTACAAAGTTAGTTTGCTGAGAGCAAAAATACCTTGCCAATGGTAACTACATTTCTTAATGTGCCTACCTCAATGGTAGCAGATGTTGCAAGAGCATACAGAATCTTCTTATACAATACGATATAGTTCTCAGTGCAGTAAATATTCATCTGGAATAACAGAAAAGTACGTGCTTTCCAAAGATAGTGTTTTTAATTACTGTTCGTTTTTTATTACCAAACGGATACAAATTTCTGGGCTTGAGTTGTAATATGTAATTATATTTTAATTAATTCCTCAGTATCATAAGCTCTAATCGACAAATTAATGAAAGCATTCCAGTTGAATAAATTTGCATATGTTCTTAGGCTTGACCTGCAGGCATACCATGGAGAAAGTATTGAAATCAGACTGCCAAACGATCAGTTAATAATGGAAATGAGATGGCTATCAATATATAGTACATCATTGAAAGAGGACTTCGGACATGTCTCCATTCCTGAGAATCTGAACGTGCCAGCTGATCTACAAGAATTCAAGGCTTTATTTCGAAACGTAAGCAAAAAATTTTTATTTTTCCTTTTTCTAATTCTTACATTCTGAGCATCGAAGGCAATGATTGAGAAGAAAATGAAGATATATAGATTTCAGTCAAATAAAAGTAAATAGCGTGAAGAGCGCAACTATCAAACAGTTAAAATTTCTTGTATGACTTGGTGAAATCGTAATATTCGGAGATTCCAGTTTTTCCCTGAGTAGACGGTATCCAAAGCCGCATGCCGTCTTCAGTAGGTCAATAACAAAAGAAATATCTTGAATTCTGCATTATTTCCTAATTTAAACACTGTTAAGAAGCCTGGTATAAACGGAAATCAAAATATGAAGTCTAGAAAACTTATATAGTTTATACTCAGACGTAATCCAAATATGTTTTAATTTTTTAAAACTTAAAAGCCTCAACTAGGTGATAATATATTTATTGAAGAAATATTACGAGTTTAGGAGTGTTGAATTCTTTAAAGTACACTGCACCATTGCCCAGGGTCGAACACGGGCTTACGGATAAACAGCTCGATATGGTGGTTATACGGCACGTAAAATATATATGTCTTAATTTCTTGCAATTCTATTTATTTTTATTATTTCGATTTATCTATATTAATAAAAATAAAAATGCAATTTAGGCAGAAAGGCTTTTCATCTGTTAGTACGCTTCATAACAGTTATGGCTAATTTCTTTATAGCTTTCCAACAATGCTATTAGAATAATAATTGTTTAATTCCAAAAATTTCCACTGGTAGTTCCGACCTCGGTTCCATTCCAGTCTAACGGGCTGTCTGCATGGGTGTTTTCGTGGTGTTATACAGGTGAAACGTATATACGAGCCAGTTTTCTTTAGAAAGTCAACCACGAATGTATCCCTCCTCTTAGGCAGATAGCCCTAGTGTGCTTTTCCGTAATCAACTAAACCAAACCAATTCTATAGAATTTGAGAAATAATGAATATCCATATCATATGCAATAATTATTTTTTCGAACTTTTTTTGAAAACGTTCATGTATCAGCAATGATAACGATTTCAAGATAAAAACCTTTTGAAGATAATTAAAAAATGAGTAGACATTCTTAGTAACTTTTTTATTGTATTAATATATTATTTTTTTTTTCATTTCTCGGTGTATTCAGTAACGCGGAAAGAAATCGTTTTGTGACAATAAACAATTTTAGTCTGTTAATCTGGTGTCGTTAGAGCTTTGAATATGTCGTATTATACCCGTAACATTATTTTAACTCCACAGAATATGTAACATCATGCTTATTAAATTTCTGAATCTACTTCGATTACCATTAATAATTGTATCTGATCATAAATTAGCGTAACTTGCACAGCAGTATGTTTATATATCTTCTGATAGTAAAAGACATGACAGTTTAATTAGAATATATAGTATTATTATGATTTTCTTCTATTTCGAAGCAAATCCATTCTCCTATTAGTTCTTCCCCGATTTTTTTCCCTATTCAGTTCACAGATAATTAGATGAAAATTATAGGTGAAAATTGTAGGTGATATTTAACTATGCTAGTGTCCAAAATTAAAGTTACAAGCACACTTTTGCAATAACTAGAATTAGCGCTTTAAACCCATTAGCGCTTTAAAACATGATGCCATATATATTTTAATATAAGCATTTAGTGTTTATTAAAACGTTAAAAAGAAGCGGTAAATGCTTAAGTGACTGGCTGAAAAATCCGGGGAAATTGGTATATAGTGTTGTATTGGAGATTGTTGTACTATTCATTTTTAGCATAAAATATAAATGATTGTCTTTCCAAATTGGCAACCATGGTATAAATTCTAAGGATGTAACGGTCACTTGTGTTTTATTATTATTATAGTAGTTTCAATTATCGTATGCTTTGTAGCTATAATTCTTATAAAATAAATTAGCTCTTCGTTTTTCTTGCTCAGTATAACATTGTGACCCTCTTAATTTGTAACAATGGGTTTCGTGTATTGATTGATTGGTTTCAGTTAAAATGAGTTATTGCTATGATGGGCGTCGGTAATCTTGAGACTGGCTGATCTTAAGCTCTGATAATTACAAGTGTCTGTAATAGTGATATCCACAAGATCTAAAGTGTGTGTGCCATTAGGCCAAACCAAGGATGTCGAAGAACTATATCTGTGGAAGACTGATACGTCACTTTAAACACACGGTGCCATAAAGAAATAACGCCTTGAGAGATCTGTCACAGTTAAATTTGAAATAATAATTTCTACGTAAATTGTATACAGACGCCTAACAGAGAATGCTCTTTGCAGCCAGTCACCAGTGGTATATGTTCCATTCAACAGATCGCAGAAGATTCCGTCTTTTGTGTAGCCAAGTACACCATTCTTCGACACAAAATGACTGTTGCTATGTCCTCTTTAGTCGAGTCGAGATTTAAATAGCCATGTAGCCCGTTATCGTCCGTAAACGTAAAGGAAATGGACAAATCTGGTGAAAATGGAATTCTTATGGGAGTGGAGCGTCACGGTGGATGGCCAGACACGACTTTATGTTCTCGATGTAGGTATTGTAATCGCACATCATTGATGAGGTTCTTGAAACTTTACGTGAGGCTTTTCTGGTGAGCTGCTGAAAAGGATTTTCTTCGTAGTCGATAACGTGAGGACCCAAAGAGGTTAACTGGTCGATGAGTTTTTGGAAAAAATGAGTATTCGCCGTATTTTGTCACCACTAAAGTGGCCAGACTTACATTCAATACAGTAAACTAAGAATCTAAGGGGAACCATTATATGATGTCAGCATTCTCAAAGAACCTTCCAGGCATTAAAGTATTTGCCTTTAAAGCTATGATCGAGGTTATGTATGAGATTATTTGTATTATTCTAAAATACGCTAGAGTTATTGGCCTAAAGGAAGGGATGCCTTCAGGAAAGATATTTTAAGGGTAACTGGTTCGCATTCCTGTTACATAAGGAGAAAACCACGAAACCTGCCATGCAGGTATAGCCCGTCATCCAGATCTAAACCTGGGTGGCATCACCAGTATTCAGTAATTGTACCACGGCCTCTGGTGGGCACAGGCTGTAATGATCAACACGTTCGCTGCCAGACTGATTAAGTGTATCGGTTCACACGCGCCAAGAACCTGTCTGCATTTTTATGCATTTAAATTGTTCTCAGTTGTTTTATTATTTGAATGTAGACATAACACATTACCTTTAGTAGTAACTAAATTCATACGAGTATACTCGTGCTTGATATACGAAATATTATTTTGGCTCTTTGTGGCAACTATGAGATAAAATCAGAACTAGAAAACAATATTCACACTTTCTGCGCATTCACAGAAAACTCTGCGCGTATGATATGTTATTTTCCATTAGTCCCACACGAGTCACCGAAAGCAATCCGCTTACAGGATTTCACAAGTAAATAATAGCCCCTCAATAAAAAAACGGTTTTTGCCTTCTAAACATTTAATTATAATTTGAGAAATAAATTATCCATTTCAGTACGTCAAATAGATGACTTAGCCCCTTCCTGCACGATTATCACCTAAGCATCGTTTTGCCTTGAAAGACCGAAATCTGGAGAATTCTCGATATTCTAAAGACATTTTCGACATTTCTGGTCGACATTCTCCAGCGAATTTCAATGGTCACATAGTCACTTGCTGTTTGTCCGAAAAAAATATTTTTGTTACGTTTTTAGTTCATACTTGTAACACCAAGCATATACTTAATTACCTGATTGATGTTATACAATCCTGTTTAATACAAAACATGAATTGTTGTAACATTTTGAATTACACAAGAGTATGTTGCTTTTCTTCTCTGTCTGTATTCGTGGCTTCTCGTTTCGACCTCCACCAGAGCTTATCTGTGTTTGTCTACATACACCAGTGATGCTCTGAATAAATAAGAACATAACCAAATAATCGGTTTTTTACGGTAACAATTACTACATGCGTTTACTGAGGCAATACTCGTACTCGGTCATTCAGGTAAGGCGATCAATAACGAGTTATCTTGCAGCTGACAAGTAAACTCAATTTGCCAACTGCAAATATTCTGGTAATTAGCAATGAACACGTTAACATTTTTAAGCTTATTATATTATTGTGAGACATGTAAACCTATGCGCGACTGCCAGACTCTGTGTTAGCGTACCGTTCTGGAAATATGAAGTGCTAGGTTTTGGTTACTTCGGGATTCATTTCACGTATCGCAAAACATGCAACAGTGATTATTTCCTAATATTATTGCCGGTTGTTTCACTGTACTGGGCATATATATGCTGTACACTAGGAGAAAGTGGCGCCCAGACCTGACTAGACCTAGAATGACTGCCTTATGCAGTTAAACGCCCCAATCCATAGAGGCGATCCAAGGAGGCATAACATCGCTTTCAAACCAGGAAAACAATTTTTGCTTCACAAGGTCTGGGTTTATGGAATAATTAACAGGGTGGACGGCAACATATCCACCACAAAGAGAACAAAGTTATAGTTAGATATCGACCGTCACACAGTTTTGACCAAAAGCAGCCAAACCCGAGGCACAATCTTCGATATCAAAACATGTAACGTCCACACAACCAATGGGCAGACAAGACAGTACCATATGATCCCTTCTGAACCTGAACCTACCACCGAATAAACAATAGTTCTAATCACTGTGTAGACTTAATTTTTTCCCAGAAGTCGAGTCTGTCTAGGTATTGGCCTAGCCAAAACGCCTGGATTGCTTCCAGTCGAGACCCCCCCCCAAGTGGGAGGCATATATATACAAAAGGTCATTCTAACAAACCAATCATGTTTCAAGGTATGATTTTTGTGCTTGGAACTTCAGTTCTAGGTACCAAAGTAATTGATCCCTGGTATTTAACATATAATAGAGTCAGTTTTAAAGATAGCTAAATTTCTCGTTTTTAGTATGAGACATAATAACTTAATGATAAGAAAGTATTTTAAAAATTGTAGAAGTAGATTCTAAATTTTAAGATACGGAGTGTTACATCATAAGTTAAAATATCATTCATTATATCTGAATAAATTACTGCTCAAGATACAAGATCTTCTGTAATGAATTGAGCTTACACTGAATGCTTAATAAATATGAAGGATTTAGCATTCTAAGTAAAACTTTTATAACCTGTTGAGAATTCATTATATTTATACTTCTGTTAGAAATATTAGGATTTTATTTTAAAATATATATAGTTAATCTTCTTAAATGAGTCATTTTACGAAACTCCATAGCTACGGGTTAGGTTATGCACGATATATCAGTGTCAAGAACTTAGAAATAATTTTTTATCAAGAAAATTCTAGTGGGAAAGAAGCTTGACCAAACAACCTACTACTGTGTTCAATGGCCATACGCATTCGGTCATTTGTGAATCGGAATCACAATACAAAAGCTGATGAAAACATTGAGTTAGAAAATTATTTTCTGAAATATATTTTAATGGCAAGTGTGGAGATTTTGTCAATTTAACTTATCTTCACAGTTACCAAATTTTGTTTCCTTGAAGATTAAATGACTATGAACCTAAAAAGGAGTAATCACTATTCAGAATATTATATTTACTTATAATAGCAAAGTGGATTTATTTAGTTGGAAAACTATATTGCAATAGATATATTTTTACCAATGTTGAATAAATTACTGCTCAAGATACAAGATCTTCACTAATGAATTGAGCTTACACTGCATGCAAAACTTTATTGCATTAAATATATTTTTACCATTGTTAAAGTGACACTAGCTTGCTCTTTAGGATATCCCAAAGATTGTAAAATGTGGTTGACTCTCTGACCTATATAAATCTCATTTTTATAGGAAGTAAAGTTTGACAACTGTTTAGAAATATTTTCTGGAGTTATGCAAGTAAGCTGGAAAATTTTAGGAGAGGAAATTTACTTCCAGTTAGCGGGACATGCAGGTAAGTACTTGAAATTTTCCTAAATGGCTCTTTCAAAAAGAAAAAAAAATATTATCATATGTAGAGTTTTTTTCATCCAGCTGAATAATGCTGCACCGAATAATACCTAACTATATACATAATTACATAATTCTATTTGCAATGTTATTCATTAAGAAGGATGCTATCTTCCATAGGTTTTATGAAGTTAGGAGGAAAGGAGGTTAAGGAGGATGCCATCCTCTATATTATAAGGAAATTTTAATGCGCTCTGAAGCACGGTCAAAACTGAAAAATCACAGCAAAAAAAAATTCAGAGGTTATTAGAAACACTGTTAATTTGGAAATATCGGGAATTGACCAATTTATTAGTTTAAAAATATCTGCATTCATTATAGCATATCATGTTGTTTACTTGAATTCAATATGAGGCTTCTGTTGGAGATACAAGATTCAGTTATTCTTCACTTTCTTATTTTTGGTTTTTCGAACTCCAGAAGCTTAGCGAAGTTATATAAATGTGGTTTAGATAACTTTACAAACTGTGATCTTTATTGAGCAAAAATAATGAAAATAAAACTTCACGCGTAAGATTATGTCAGAACTTAACTATTTTACGTAGCGAGAGTAGGTTAATGAGGATTAAAATTAGTTTTCAGTACCATTTGTGTTAAACTGAAATTAATAATGTTTACTTGAAAGTCTAAGAGAAACGTGTTTTCACTGCAAAAGTTTTTGCAGTTATATTATTGTATTTGTCTTATAAATTAAGTAACCTGAATTATGTTTAAATTTGTAACTGTTATTGTCAGTATTTTTAACTATTACTAATAGTTCAAATTTTTAATAACAAATAAAATTTGAAAAACTTCCTAAATAAAATTTCTTATTTGAATAACTCAATTTTGCTTCAGATGAAAATGAATACTTGGCTTTTGGATTAAGTGCGGACAAGCACCAGGCTGCTATGGTGGGTGCCGATGTAGCAGTGGCATTTTTCGACTTTGAAGCTAACCAAGCTCGAGTCGTGGATTACTATCTCAGCACTAAATCACAGGTAATCATTTCCATATTAGCTTTCAAAAGCCTTACTATATCTTTTTATTTAAAGTACTTAGAGTGAAGTTGTTAAGATAAGTTTTTTTCCTTCTTGAAACAGTAAATTTAATTTGAATAACGTATTGTTATAATTTGGCATGCAATTTACACGTTATGTGCCATGTGGAATGGCAACAGACTGTAAACTGAAGGTCAGTTCATAATTGACAACAAAGCGATTATTGTTTCATTACTAGCCTGCCTCTGGCTGTTAACTGACCAAAACACTCACCTTGTTTATTAAGAAGTATTCTCTGGGGAATAACTTGGGAACATACAGGATTTTAGAATGACTTCTTCACAATAATTAACCTTTTCTTTTTCTTATACATATTCATTTGGGAAGCACTATGTTTAGAAGATGTTTTTCTTTTTCTTTTTCTCATTCTAAACTTTATCAGAGAAATATATTGTACAGACACTAGGTTTTTTTCGAAGCAAGACATATTAAAAATGTGCAATGCCCTTGCCTGAACTTGAACGTTGGACCTCTCGAATACGCTGCTAGTATGCTTCCAATTATACCACGAAGGTATTCGTAAAGGAGGGGGAAAATACGTTTATACTATCCCAGTCGCTGTTTATAAGGCGACTGGGGATTAGGGGATCCAATCGCCAAATCCTGGTGGTGATGAATTATTATCCACCAACTTTTAGTTCGGGAGCTACTATCGAGACATTAGGAGTTTTGAAACAGGAGACATGAAAAATGTGCAGTGCCCTCACCGGGATTCGAAACCTGGACATCTCGAATACGCTTCGAGTATGCTTTCAATTACACCACGAAGGCATGCGGAAAGGAGAGGGAAAATACCTATTAATATAAATATTACGAAGAGTCATGATTCCAATAATTCATTTAAACTGATGATCCAAGTATTCAGTAATAAATTATTAAACTAACTACAATTTATAAAATAATATAGCCACTTTTTTCATTTTTTTTATTCTGCACTTTTAAAAATTGTGTAATGTGTGCAGGAAAAATTAATAAAACTGTATAAAATCTCTCGCAAAGCAGAACACTCCCCTCCTCTATTTCCTACGTAATATGAATCGCCCGAATATGTGACGCTTGGGATAATCAGAAAGTAGTTCCCCAAGTGTATGGTTCAATAACACTTGATGGTTATCCAAAATTTTCAGATAAAAGTACCTTTCATTGAAACCTAGACTATCTCAGTGTTGAATTATTTGGCGACATTCAGAAAAAATCAGCATAATATTGCTTTATGCTGTATTCAGTTTCAAACAGGCCAAAACAAACGTTAAAATATATCAGGTATCTCCTTTATGCCTTCGTTGCAAATCTAAGGCAGTGTATTTATCCAGTCCATTTAAGATCATTCATCTAGCAGCGATTTTAATACATTATTTAATTATTCATCGATAATCAATTAGTCATGTATAAAATGTTTAGAAATTTAACTTCAAAAACGATTTTAGATTGGTATTCATTTTAAGAAATGCTATACGTTTCGAAAGAACCTGACACCCCTCTTCTTCAAAAAGCAGATACATTGTGCGTCTGTATGCCATATCTGAATTGTAAAATAAAAGAAACTGGATAAGTGCCCCATCATCTGTTGAGTAAACATTATTCATGTAAAGAAAAAAATGAAATAAAAATTATGGAAACAGTTTTGGAAGAATTTATATGGAGTAATTAAAAGTGATAGATTTTGATAAATATGTAAGACTTTATAATAGGAATCTAATTCTTGAGTTGAATGATTTCTATAGATAACTTTAGAGGAAAAAAAAAAAGAATGATAGTGGAACAAATTACGATTTACTTAACAAATGAAGAGGAACAAATTACTGAAGATTCGTGTTTTTTAATCCAAACTTTTAATGCTTCATCATTTTAAGTGATATATTTTAAACTGGAGTGTATCTACCAATGTATTTCTGTAAAGTCCTCTCCATCTGAACATAGGATCATCTGAGTTAAACTTCTCAACAAAACCCATATTGAATGTATGTAAGCTCTGATGACTCCCTTTTCGAAATGAATAAGCTGTGCATTAATGTAATTTGGAAAATGTGTCATCGAGCATGCAGAACCCAATAAAACCCAGTATTATAGTCGAAATAGTCGATCATAGTCGAAATTGTGGTTAATGGCAATATTGTGACTGTGGCGATACAGAGGTTGTTTGCACATTTTTTAGACGACTGTCATTGCATTTAAAGAAATATTTTACCTAAACTTTTCGTGTTTTAAATATTACATCTAATTACATCGCAATTTCGAAGACAATAACGCCGTTTTGATATCGAAAGAGGTATTTTATCCCATTCGTCTTGAACAGAGTCCAAGAAGTGTTATAGGTCAACGTTTGGACAATTCGCTTTTTAAAAGTCCAACAGCGCTAACATCCGCGAATGATACATCAGGAGATTTAGTAGGGATATGAGGGACCTTAATACGTTTCTTGTTTTTTTTTTTTTTTTTTTTTTTTTTTTTTTTTTTTTTTTCAGGAAATTAACAGTCGATTTTGACGTGCGGTTGCTTGCTTAGGCTTAATGCAGTTCTACTGATTGTTGGCACTTTGGGTAAAGAAAAAGTACTTCATATTTGAAAATTCGATATATAATATGTGGAGTTGACTTGAATAGTTTCCTGCACTCTTTTTAATTTTTATTTACCGTTATATCAAAAACGGTTCTAGGAAAAAGCCCACAGGGATAATGCTCACAGGTATAAATGCACGCAGGTAAAAAGGCCCACACAGAAATATGCCCACATAGAAAAATATTCACATGGAAAAATGCTCACTTAGAAATATGCTCACACGGAAAAAAGCTTACATAGATATATGCTCACATGGAAATAAGCCCACTGATAAATGAAATACGTAGAAATATCTTTACATTAATCAATCATTAATTAATTGATTTGAATATCGTACACCTACTTGAATTTTTTAAAGAAAAATTATTTGATCATTTGATTAATGTAGGGATACTTGTACTTATTTTATTTATCAATGGGCTTATTTTCATGCCAGCATATACCTATGTGAGCTTTTTTCTATGTGGGGCATATTTCTGGTGTGGGCTTTTTTCCTGTGAGCATTTATGCCTGTGAGCATTATTCTGTGAACATTTTTCCTGTGAGCATTTTTCCTGTGAGCTTTTTACCTGTAGGCATTTTTCCGGTCACCATCAAAAACCACCAAAGATCACAAATCCCTTTGAAAACTTTTTCTAGGTTCTTTCAACCATGTACTAAGATTTTTTTCCTTCTCTTTAATGATAATAAATAGATCTCTTTTTATTGCGGTCATTTAAATATACTCAAGATTCATCTATTGTGACATCTATCGATGATTGAAAAATTATCAGGCGTGGTAACCAAAATGCAAGTCTAAGCACTGCATCATTCACCGTGAAGCTTTGGCCGCAAATAATATGCCAGTGAATTTAGAAGGAGCTTTAGATGAGTCGGTAAAGGTGGTTAATTTTTTCAAATAGCTTCTATTTTCAATTTTATGTGGTGAAATAGGAAGTGCCCATACCACACTTTTATTTCGCACCAAAATATGGTGGTTTTCACGTGATCAAGTCCTCGATAGATTGTTTGAATTATGCGATGAAATCTATATGTTTTTTACCAATTCAAAATATTTGAAGGTAGATAATTTGATTGATGAGCAATGGTTGTGTAGACTAGCAACTTTTCAGACCGTTTTTCAAGATTAAACGGACTAAATTTGAGTTCGCAAGGAGTTAACAATTCTATGTTCCACCTGTATCACAAAAATGTGCCTTCAAGAGAAAATTGTAATCATGCACCAGCAAATTGAAAAACAAAATTTTAACATGTTTCCTTCCCTTTGTAATTTTATCGAGGAAAATAATTTGTATATTTTCGTGAAGATCTCATAGCTCAAAATTGGATTCGAAATCCTCTCGTATTTACAACCGCAGTTCAGACGATGTGATTATAAAAGAGTCTTTTATAGACCTTAAGAGTGACAGTGGATTGAAATTGAGCCTTCAGATCTCCAATCTATTCACTTTTGAGCTATCTATTTGTAAAGAATATCCAGAAGTTTCTTGCCAAGCAGTACAATTTTTAATGCCATTTGCGACCACGTATTTATACGAAAAAGAATTTTCTGAAATGACTGCGGTAAAAACCAAGTATAAAGCTTTGCTGGCCATTGAATCGGATTTCGCTTTAAACTGATAAACAGTGACCCCGATACTACTTCTTTATTTAATAATAAACAGGCTCAACTTTCTCACTAGTTATATATTTTTAAAAGTGATTATTATATTTTATGCACAGGTTTAAGAATAAAAATATATCTTAAGTTACTTGTCTTTATTACAAAGGTTCTCCATTACATTGTATTCCCCATTTCAAAATTTTTGGTCTACCGGTACGTTATCAAATTGTTTACAACGTACAGGTACGGAAATAAAAAAGGTTGGGAACCCCTGATCTAACACGTATATCCAACATATAAAATGCATTCTTTTATCTGAAACATCTTGGAATATTCTTGATTTTAACGTACATTTTATATGATTTCTTTCAGTGCGCTGATGGATATGGTGCTTGTCCAGATACTAAACTCAGGGGAGATAATAACATAGAAGTTTTGTCTTGGAATCGAGCAGATGGAATACTTTCAGTCACTTATAAAAGACCTATAGAAGCTAGTAGGATATCTTATTTAATTCATTTTATTGCATTGATTAGCGGGTTGGTTCCAGTAGTACACACATATTACGTTTTTGTAATTCTTTTGTTGCAGTTTTATTTTCTTTTGATGAAGCAAATTTTGAATAGTGTAAAAGTTTTGCAAGGAATATATATTCTTATAGGAATAACGCAATAAGAGTAAGAATCTCAATTAATTAGATAATGAAGAGGAAGAGAAAATTATATTAAAAAGGCCCTTAATTTCGAGGATTGTTTTTGTTCTGTGAATTTAAATAAGGGCAGATCAATTGTTTACTGAAAAATTTTTCTTTTACTATTAGATACATCTCACCAGACAACTGCTTTATTTTATTATTTATCTACTTAAATCTATAATAGCCTTTAATCGAAAATTGTCCGTGATATAAATTAAATTTATAATTTGCAATACATTTCGTTTTATTTTTCTTACCATTTCTTTTTTATGTCTCAGTGTCATATTTAGCATTTTCTTGTAAAAATTTCGTTATTATATATCCATATTTGTTACATATTGCACTATTCCTTATTCTAGGCTGCGTTTGGCTTTATAGATAAATGGCAAAGGTCATGTGCGTATTAGAAGATTAATATTAAATTATTTGAGGATTTCAATAAGAAGGACAATTAGTTTTAATAAGACTTGTTCATAATTGTAATGCCAGAAAATAATATGAATTTAAAGGTTATTATTTTTACTTGAAACGTGTTAACCTTTCGAAGTGTAAGAAGAATATTAAAAAAATCACAGTTTTGTTTTAGAAATCGATGGATTCCAGTCATTTTATTCTAGCTGAAAGCAAAATAATAAATTTCTTATTTGCATTTCAGGTGTTCAATTTTTTTAACTGCGATATCTGAGGTTATTAAATGCTATGCAGTAATCCCTTGCCATGCGTGGATTTTTGGAACATGGTTTTACACATACGCCTTATACGCCCAACCCTGGAATTTAATCCATTTGCAGTACGTTGTATAAAGTTTCCATAGCAACATAATCTATAAAAAACCATCAGTTTCAGACACACAAACTAAAATTTATATCAATCAAAAATCTAAAAATTACACAAACTAAAATAAGGGTTTATTGTAGTTTATTAAGAGATCACACAGAAGCCGGTGCTCGTTCATACTCGTAGGTATTTATTCTATGTATTGGCCTACACATGATTAATAATTGTTATAATTCATTGCTAATAATCATACACAAATACAGAAAACTTTAAAATGGACCTGATTTTACTGATTTTTACTAACTTAGAAAACTGAAGCCTTCGCTAACCTGTATGATTAAAATACAAAAACACCCATCCCGAACATTTCGTCCCCTCCCCTTCAATTAATGCACAAGGAGGTGTGGAAATTTCAAATGACATCCTTTCTACTTCTTGACAAAAAAGCTTCAATTAGCCTTTTAGGACAAGCTGTCTGCAATAAACTGATACAATGCATCTGGGGAAACTGTATACCTGTTACTGCATCTTATGAGGAGGGAAGAAAACAGCATCGCAATCTCGGCCGTTTCGGGTGGTTGTCGTCGTTTGAATGAAAGGCTGTCTTGGTGTTTTTTTCTTTAAATGGTTAAATTTGCTAGTTTTGTCAATTCAAGAAACGAATCATACCTTACGAACAAGCAGACAAAGAAACATTATATTCTTGTGTTTTTTCCTACAGATATGTTTAAAATGTTTTCTGAACTGTTTCTCACCGCTGTAAATATCAAAATCCGAAAGGTGACAAGTGTTGTAGTCTTGGAATCCCAATCTCTGCATCTCAATCCTTATAATGGTTCTTCTTTAGGAGATTTGCCAAAAAAATTGTGGGCATACTTAGAACCTTGCTAAGTGCTTTTCTATAGTTTTAAATTTATGTATTAATTTTTATTACTTCTTTTGCTTTAAAAATTTGTTCTGTTAATGCTTGTTATTTTTGTTAATAGGTGATGATCAGGATCTCTCTTATTTAACACCTACGAGCATGATGACAGTTTCGTCCGTAGTTGCTGCCATTGGTCCTCTCAACAGTCAAAAAGAAGTGGCTTTCCACGATCGTTATTATAATAAAGGTAAAACCTAACACAGGCAAAAATTTGACTGGTGAGTGTCGAAATGATAAATAAACTAATGACAAGAAAAATTGGAGAATATAACATCGAGCTGCACGTATATTGTTTTCATATCTGTTATTTTCATAATACTTGCCGCATTTCCTCGCTTATCCCTTCCTCTTTTTTAACTAATTTTATCGTCGAGAAATCGAGAGGGAAAAATTATGCGAATTAATTTCCGAAGAACGCAGTTATAGTAAGAGCATAACAAATGAAAAGTTATCTTGGGTAAACTACTGGGAACGATCATAGTATTATTTCTTTAAAAGAAAACTACATTCCAATTAGAATGGATAGTTATATTAACATTACAATACCTAATAAGATAACTTCATTTCTACTTCTTTGTAACTCGAATCTCGTCCGCTCGTATTGTTATCCACTGCTACTCCCTAGAGCTTAAATCATCTAAAATGTTGCTGAAACTGAAACTGCTGTCTGCGTCATCTTGCAAGTTGTTACCATCATCATTGTCTTTGTTCACAGTTAAATCCGCTTCCCACATGTCAGGTATCTTTAAAACCACCGACAACATATGATTTCCTGTTTTCTTGAAGCTGTTCATTATTATTGCTTTATCAATTATTCACACTGCTTCACAATTATTGATTTATCAGAGCTCACACACCCAAAATCTACGAGTAAATTAGTTCATTGTATAGTAAATGGATTCACTACATTTTTCCAGTCTTGCTGATGAAACAAGACATTCGTTATGAAACTTCCGTAGATAGCCTGTGAAGACTTTATTCAGGAATACGTCCAATGGTTGCAGTAATGAAATACATCCTTCTTAAATAATGACAGGGACATTAGTTTTCGATTTATTTTTGTTTTTACTTCTTGTATGAGATGCCCGCGAAAATTGCCCAAGATTGAGGGAAGTCTTATGTAGAAGAACACCTGGCCGGCGGTTCCATACAATTTTGAGCCCTTAAGCCAGCTTTCACATAACCTTTCTCGTGTACCCTAATTATCATATCACGAAGGGTTTTTTTTTCTTTGTTGTTGTTGTTGTTTCAGAATCATCTTCCATTTAAAAACTATGAAATGCGACAATTTTTTATTGTCAGCAACTGCTACCATTACTATGCAGCGCGCCTTTTCAATTCCTGTAATTTTTCCTAACACAGAACATGGCCTCCTTTTGAGTAACTGTAGTGTTATTAGGTATTATTATAAGTTATTAGGTTATTACGTGTAGTGTTTCCGTGTAAAAAAAAATACAGGAGTTTTATCGGCGTTTTCTGGATATCGACTCTATCGAAGCAATAATCTAATCGTTTAGGGATCACGAACCTATGAAATTCTAAGACTTTTTCTTCAACCACTCTGATAGCGGCTGTGCAAGCATTGTTCTTCTCCTTAAAGTAAGTCCATTTCCTCTCAGGAAATGATCTACCCTTGCTTGCTTTAAATATTTGGGGTATAATATCACGTTTTCTCCCTTCATCCCTCGCTTTCTTTGCATCATTTCACGAGACACAGATATGCCATTGTTTCTTTGCTTTGTCATGTAATTCAGAAGTTCATTATTAATTTCTGGAAATTTTTCAGTTTTCAGTTCACGAAGCGCTGTTTGCTCTGAATTTGTCTTTCTAAGTGCATCTTTTTGTTTTCTCCGTTATTGAATCGAATCAAAGTAGGTTTAACACCAAACTATCTACTGGAAAGTTCTACATCATTAACTTCAAAGAATTTAAAAATTTCTAATATACATGCTGTTATGTAACTACGATTATTTTCTTTCTTAGTGGTTCTGAAAATTCGTGGTAAGGTACGCTCATAACACACACACGTCAAAAAAGGCTTCTTTTAACTAGGAACCCACGATCCTAAATAAAGCATCAAATCGAATCGGGCACGAATATTGCGCAGAGAGCGCCTTATTCTTCTCAATAACCTTGTAAAGCCCCTGGGGCACCTCACATGCATGAATTTCCCGAGAGGAACTTCCGAGGAAGGAAGGAGAAGAGATTCGAGCAAAAGATCCGAGTTTCCAAAGACTGAACACGTCAGCAGTAGCAAAGGTTATAATGAGCTGGAACATAAATAACTGAAGTAAGGTGAAATCGCATGTTTTTGAAGTCTGTTCAATATGAGAACACCTACCATTGTAGCTTAACGATGAATCTACACAAAATACTTTGCAAATAATAAATGTAAGGGAAAATAATATAGATGAAATACTATTACAAATTGAATTTATGGAATAAAAACAAAAATAACCAAAGGAATACAATTTGTCAATAAATTAGCATTCATAGAGAAACATTTCGTACAAAAGACTCATCCAGAAAAATTTGCAAATGATCATTAGTTTCCCAAAGACCATCCATAGGGTGCATTCGATAATAACCTGAGAAGGTATTAATGTGCAGAAGCTGCATATAGGGAATAAGTTGGATATGGAAGAACCTCGTAGTTAAGCTGATATTCGTAGTTAAGCTGATATATGAGAACTTTTGTGTTTGCCGCATCTGATTTGGTGTTATCCATAGAGATGATAGTACCATATCATTTGCTAGGCCGTTTCTCTTGAAGTTCTAGTTTAGCACGGTAAAACTGATTACAGAATATAAATTCGAGAGTGGTTTGATGTGGATTAAATAATTTAAACGCTCCTCCAAAGTGGGATAGGCAACCAGATTATGGGAATCCTTAGGTTGAAATTTTCACCACGAAAATTTTCAAGCCATCATTTAACTGTTCTTTTAGCTATAACTCTCCGTACACAGCATAAATTTGTCTAGAAGCGAGTAATATGGCGTTCATGAAACTTGAATGTTGGAACTCATACACAATAACATATCAAAGAATGCTTCTTCTTTTCCGATTCACATTCCATACATTAGACCCTGACAAGGAGAAAACTTGGTAATCCTAAACAAAACTATTCATACTGATATTGATGAGGCATATTATAAGCGACAATTTGGTATATTAAACTCTTTTACTATCATCAGTTATATCTATTATTATTAAAAATTATTCGTAGAATATGCAATTTATGGCGGAATGTAATAATATATTGGAAGTAATAATTTTTTTCAGTTTTTCGTTTTTACTCTCTAAATAGGAAACAGCAGTTTTTTTCAAACTTGTTTTTCTTCAGAAATATAGCCTTTTCTGTCTTTCTGCCGAAATTTCGAACGAAAATTCATAATGCAAATGAAGAATATTAATAGAGATTTTAAATATATGTAGTAATGTTGTTAACTATATCAAAGGAGATTTATTGGAATTTAACCTTTGTCGTTTCAGAACCGATATTTGTACGGTTTAAAATCTCGCCTCCCTCAAACGACTGCGGTCCACTTTTACCAGTGACAACCACGAAAGTAGAAGCATGGCCATCCATGAAAATCTCAGATGTTACAACTTTCAGGGCTCAGATCGGACCTACAGGAGGAGATAAAGGATATACGGCTATAACAGGTACATACTAATTTCAGTTTATTTTTCCTCAATGTTCCATTTACCTAATGCATGTTAAAATTTGCTTAGATAAAATAAAATGTGATGATTCTATATAAGTTCAACAAATTTTACTTTTAGATTACTTTACAAACTGTTTTTAGATGTAAGCGAAATATTTTTCTTAAGAGTATCGCTGCAGAATTATGTTTGTAAATTTTGGAGCTGAGCAAACGTGAAGTACAAATTTGAAAAAGAAAATAATTTTTTTTAATATTAAAAGTTCGAAGGGCCTTTTTAAGGCTGGTTAATATGCTCTAACAAGAAACGTAAGTTCTGCAAAATTTAAATTCAGTAAGTGTTATTGCAATGATATTTTGGGCAATAAAATAATGAAAAAAAGTTATTGATAATCTTAAAAATCATATAAAATACTTGATAGTAACAATTTATCAACAAAGGCAATTAAGTTTCTTTGTAAATGTAAAAAACCTTTAGAAATTTTGTCAGAAACTAAATACATTTTGGAAAATTTTGAAAATAAAATTCAGTTGCTCAATTAAAATACTAAAAGAGAGAAAGAATGAAGACATTAAGAATTACATTTCGTTTTTGTTTTAAAAAAAAAAAAGTTTGGAAAAATGCTTATTTGAACATCGTATAATAAATATTTTAGCCAAAAAATTTTAAAGCTTGGAATTCTTAAAGTAAGTTCCGTAACTGTTTGAAAATTAAATCTGTAAAATATGGACTATTCCATAATTAGAGAAGGAATGATCTAGAAGAAGAATAAGTGAGTAATATGTTAGTTAAGAACAACCATTTACTAAACTGAATGAAACACCAACACCCAGATAATATTTGTAACTTTCCAAGTAAAGGAAAATTCTGAGAAAAATTATTTAGTTATATAAGATATGAGCAGCTTATTTTATAAAGAGAGTATTTTACTTTCTTGCAAACATATTATTTCTTGAACTCATCCATGTTTCTATGTCGCTGCTCTCACCTCGCAAGAAAAATATCATTAAAATCGCTTCTATTGGAAACAACTGTTTTGGACCCGATCGGTTTAGTGGTCAAACTACGGCACCAAAATTCAGGAGTTCTGTACTCGGCACAGCAGCAGCATCCAAAACGAACCTTCATCGATGTCCTGTATCGGGAAACATCACATTTAATATATCTAACTGAGTGGGCTAAGAAGCAATTGCTTCAAATAACCAATTATAGATGGCTACACGAGAAGCTGCCGCACGTCACTTTCTAAAGAAAAGAAAAAAGGTTATGTTCCTGTGGTTAATTGCCTTCAATATATTATCCGTACATAATGGTTCTTCACCAGTGAATCGATAGATAAGATGATAATGTATATGCTTTTGAATTCCCATGTCTCCAGATTTGACCGTTTGTGATTTCTCTGAAGATTCATCAAAGACATCCTCTGTTGCCATGTAAAGTATTTAAGCACAGAAATGTTGCAATTGGACTCTTCACAACGTTTCTCAGCAGGAGCATGTCTGATAATAATGGACTATCATTTTAATATTTATCGAAAATGTTATGAAAGGAGCATTAAAAACTTTCAGATCTTTTCCCGATCACGTGATGCTAAGGAATTTTGAAACATTTTAAATCTACTCCTTTTTTTCTAATATACACTGTATATCCTCAGCAAACTAAGCTTCGTGAATATTTTCTATATTGCTAATATTTCGAAGCGATTTCCTTCATCATCTACATGACACTATTTCATGACAAACAAAACGATCTTCTACAAAACAAGTCATCTTCTGTATGAAAGTTTTGTATTTTTACGAGCTACATAGCATTGTATGTACACTGTTGGTCATAACAATTGCTATGCCATGGAGGTGACAGGCAACAAAAGTAAAATTAGCATGAAAAGTGTTACATGTTGGGATATGCAAACGATTAGTATTCAAATGCATGTGCACAAATTAGGTATGAATAACTATTATACGAATACTAATTCAGAAGTCAAACAACAAAAATCAGCGTTAATTTGCAAAATTTTCACAGGACTAGTTTCGATGGTTTTACCGAACCATCATCTTCAGCTGCAAAACCGCAAATGAACAAGATAGGAAATAATGTTTAGATAAGATAAGAAAGCCTGGACAAGAATAAGCAAGTGGCGCCATCTGTTGGCGAAACCAGAACTAAAACATAATTTCTTCTAAAAGCCGAAGGCAAATTGGATTGGAATTAGGATCGTTAACTAGAACAGAAAGATTTTTATGAATGTGAAATGCCTCTAAAATCCAGTTCTCTCAATGGAAGATGTTTTTTTGAATAATTTTGGCAGCAGAAAAATTGAAAGTGTGATTTTCGGACCAACAATGTTGAGCAAACAGAAGCTTCTGTGTTTCCTTTTTTCTAACATATGCTTCATGTTCTTTGACACGAAATTTTAAGGCTCTCTTAGTTTGGCCAATGTAAATTAAAACCGCACTGGCAAGGAATCCTAAATAACCAAATACCCCAGGAATTCATATCCGGAATGGGGTCCTTGAGTATAGAAGTTGGAATTTTATTGATGGGAGAGTAAACAACCCGAAAGTTAAATTTCTGCAAAATATGTGCAACTTTATAGCTAATTGATGGAAAGAAGGGAATGACAACAGAATTTTTATAATCTCCTAAAATAAGAGTGTGGCTTTTGGTGTGTTGAGATGAGAATTTTTTAACTGCTTGATTAATAATGTTGGGTGAAAAGCCCCTGTCATTCTCATCTCAACACACCAAAAGCCACACTCTTATTTTAGGAGATTATAAAAATTCTGTTGTCATTCCCTTCTTTCCATCAATTAGCTATAAAGTTGCACATATTTTGCAGAAATTTAACTTTCGGGTTGTTTACTCTCCCATCAATAAAATTCCAACTTCTATACTCAAGGACCCCATTCCGGATATGAATTCCTGGGGTATTTATAGGATTCCTTGCCAGTGCGGTTTTAATTTACATTGGCCAAACTAAGAGAGCCTTAAAATTTCCCTGTCAAGGAACATGAAGGCATACATTAGGAAAAAAGGAAACACAGAAGTCTTCTGTTACTCAACAATTGTTGGTCCGGAAATCACACTTTTCTATTTTTCTTCTGCCAAAATTATTAAAAAAAAACAGCTTTCATTGGATTAACTTAGATTTCCTAGAGGCATTTCACATTCCAAAAAGTCCTTCCGTTCTAGTTACGATCCTAATTCCAATCCAAATCCCTTGACCTTCAGCCTTTAGAGAAATTATGTTTTAGTTCTGGTTTCGCCAATAGATGGCGCTACTTTGCTTAACACCTATGTCCAGCTGTTCTTATCTTATCCTATCATTATATTCCTTATCTTGTTTCATTTTCGGTTTTGGCAGCTGAATGCGGATGGTTCGGGCTAAAACCGTAGAAACTAGTCCTGTGAAAATTTTGCAAATTAACGCTGATTTTTGTTGTTTGACTTCTGAATTAGTATTTATTCGGCGTGTTATTGTGTCTTTATTATACGAATATCTATTATACAGCATATATTATACAACAACTAAATCTGTTATATAACTATATTGTGAATAAACGGGAAGCTGCACAATGTGTATCGCTTTCGAATTTCATTTAAACATTTATTGTTTTTGAAAACGTTATGCCTTGTGTAAGAATGAGAAACTCCTACTAGCATGCGTCGGAATTTAGCCGCTGCAGGATCGTGGCTTATCAGGACTGCGTGTATCGTTCTGCGATATTACTGCTTGTGTTGGTCGGGATCTCATGACTATCAGGCAAATGAAATTGGTAAGTCCAGGAAGGTCAGACTAAATGATAGGCAGGATCTCAGCGGCTCCGGACCATTAACGCCCGAAAGGACAGACTTGTTGCCCTCCCGGTCTTGTGGGATCATATAGCCACGTTGCGTTTATTCAGGAACCTGGCTCGTGCGCAGGACAATAAGTGTCCGCACGGACAGTGCGATGACATCTTCAGCATCGTAGGCTGTTATCACGGCGATCAGCTGCAGCAGAGACTGGCATGCCTACAGTGGCACGATGAATGATGACACTGGACACAGGAGTAGTACCACATTGTCATTTTAAAACTAATCTCGGTTCTGCGCAGGACTGAAGAGAAGGGCTAGCTCATAGAGCGTTTCCCCCTGAAACAGGCAGTGAGGAGTGATGACGTAGCAATGATGCCACTGAGCACGGAGATGCAATTGACAACATAGAAATTAGCGTTTTAAATTTGAAGAATCAGCGTTTAAAATGAGCTGTGTGTGAAAGATAGCTATAATTAGAAGAGACAATGTTACTGCAGTATGCATTTTACACTGAACATTACAAAATTTAATAATACTCAATTTTAAAATAATAAATAAAATGCGCTACTCTTAGCATAAAGTTCCTTTTTTTATTTGCAGGGATTTTTTTTTCTTTAAATGCCTGTGTGTTTCTAATCATTTCTTTATCTGAATGTTAAATAAGAAAACTGTACTACTGCTAAGATAACTATAATAACAGCTATTTAAAATTAATCAAAAAAAAAAAAAAAACAACCTTAAATTGGCATAGTTTTAAACGTGTATGGTTATATATGGCAAAATTTCTGCTAATCTAAGTTTGAGTTTCAGCCTAATTGTAAATTTTACATTAGCATATTTTTCTCCCGATTCATTATAATAACATAATATTTTTTTTTAAAATAATTTCATTTAAATAAATACATGTAAGATTGTTATCTTAATTTAGACAAAACAAATTTACTCACAGTACCTAAAATAATTATTTAATTTTTCAAAAGTGGGGGTTAAGGGGGCAGGTCTTCTTATGCCAATTACTTAAATATTATACTTTATATATATTTTATCTAGAATGCTAAGCTAGCACAAAATCGAATCAATAATAACAGAGGATACAATAAAAATAACTGTAACATAACTTAACAGAATTAGTTCTCATTTGAAATATGCTTTACGCTATTAACTTCTAAAATGCAATCTAGAAATATTTCAATCAAAACATATTATATACTTACTTTTTGTCTCTCTCGTTTCCCTTGACCATTAAATAATTTGGTTTTAGTTTGTGACACAATTTAATTCTCTTTAATAATATCAACATTTAAAACAGTTCGATCTTCTAAAACAAATCCTTTATCTAAAAAAGTGGTTTCTCAGTAAATTTTAGCCCACCAGAGGCCGAGCGGTAAAGTCGCTGAACACTGGTAGTTCGGTCCGAGGTTCGAATCCCGCGAACGGGCTGGCTGCATGGGCGTTTTCGTGGTTTTCCCCCCCATGTGTAACGTGTATACGAGCCAGTTTACCTTAGAAAGTCCTCCACGAAGGCATCCCTCCCTTAGGCAGATAGCCCTAGTGTGCTTTGTCATAATTAAATACACGAACACTCAGTAATTTGAGGCAGTGCGCTAAATCTGTAAAAACCCATATTTTTTTCGTTTGGAATACTGGATTTGGAAAATGAGAACTATTAATCGAAATCTGTAACTCTTTCCACAAAGTAGTAGATCTTCCTAAATCAGACACTATTGCTTTCACTTCTACTCTAGATGATTGAATATGTCTTATGAGTGCAAAAAGAAGTTCTTTCTTCATTGGAGTGTTAAAATAAAAAAATATTGGTTGTTTCCACTGCGAAATGAGACCTCTGATTAAAACAAACTGCACTTTTTGAAAAGGACCGATTTTGGTCCAGTTTAGATTCATAGCAGAGTTTAGAATCTATGTGCATTTCGTCGAAACTGAGAACGCATATTTTTTCTACAGAATTCAAATATTGGCATCTTTCCTTCATTACAGCAAGAACATCACTCTGAATTCCTGGACTACATGAAAATTTAGCGCACCATCTCTTTAATGTGCTAGTGCTAGGTAAAGGAATTCCTATTTTTTCTTTCCAAAAATCGTAGCTTTTAGATGACATAGCTCTTATGACAATGCAACGTGAAATATCTTCACTAGTCCTCCGGATTTTTTCCTTCTTTTCTAGCAATGCGTTAATCTGCGTCTTTGTAAAAATATGCTTTAGACGTTTTTCCAAATTATCCGATGTGTTCTGTTTTTTCCTAAATTTCGCTGTTTGGGATTTTAATTTCAGAATTTCCGATACAAATTTCTTTCTAGATGTCGTCCACCTTCTTTGTCGCTGAGCAAACATTCTAAAATCTTTCTTTTCTCTATTTTTCAATATTTAATTACAATTTTCTAAGGATATTATTTTTTTCTTCAAATTATCAGTACATTCTTGTTTATCTTTACACTTAGGGCACTCAGGGATATTGTCACATAGGGCATGTCACTTGTGAGTTTTATTTCAAAATCATTCACATTTGATTTATTATTGTCAGCTTCAATTTCGTTCTCGGCCTCAAAATAAATTTTCTTTGGGCTTAATTCGTGTAGTCTTTCGAAAGCACTCTGCATTAGTTTTTTTTCAAATGTTCCCGATTTCTTGGTGTTATTTTTCGTTTACTGCACACGATAAATTTACTTTCGGCACAGCATTGCATTTCAACAGTTTCTTTTGCGGCAATCCAAGCAAGCGATTTCTCATGTCATCTTCATAATCACTGCACAGAAAATGTTAGCTGCAAATTCTTGCGTTTTTCACATTAATAGAATCCTGTCTTCGACATTTATGTATCCATTCTTTCGTCAAAAGCAAATTGTCCTTGGGAAAAGTATGAAATACAATATATCTTCCTTTCGTATTTCTATAAGTGTTACGGCACGTTGCTACAGCACAAGAAGCCATATTACATAAAGGATACTTTAAATATAGAATTTAAAAGGAAAACTGACTAAAACTATATATACACAAAATTTTTAAATATTTGCATTATTAGAAAACAAATATGTATGATTAAAATTAATTTGGGATATGCGATCTCCAGAAAATCGTCTCGCAACTGAATGAAACTACAGTTTTAAAGGCGCGAAATCAGAGCAGGTGCAACAGAGATACGTCAGATTACTTCCGGTTCCCCCCTCAATGAGACTCGCGTCGGCGAGGAGTCGAACAAAGGAATGACCTAGCCCTTCTATTTATCCCTGGGTTCTGCGTACAGCATCATGATGGATATATCCGTGTGTAGAGGCACTGAGGAGAAGGAAGTTATCAGCTTTCATTCATTATAGGCATATAGACTCAGCACTTGTATGATAGTATGGAATGACATCTCAGTCACCTCTTATTTGCATAGCTGGTAATGTGGCTAGCCGCCGTTATATTTCTGACATGTTAAGGTCATTGACCTGCCTTCAAGGCATATATGACGCCATTTCTCAACAAGATAATGCATGATTGCATATTGTCTGTGCTGTCCTGATCTTCCTTTACAGAGGGTGTTTTGATTAGCATAGAGCTGAAACCGCATGGAATGAAGTACCCCTATCTGTCATCCAAGCTCAGCAACAAACTCGCAGATCTCCAGCTAGATTACAATCGTTGCTGCTACCAGATTTGGCAGCTTTGTGTACTAAATTCTGCACACTGTGCACCCCCCAAAATCCTGCCTGGAAATTTAATGTTTTTCTTCCAAGACTGTATAGTACATACGATAAATAATGTTAAAATTTATTTGCTTTCCTTCCTCACGTAGCAACTTTAACGTCCAGCAGAGTAAGTAGAAGGTATCTTATGTATCTCCAGATCATGGATTTATAAAGTTTATTTTTGGTGATATAAATCCGGTGCATGCTGTCTTATAAAAATAATAAATTGTTGTGATTGATAATCTATATCCAGATCGGTTTTCTTTAGAATAATTCTTATCATTTTGTCTAACGGTAGTGATCACAGTGTGTAGAACGTGCTTTTATGATAGACATATATCGGTCATAATAAAAGCAAAGGAAAAGACGGAACACTGTAGATGCGTGGTTAGACCCATATTGAAGAAGATTTTGATTGCGTAGTATGCTAGTAATGCTAACTTGGTAACATCTAAAGAACTTGGCAGTCGAGGCAGTTTTAATTCCATTTTTATTTGCAACTGATATTTGTTGCCACAATCACTTGGCATTAGTCGTGCCTTTCCACAGAAGATTTACATTTTTGATATTGTTGAGATAGAAAGCAAGCCAGCGAAATTACTTTTGATATTGAGATAGAAAGCAAGCCAGTAGAGAGCAAAAGCTGAAGTGCGTAAGCGAAATTACATCTTAGCACAGTAGAGAGCAAAAACTGAAGTGCGTAGTTATGAAAAGATGGAAGCACGGCGAAGAGAAAAGTTTTGGTTTACAAGGTCAGTTTCAGTTCCCAATTATTACGTCATCAGAGCTGCGCGGGCCATAGAGTGACCTAGAAATGACGCAATGCAGTGAAGTTATTACGATTTTAGAATAAAGAGGAAGAATTAATGTTTATAGTTTAAACTCTAATTTTGATTCATATATTTTATCTTACATATATATATAGATAGATAGATAGATATAGATATATCTCCTCTGAAGGAATAAAGAAGTATAGCATTTTTGAAGAAAATAGCTTCCTTAATCACCAATACGGCGTTTGATATTAATGTTTATAAATTTTGTCCAACAACTTGAATTGAAGGAGCATTAATTTGCTTTCAAAAACATATTTTTGCCATTTAAATTATAGAAAGTTCTTTCCGTAGGGAAATGCATACCACAGTAATATCACTATACTTAACAGGTTCACAGTCCTGGGGAATCGCCTGGTGGATCAATGGTCTTCTTATCCCTGAGCTCACCGTTCAGCGAGGCACCAATTACACTTTTATCGTGGAAGGTGGAAACGATAATTCCAATTCTGCATCATACCATCCTCTCTACATAACAAATAATCCTGAAGGTGGAGGAGGACAATTTCTGGACCAGGTTGGACTTCCGGTAAGAAGGTTTATAAGAATTTGTCTACTCTTAAATTCTTTCACAGTTTTCCACTGAGGTATTACATGGTATAATATAAAACATATGACTGCTCTTTTTTTAATATATCACATGCAAGACTTACATTTAGATAACTAGAAATTTATTTTTATTAAAAATAAAAAGTATTATTAATAAAAATAATTATACAATGGAAAATAACTGCATTTAAAAATCAACAAACACGTATTTGTAAACTCACTTGCAAACTAGTAAATATGAACCCCCTCCTGAAGAACCTTACAAAATACAAAGTAATGCTAAGACAGAGTAATAATAAATTTAATTAAAGAAGACTTGAATTACACATCTTTCTTGTGTACTTAACTAGCAAGTCGAATAAATCTCATATTCACAAATTTTTAAAAGTTGGAAAAAAAATTCTGAAATCAAGACATGAAGTTATTTAAAAGTTTGCCGGAGGTCGTGGAACTTCCCAGTGTATGAATATCTATTTGGTCGACTACTTTCTTCATCAATTATTCCTAGATTCATTTACCTGTGTGTATTTTCCTTTGTTTTAATATAATTCTATCCTCTCAAAGCATCTGATGCTGAAACAAATATGTAAGGATATATTTTAATTGAGCATGTAAATATTGACTTTCTATATTTATACTTAAATTATAATTGTATTGGGGAAAATAAGGCAAAATTCACAAGGCAAAGGAGGAATTCTGAAAGGTTTTACGAGTTGTATGAAAACTTTCGAGAAAAGCATAGTGGGCAGATATATTACGATATTTCAAAGAGATATAAAAATTTCTAGGTTCGTAGAAGTAATTTAAATAACTGTCTTATGATTGAACAAATTGCATTCTACTGAACCTGAAAGAAAAATTATATTTCAGCATTAAAACCACACTGCCCTCCAAACGTTGAAGAACAGCATGCTTTTCAAAGCTCACCATTACAAAAATGTCAGTAGCGTTTAAATTCACAGTTTATATGCATGATAGTAACGAAGTTGAAGAAAATATGTGCAAACACAATAGTTACCACTCTAATTTTATAGAAGTGAATACTTATATAGGAGTTGGAGAAAAAAAAATGCAAAAATTATAAGTTTTATTCGCAAGTGTCTTCAATTGTTATTAGCAATTTCGCTTACAATATCCAGGAGAATCTATCAATTTCGAGAAGTCGTTTGCTCGATTCGTTGAGGCGGGGGGGAATCGGATGGATGGAAATGGGATGTCACAAGCTGATGCTGATAGATGTCTCATTGGCTCTTGTAGTGTGGTCCTCTGACTATGGAATCAGTTTAAATCCGAGGAATCTTTGTCTAGAAGACATGTTCCAGGCAGACCAAGAGTTACAATAGCTGAGGGAGACCGTTATTTAGCTGTTTTGGGCCGAAGGAGGAGCAACATTACTGTGCCTCAGCACATGACAGATCATTTAGTGGCAACAGGAACAAGAAGCTCTACAGCTACTACATTGCTCAGACGCCTGCGTAATTTAGGTCTGTATGCAAGACGACTAGTTGTTTGTGTCCCCTTCACCCGAGAACACAGAGGTGCCCGCTTACGTTGGGCAAGAAAATACACCTCCAGGGCCTGTCAACAATTGATGTCTGTTTTCTCCACAGACGAGTTCAGGTTCACACTGGAGAGTGATTTAGGCCGTCAGCTGATTTGGATGGAACTCCGAACCAGATACAAACAACCCCACATTGTGGAAAGACACAGTTACGCAAGTGAGGGGATAATGGTTTGGGGTGGGATCCCTCACGGTGGTCACACCTGACCTGCATGTTTTCCATGGAGGAACTTTGACCAGTGTGAGATATCGAGACGAGATCCTTGATCAATATGTTCGCTTATATGCAGCTGTAAATTGGTCATTGATTTCTTCTGATGTACGAAAATGCGTGACCGCACCGGATTCGGGTTGCTGAAGAATATCATGAGAATCACGGTACGAAGCGGATGGAATGGCCAATTTATTCCCCGGACAATTATTCTGCAACAGCTTTTCTGGGACTACCTCGGGAGACAGGTTGCTGCTTTAAATCCTGCTTAAAGGTCTTTAGATGAGCTTGACCAAGAATTACTCTGTGTCTTTTCATTGCTTCACATTTCAATGACCGACAACATCGAACGTCGTTCCTGCCAATGTGTTGTAGCTAGGGGTGGACACATTTCTTATTAAAACCCATTTTTTTAATGTTACTACCCCCATGTTTCCTCAAAAAACTGTGATATACTCTTTCTCCAAGCCTGGATTTCTCTGTCAAAAGTGCAATATTTGTCGCATTCATTAAAGAACTGCCTTGTGAACATGTCCTCTAAATTCTTGTTTCTATGTTGCTTCATTCTCAAATCAGATATAAAAAACATACTGTTCCTTAACTTCTGGAGGTCAATGTATTTTTCAGTACCGACACACTGCGAAAAGCGAAACTGCGGAGTTTGTTCTTTTTCCTACCGTTCCACAATGTCTTTTGCAATGATATTTTCCCTTTGCATTGTTTTCTAAACAGCGTAATTCACAATCATTTTACTGCTAAGCATTTAAAATTAAGTAATATTTATTAATTAAAAAACTTAGGTTAAAAAGCATTTCTTCTACAGAATTCTAGTACTTGTTAAACATTTCACTAAAAAAATCATTTGATTCTAAAATAATTTACATGAACGTCAATTTTCGTCTTACCTCAAGACTGAGGAAGTAGATGGCTTTTTTACAGGAATTTCTAAGGCATCGAACTACATAATTAGGAACACTAACTGCAGTTTTATAGTCAACTTCAGTAATTTCTAGAAATAATAAATATTCAGTGGAAATCGTTTAAATTTGTTTAGAAGTTATGCATTTTTATAGCACTTCACAAAATATTTCTACTTGGAATGCAGCAAATATCGTGTTTGGAAGTTTCAATATTTTTTTTCTTTTCAGAATCATGCTGTATACGCTGGAATTATGACAGATGCCAATCAAAACCTAGTACCAACAGGAGGTAGGAAATGCGATTTAGCATTCAATTACATTATTGATAACTTTAAACTATAATTTTTCCGTGTGAATGCAGGTAAAGAGACAGTTGTTTGAAACACCAGATGAAGCTCCAGATACCAAAGCCCTACTCTCTCTCTCTATATATATACATATTATATATATATATATATATATATATATCGCACACTATTATATGTATATACTGTATATATTTATTTTAAGTATATGTATATATATAAATACTTATTTTAAGTTTTACCTATATATAGGCGAAACATATATATACAGAATGTTTCTTATTGAATGGGAAAAAACGAATTCCATAATAGGAATCTTGTAATTGATTTATTAAGCCGACACAAAGTAATACTGAAACTACAGTTATACAAGTTTTACCCGTCAATAACGCGAAAACTCTTCCGGTTACGAAATCGCTGCTAGAGGCACTATTAATCAAAATGGGGCCATCTATTCAGAGAAAGCGTACTGTGTTTTGGAATACGACAAAACATCATTGTTTATCGTTGTTCAAAGACACTTTCGCTCGAAATCTAGTAAAGCTCCGCATTCTCGCAACATCGAATGACGGGTGAGTGAGTGCACCGGTATGACGGCTTCCGGCCATGAATATTAAACAAACAGAATTATATACCGTCATCACGGTGAGAAAAACTCCAAAGTAACAAAGTTAAATATTGCATACTAATAACAGTTTCTATAGCTTGATACCTGCAGGCACCAAGCGTACTTTTGAAACATAATATTATTCGCGGTTATTTCTGTTTACGCAGTGTCTTGAGAGTTTCTCTATTTCACCATGGGCTACGCTTTTTTTGAGTGTGTTAGACGTCCACAGTGCTCAGGCACAGTCCGCTGGTTTCTTCAAGTGCCAGACTCTTGGATGTACACAATGAAAGTAATAGTTGTCCGTGTTGCCTTCCTCTCCGAATTCGCAGAAAGGAGTATCCCTAAGTCTGAATCTGCTGAGGTACACGGGGAATGGACATTAACTGTCAAGAACTGTGTTAGGCTAGCACGGTGAGTCTATATTTCCATGTTAACTTTTTACAGTGAGCGATATGTCCTTCGTCCTACCTTTGCCTTTGTCCATCTACTTTGCCAATTTTGTAGCAAAGTTGTCAAAGTTGTTCCCTTAATGAGAGACCAAGGAAGTTTAGTTGGTCGTTCTAATAAATCCGTTCAGTTAGTTGCCTGCTTGGCCAGTAGGTCAGTGGCTTCATTGCTTTGAATACATGTATAAGCGGTAACCTATTTTAAAGTGGGTCTATGTGAAATAGACAATGCCAGACGTTGTTTCTGAATTCGGTTTACAAAGGAACTCTGGCTGTTTTGACCTGCGATAGCCGCCAGACTTGATGCTGAATTGCTGAGTACGGAGAATTTCTGCTGTTGACATGTGTTCACATACCTAATTGCAGCACTGATAGCTAGCTCTGTTTGGTGTACCGAATTGTTCAAGCCTAGTTTCCTATTCTACTCGAATGTTACAACACCATTTTGCAGTCTACAGAAGGCGCTGCCGGTGCCGTTCTCCGTTTTGGAGCCATCTGTGAAAAGGTTATTACTGGTGCTTTGAATTGGTTGGTCGTTACACTGATACCGTCGGAGAGATTAAAAGCAGCTGGATGAAAGAAGTTATTGCAGATGTTTTGCTCCTCGTAATCCAAGTGGTGATAACTAGTATGATCCCACAGTGATGAAGTTTGACCCAGCCTGATAACTCTTACGATAGCTGCCTCCCTTTCAACTTTCAAATGTAAGGGAGGAATTTTTGCCAGTTCTTGTAGGGCTAGTGTTGACGTGGTAAGGTATGCCCTGCATACTTGAAGTAGCTGCTGTCTCTGAATAGAGAACATGCATCTTCTCATGCTAGAGGTAAGTTCACGGTTTGCCGCTTCTTAAGTTGTTACTCTTTCTGTAATGGTTCTATGTCAGATTTTTAGTGGCTTAGATGAGATACCCCACTTATGTGCAATCATGAGTCTCATGTTGTTGATTAGGAGGCTAATTCGAGTCTTAAGATTCCTGACATGTAACATCTTAACAGATATTTCAATTGGGGGAAACATTTTAGGCGGTAAGAACTTGGAAGAGTACCGCCCTCCTGACATAACTGTCTCATGGCATAATGGTATCTCTTCCTTCAGACCACAAACGATGGCATCCAGCAGCCCGACCGTGCTCACAAAATAGAAGATAAACGATATTAAAACTTTAAAAATACACGCCGAGAAGCTGAGAGGGTTCGAGCAACAGAAAAAGGTTAGTAGAAAAACTAAAACAAACAAAAAGTTAAAGACAAAAATGGTCACAAAGCTGATAATCAATTAAACCAAGAATAGAGGAAAGAAGAGAATAAGAGAAGGAGAAAACTGTAAAACCTGATTAGAATAAAGTAACAGGAAAAAGAGCAAAGAGCAAAAAGGAGAAGGATTACAATCATACAACAAGAAAACATACATTCACGAAGAACTGCACAACACAATAAAAGATACACAAACACAAAAACACCGGAACATCTGGAAGGGCAGAACCGAATGAGTCGCAGGAATTCCCAGTTATATAAAAGGAGAACTATAACACCAAAAGACTAAACTAACGGTACCAGACAATGCTAGACGTTGTTTCTGAATTCGGTATACAAAGGAACTCTGGCTGTTTTGACCTGCGATAGCCGCCAGACTTGATGCCGAATCGCTGAGTACGGAGAATTTCTGCTGTTGACATGTTTCTGCTGTGAAATGTACCGTTGGAAGAATCATTCCGATATAATCGCTGAGATGCTAGTTCTCAACGATTTTTAAAATCACAATATGCAGAATTATTATATGCAGTTTTAAACAAAATAAACTTGAATTTATTTAAGTCGATCGACAAAATTTAACAGAACTTTTAGAGAATCAAATAGTTTATAATTAATAAACTTTGAGCTTAAGTTAAATTTCTGTTGACTACAGAATTATATTTATCCAACGGATGTATAAAGGTAATTAAAACTGGGAAAAACATTGGTTCTGTTCCTCCATGAGCTAAATGATTTCATAAATATAGCATAAATTGTTTAAAGCGTAGGTTTTGAAACAGTTACAAGTGTAGTAGCTACATATGTCAGTGTATAATTCAAAGAAACAGACACAATGCTTTTTTGATAATCCATTAACCAACACTAATTACAAGATTAAGCCATCATAGCTATTTCACTTATATATAGTATACATGCAGAATTGACTCTTAAATTCCAATACAGCGATCTCCAACAGGAAAATTAATACAAACGAACACAGCACAAATAATAAGCATGTCCTCTCTCGGGAGAAACATATATATAAAATCCAAAAACAATGAATATAGAAACAACATATACAATATATATACAATAAAATGTTAAAATTACAAGAGCCGACAATCTTTCGGCCATATCAAACAATAAAATCGTTAAAAACACCAATATATACAAAATAAAATCAGTACAAGATTAAAACATCAAGTTAAAATTCACAATACAAATGTAAGTATAAAACCCAGAGAATAAAATCATAGATGAATAAATATTAAATTAAAATTCCACATTTGGTACGATTGGTGTTAATAAATCCCAGGACGGCCTCAGCAAAAGATTGTAATTTTATAAAGTCAGGAGATGTATTTCTAGAAATATTAAATCTATTTCTTAAAGACTGAAATAAGGCACAGTCAAATAATGCTCTGAATAACCAGAGACCCCGCACTACGAGCAAATACTGGTACTCTGTATATTGAAGCGGAACAAGTAAACAGGGAAACGGCTATGGCTGGTAAGGAATTGGTTGATATCGATGTTGTTGAAAGTCTTCATCTTTTTCTTTATATCTATGTATTTTAAGAAGCCCTTGTTCCTCTCTGAGGTGTTCCATTCAACTCTCCATTTGTCGATGTAAGTCTCTAAGATGATTCTGTCGGCGTGCCTGCGGGATCCTGAAATTTCAACATAGGGAATATTATCGGATCTAGCGGCGTGTCTGGCAAGCGCGTCCGCTCTCTCGTTGCCTTCGAACCCCACATAGGCTTTGATCCAATGTAATCTTAAAGAACTAAAACATAGAATATTTTTATATAAACATTTTATATTATACAAAGTAAAATTAGAGGTGACGGGATTCTGCAAATTTTGTAAAAGAGACAAGCAATCGCTGTAAATATCTACGAGTATAACAGACTTTGGTGGCAAGTTGTGATATACATAAGAAAGGGCCTGTTCGAGAGCACAGCTCTCAGCTTGAAAAGCAGAATTGTATTTATTTAATGTGAACAAAGAATAATCAATTTCGACACCGTAAAAATATACCACAAATGCAGCAGCAATGTGGTATCCCAATGGTGTTTAATTTTAGGCGGTATCCCAATGGTGTTTAACACTTGGGTTCCGTCTAAACTGCCTGCTGCGTCCTATTAGTAAGGCTTTGGTTTTCTGTGCCGAAACCCGAAGCTTATGGACTCTGGCCCATTTGGGAGAGTAGATAAAGATCTCATTTACTCCTTCCTGCCGCAACTAGCATAAAATCGTCCGCTTAGGCTATAATTCGAGCATATTCCACGCTCTCGAACTGACGACATGCTGAATTTGCCACTATATTCCACAGGGATAGGTCCGAGACATGACCCCTGTGGCACCCTCTAAACACATATTTGACATAAATGCCACTGTCTGATGTTACTTGTGCACTTCGATCTTGAAGGTACGAGCGGAGGATGGTAATAGTGGCTGTGTGGCAGGCTATGTTGTGCAGCAAATGTATTACGTCTGGCCACAAAAGGGCGTCAAAGGCTCTCTTGATGTCAATGTCTATTGACAGTGAATAAAAATCGTTATCCTTATTCTGTTGGATAGCGGCGATCAAGTCTTTTATGGCATGCTCAGTTGAGTTGCCAATTCGGAATCCATATTGGTTGGAGTGCAGGGCGTTGGTCCTTTGCAGAAAGAAGTCCAATATGGAAAGAATTACTCTTTCCAATGCCTTACCGAGCGCTGGCAGTAGACAAACTGGCCTAAAAGATGAAAGTCCTGTCGGAGTTTTGCCAGATTTTAGAAATAACGCCCCTTCTGCCAACTTCATATATTTAGGAAAGTGCTGATGTTTTCAGCAAGCTGAAATAACCGCGGAGAGTAATTTTGGGAATTTCTCCAGGCCGGATGGTATTCATAATATCTCTAATGATGATATTAATCAATACCATCCGGGCCTGGAGCAATTTTGGGTGCCAGAGTGCGTATGATGTTATTCACTTCCATTTGCATAGGAGAGGGTTCGTCTCTTCTGGCAACTTGGCGAAATTTCATACAGTAGATTTTTCTCGCTTCCTCTTAGTGATCCTCATCATCATCATCATGAAAAACTGCATTTATGATCTCACTGATCCCTTGATGCTGGATGAGGCAGTACTGTTCATCATGGGCGTAAGGGCCGTAGGACGAAACACATTGTTACATGTTGTCTTTTGGGCAGGTTCAAAGGCTTCTGTGAGATTCTCCGTGAGATTAACTTGGCCTCTTTAATTTTTCTTTTATATAAAGCTCTGGCTTTGTTGTATATTATCATTTTGAGTTGCCGTAGATTAAGGATCTACCGTGGATTGTGCTTTTCTGCGAAGTGCTCGAACTCTGCTTCCTCTCTGTGTTAAGCTCTGGTGACCACCAGGATATCGGAGTGTTTTGCCTTTACAGATTTCAAACGATATGCTTTGTGGGCGGCCTTGCACTATTTTTGTAACTAGTAAGTCGTAGAGATTATCTAAGGAGTTTCTGTCCTGGCAGTTGTTGAAATCTTTGATAAATTTCTCTACATGCGCTTCGAATGTGTTCCCGTAAAACGGAATGTCCTCCAAATGCCGTTTTGAATCTTTTCTTTATTATGTAGTCTATAGGAGTATCCAGTCCTGTAAGTAATAATTTTGTGATCACTGAGTGACGGCAGGTCACTCACTGTCCAATTTTGTATGTACGGAGTTGTATTGGGAGTTGATATTGTTAGATCTGGCCACCCTCGAGCTCTAGATGTTTCAAAGGTAGGCGGTGAGTCCTGAGCGTTGATGACAATGAAATGCTTACTGTGCAAGAATTCTAGTACCGCAATTCCCCTTCGGTTCTCCGAGTCAGCACCCCATAGTGGAGTTGACTGTTGGCATTCAAATCTCCTGCTATGATACAGTGTTATGCCGCAGTTAGAAGGTTAGAATAAAGTTCTTCTAATAGGGAGGTAATCCCTTCGTTCGGAGGTAAATACACAGTAATAATATCGATACTGGAATTACTAATGCCTAGTCTGTTGGAGACTGTATGCTCTGTGACTTTCATTAGGAGAGGGGAGAGAGGGCCACTGTAAATAATCGCAGCTAGCTGATTCTTTGAGAGAAACGTTCTGCTGTGTGTTGGAACACTGGGAATCACTCCGTTGTAAACGTAGGGCTCTTGGAAGATTCCGACATTGGCAGCAGTATGTGTCATTACTTGCAGAGTGTTTATGGTTGCTGCATAGCACTTCTGCAAGTTACACTGTAAAAATCGAAGACCTGCTATATGTTTATTTAGTGTCATCTTGGTTTAGTTCTTTGCAGTGGTCCTTCTCAGACTCTCGAAATGGGCTCCATACACTGGGCAGGAACTTGAAGTAGCTGGGTGATCTTGTGCTGAAAGAGGTCCCCTTTTCAGAATTACTACTGCAGCAATTAGTGCAACTCACTTTTTCCGAGCTACACTCCTGCGTCGGGTGGCTGTTACCACACTTCGCGCAAACTGGAGTGTTTTCACAGTTCCTGCTATAGTGGCCGAATTCCTGGCAGTTGTATCAGTGTATAATCCTAATGTACGGACGAAGAGTATAGGACTCAAAACCCACAAAAAGACGGACTAACTTAACTAGGTGTTCTGCTGACTTAGGTTCTATGTCTATCACCCAGCTTCTCCGACTGTTTTGCCTGGAACGGCTTGTACGTACTTGGTAAGCATTGGGATTGAAGTTGGGCAGGTGGTCTACAAGTGCTGTTTTTAAATCTTTTCTTAAATTCTCAGGTATTCTAAAATTAATGGCACTTTCCCTCCTTGTGCTAAGCTACCGAAATTCAAGTGTCTCTAGTAGTGCTGACCTGTCCTTGATTGCCTGTTTGAGGAGTAGCAGGTTGTAGAAACATTATTTTGGAAGCAGAAGAAGTGAAAAATGAGCAATGCCATCCCCGGGACTTGAACCCTGGACCTCTCGAATACACGTCTAGCGTGGTGACCACTACACCACGAGGTCATGCTAAGAAGGCGGGAGAAATACCTTATATACTCCCTCTTTTAAAGGGCGACTGGGGTTTTAGGGGACCCAGTCGCCAAATTCTGGTGGTGAAGAATCATCATTCACCACCTTTTAGTTCAAGCGCCTTTGTAGAGACGTTACATTAGGTTATTTTAGAAGCAGGAGAAGTAAAAAATGAGCAATGCCCTCGCCGCGACTGACACCTGGACCCCTTAAATACATGCCGAGTGTGCTGCCTTTACACCACACAGACATTTAAGCTCCTTTACCCCAATGAAATTCCCAAACATTCTTTTTCTCAATCTTTAACAGCAGAAAACTTATTTGAAAGTATTATTGAATTTCTTAAAATAGTGTAGCACAATTCTGTTTTTGTGAGAATTCATTGCGAATTTGAAGTTAACAGAAACTTCAAATTTCTTGTTAACTTTTCAAGTGTCAACTCACTTGAAGTTAACAAGAAAAATGGCAAACCTGTATATTGAAAGTAGTTTGTGAATCAGGAAAGCTGAAAGTATCTCATTTGAAAGCATGCAATATCAGATCTGTTTATACACATTCAAAATCCATATCTGCACTTAATATTTTTATTTGTTTAATTTTAGTTGGCCGTTTATGTGAATGGAAGCACAAAAGTGTTGATAAGGCTGAAGAATCAAAAACCTTTGAAGACTATAAGAAGACACTACAACTAGAATGCAAAGATGGTAAGCCAGGTACATTCGTCTGGATGCCTGACGAAGACACGCCAGACATAGTATATTATCAGGTAAATGTCAATTACTATTTTGAAACCTATCTCCGTTTCTTAAATGAACACTGATTTTATATTTGGAATACGATGCACTGAATGCCCTGCATATTTCAATAAGATTTCACGATTTAAGTTAGTGAAGTACCTGAATTTTTGTAGCAAATTCAAGATCTTAAGCAAATTACCGATTATATCGGTAATCTAATACCGGTATGGTTTGGCTTTCTTTCCCATTATGTTCTCAAGACTTAAGATACAAAATGAAGAACCAGAATCGAAGTAAACTTACAACGGAAATCTGTATTTCTTTATTACAAGCTAAGTAATGATTTGATTGCGTAATGGAACAAAAAGATCAACGTCGCGACTGCAGACTATAAACTATGGACTTTCAGGAAAATTTCGCAGTCTAAGATTTATACCAAAACTTTCTCAAAAGTTTGACTGCCAGAGAATTTCGCAGTCTCGAATATTCTCTTTCGACTTTAAAATTCATTTCGAATTTTTTTAAAAAAATTATTAATGCCTCAGCAAATATTAAAATTATTTAAATAGGAAACATAGGCTGAAAACTGTTATATAAGTGAGAAAACTGCAGGAAAAATTTTAAATGCGAAAATTTATTTCATATTTTCGAAGTGCAGAAAATAATCTAAAGTTATTATGATAATCGTGGAAATCTGCAGCACGATAAAATTGCTATCCTAATTATATGCTGTTTTAAAAAGTGTTGTATGAAATCAATTCAAAACGTTGAAAAACTTTGAAAAGCGTTTTATGCTACAGAATGTGCATATTGGAAACCTTCCATTTTTAAAATAATGATTCAAAGAAAAATGTTATTTCTTTGATAACATAAAATAGGTAACTATTGGCGTTTAACATTTGCTTCTCTCCCAGTTGGATTTGTCTCTACCGAAGATCTTATAAACTTTAGAAAAAAGATGATTATCATACAACGTGACAAATAGTATGTAGGTTGTAAAATCTTTAAAAAATTATGTGAATTCAATATTGATGCTATTCCATTTAACAGCATGTCACATAGAATGCACAGCATGTCACTTATTTCCATCAAATGAATGGTATTGTATCGTAATAAACCTCCGCTTCAGTTCAGTAAGCTTAAAATGTTAATGTAAAGCGCAAATACATAAACACCAAGAAGAGCCGAGTTAAAAATAAGAGAAAATAAAAGTAACATTTTTAAAAGGACCTAGAGAACTGTTGATTAAGAATGGGGATGGGATCAGTTGTATTTCATTACCGGTCTACTCAAGTTACGTACTTGACCATCACTATCATTTCACTGGCAATTTGTTTTTATCTGTAGTTAATGCTGACAACTTCATACGCACTCAATTTATCTTAAAAATCAGCTGGAGCTATAATTTATCAGCTATAATTATCAGCCTCACTAATCTAGATTTTTGAAAAAACACAAAATTGCAAAGGCCTTAGACCGAGTTGTATCTTTACGTTAAAGATGCATTTGCATAGTCCTTAATATCGCATTTCAGACTGTTTCTTTTTTATTTTACAATTGAGTGATGACTATTACCAGTTTATCTTCTCTACATATTTGATACTTCATTACTTCATTATTCCGATTTAATACACTCTTAGGAAAAAAAAAAAAAAAAAAAAACGACGCACTACGACACATCGAGAAGATATGAAGCAAACTGGACACAAATTGATATGCATACAGGTTTCGACGGAAAATGCAAAATTTTATATTTTGGCTGCCAATGAATGAACGGTTGTCGCTACAGTGCATCTGATCTGCGCAACTGGCAGGTATTTAAAAGGAGAAATTACGATACCATGTCATAAATTCTTCACGAATTTCATTCCTTGTACTCTGGTAGACAGTAGCTATGCCTCGCATACAGGTGCGCGAACGATATGCGCAGATGTCAGAATTTGAGAGAGAGGTCGTGTAGTTGGGATCAAAGAAGCCGGTTGGTCTTATCGGTGAATAGCAACTAGTGATTTAGTGACCGCAGGGACCATTCATAGACGGCTCACAGAAATGGGGGCTGAGATCACGGCGTCCCTTGCGGCGACTACCATTGACCTCTGTACAACGTCAAGCCCGTTTGCGGTGGTGTCGGGCTCAGTCGCACTGAAATGTCACTGTCTGGAGTAGAATAGTCTTCGGTGATGAGTCCCGCTTTGAACTAAGCCCCGATGACCAGCGAAGGCGAGTCTGGAAACGCCCCGGACAGCGGTGTGATACCAACCTGACTGTCTTTCGACAGACAGGTCGACAACCAGGAGTGATGGTCTGGGATGCCATTTCATTTCATAGGACACCTTTGGTTGTCATCCGTCGCAACCTTACAGCATAGCGATACGTCGACGAAGTTCTGAGGCCCGTTGTGTTGCCCTTCATGTCACGCCACCCTGGGCTTATATTTCAGCAAGATAATGCCCGCCCCTACACTGCAAATGTTTCCACCGTTTGCCTTACTGCTTTCTGAACATTACCTTGGCCAGCAAGGTCGCCGGATCTCTCTCCTATTGAGCCCGTTTGGAGCATTATGGGCAGGACCTTCCAACCAGCTCGGGATGTTTACGATCTAACGCGCCAGTTGGGCAGAATTTGGCACGGTATCCCTCAGGAGGACATCCGCAACCTCTAGCAATAGATGCCAAGTCGAATAACTGCTTGCATAAGGTCCAGAGGTGGACGAACGCGCTACTGACTTTTTCATTTTGTGAAGCTCTATCACTTCAATAAATCATCCAGTTTTTCTCAAACTTTAATCATTCGTTTTTCTGTACATGTACATGACTCCTACCGATTTTCGTCCCATTCGGATAACTTCTTGGTGCGTCGTTTTTTTTTTTCTCTTTCTTTTTCTTTTTCTCTAAGAGTGTACCTTACCAAATTTTTTTGTATTTTGATGATCTGCACCTTCTCGACTGAGAAAGAATAGCTGAGCCCACCCACCCAATCTAAATTAAACAGGTTTTAGAAGTAAAAAAATAAACAACTGCTTGATGGCCACCCTCTGTCCCTAAAGCCGTCCAAATCAGCAATGATAGCTCATCATTCCCACACTTACATTTTTATCAGATCCTCAACGGTTAGGAGGTCTATTTTACAGTCAGTACATATTTAAAGTTGAATTTGCGTAGCGAATGTTTAGTGTCTGCATTATACTTTGTCGCTATGAGGAAATTTTCGCACTTATTATAGGATATCAGTTTCGCTTGTAATGAAATTTAATGATCTCAGAGCAAAGATTTACGATGGCAAAATAAATTCAGTTTCGTTTTCTCTTCGTACTCAAGACGAATTCTGCCAGCGTAACACTGTTTTGCTCACATAAAAAGAGGGGAAAACGATTTTCAGTTAAATACGTCTTCATCTAAAAAGTAATATTAATAATCTAAAAAGTACTTTTATATTAGGAATTGCCAAATCTAGGTTTGTTTTTAATTATTCTTCATTTAATACAGTTGTAATTTATAAGCTTTAAAGTAATTTTTACGATTTAATTCAAGATGCATAACATAAATATTAATGTATGTTATGCATCTTTTGAAGTACCAGTGGTTTCCTTTCTTTGAAAAACTCCTAAGTATATAATTATTGCAGATTGTGCTTTCAAAGAAAGTGGTAAGTGTAAATTATTTACATTTTTTATTGTCTATTAGTGTCATAAATCCTTGAACAACCTTCGTTTGCATTATGAACTGCCGTGTAAATATTTACTCAATGAGAAGTTAAAAAGAATATTACTTTGGACCCTAAAAGTCTGCTTTGAACGTAGCACCAAATATTTTCTAGTTTGATATTAAAAATGTTCTCATGTAGCATCACAAATATTCAAAAACCTTATCAAATTAATTACTACACCTTATTAAATTTGTATTTGCTGTCTGGTTGAAACCGAGAATCAATAAGATCTAACTGACAACAGGCATTAAATTCAGTAGGGAAAAAAAACATAGATTTTACAATTTTTGTTTTCTCTGGCAGGACTCACAAAGTGGTTGTACAATTCAATGTCATTGCATGTAACATGTTTGTGTTTAAATGAACGTTCTTTCGACATTCTGTCACGTCCTCCGGGTCCAACAGCCAAATGAGTTTCTTGAAGTATGTGAAATAACTCAGTGTCACTGATGTAATACTGCATAGTACTCACGTCTTCAACAAGATAAATTAGTTTACTTTAGTTTTCCACAAATATCAAATCATAGCGATTCAGCAACCAATAGCCCCGTAATTCCTTCTTAGAAAGGCCTACCAGCGGCCGAACGGTTAACAGTGGTAGAAGTCGCTGAACACTGGCAGTGCGGTCCGAGGTTCGAATCCCGCGAACGGACTGCTGCATAGGCGTTTTCGTGCTTTCCCCCCGTGAGTAACGTGTATATGAACCAGTTTTCCTTAGAAAATCCTCCACGAAAGCATTCCTCCTCTCAGGCAGATAGCTCTCGAGGCTTTGCCGTAATCACATAAACCTAGCCATTTTGTCATTTTTGCTTTTTTTTTACATCTCTTATTAACTTTTGGTAAGTAGTTGTTATTCGAAACGAATCGAATTCCCGGAATAGGGAAATCTCCGCATATCTTATGTCTTTCATTTGCACTTTGGCAGCTAAGGATGATAGTTCAGTAAAGCCATTGAAATTAGTCCCGAGAAAATTTGCAAATATAACGCTGATTTTTGTTGTTTGACTTCTAAATTAGCATTAAAATATTTTGGATTTATCCATCAAATCATACCTCAGTTGAACTAACAAATAATTCGAAATATAAATGTTCATTTGCTCCAATAACGCTTTGCATTATTAAATTTTAATCGCCATCTATAATTGTAATGGCTAAAACATCTTACATTTTGCTGCCATGCTAGGAAAATTAACACTCGTTTTTAAGCGTTTAAATTAGGCTTAGGTTGCAGTTAGTTTAAGAAGACGTTTCTTAAACTAACTGCAACCTAAGCCTAATTTAAACGTTTAAAAACGGGTGTTACTGTTTTTTCTACTTTTTTTTTCTTCACCCATTAACGTTCTCATATTTCTCATTTGCAGTGTTTTACTCATCGGAATTTGGGCTGGAAAATAAACGTTATTGATGCAGACAACAAAGTGGCCGGCGCCATGGAGCATCTCAGCGAAGAACCAAACTCTGCTGCTATTACAGCTGCGTCATCTGCCATTCTGGGTTTAATCATACTTTTCATCATTCTGTAAATTACAGCAATATCATATGACTGCTTCATTGAGTGAAACCGTGTACAAATTCCGCAGTTTCCTTTAATTGCAACATTTTCAGAGTTGTTTTTAATAAGGAAACACCGACTGAAAACGTTATTGTGGCTTTGGGTTTTCAACTGAATGCAGAATAATAGATGATGCTTATTCCTAAAACATCTGCTGCTGCGAATAATATTTTATTTTTATTTTGTTTTGATGTATAAAAAGTAAAGCAATATGCTCATACAATCAACTTATTAAGTTTCACTTAGTTCTGTGATAAAAGTTTAAACGAAATGGCCAGTTAAAAGGAAAATTTAATACCATCAAGAATTATACTTCACATATTCTTTGGAAAATTCTTTGCCCTATTTATATTTCTTTAAAATATGCAATATAGTCTTGAAGTTTTATGACATTACTATGGATAAAATTTTCTGCTTCAACTTTTTACATGGAATAGATACTGCATGAAATGAAACTGTTAAAATTATTTTATAAATCTGGTAATTATTTTATGAATGAGAATCTTGATTTATGTGAGTGTTTCTATTAACTGTTGTTCATAATGTTTTATTTATTTATCATAATTAAGTTCCTTTTTTCCAAAATAAAGGAAGTTAATAGCTGGAAATAGATAGCATATTAACTCTTCTAAACATTCGTTTAAGTCGTACTACATGTTATTTATGAATTTCATACTACGAGTTTTATTTGAGTGAAGAAATATTTTTAAATCCCTACATGTTATTTATGAATTTCATACCACGAGTTTTATTTGAGTGAAGAAATATTTTTAAATTCCTTTGTCAGTTATGTTGCCGAAGTCAGATCAGCAAAGATAAAATTTCGAAAATTGCATATAATCTACTTAGTGTATTTGTTTCTGTATAGTGAAACAGAATGTATTATTTCTGTTGAAAACTGACTAAAAATAATTGTAAAATCGTATTATTAATTTACTTTTCATTTTTTAATAAAATATTTGATATTTATATTACTTGACTCATTTTATTGTAGAATTCCTACATTTTGTCAAACCACTATTTTAACTTATTCTATACTGTTATGTTTTTAGTAACAATTTCATTTTTTATAATGCGAATTTGACCGCACTGAAACCATGGAGGCTGGCATCAAATCTAACATGAATGTTAATTTCAAATAGTTTTGAGTAATTGAATACGTATTCTCCCATTTTTTATTAAAAGAAGTTTTCCATATTTTGAGTAGTTTAATGAAGTCTCCCTAGCTTCACTTACCGACAATTTTTTATTTTCTTCCTTTACCATGAATGCATACTTTAGAACGGTCTTTTGATTTATTTCTCTATATTCTGAAAACTTAAAGGCAAATGTTTGTTCATTTTGTTCTCTTTTATATCTATAAAATATGCTATTAAACTTGAGTTTGTGAATTTTCGCAGAATGCCACGATGACAACAAAATTTGCAATGGTGAAGAGAAGCATGACGTCACAAAACTGTACTAAGGAAATTCCAGCAGCGTGAAATCCCCATTTAGTATGACCGCCCTGTAGAATACGGAGAAGACTACGAAACATATTGTTAAATAATATTACCCTGATTTTTTTATACGCTAAGTAGAGAATCATTTATGTTCGATATTAAAATTTGAATGGGATTTATATGTTCACTGCTGAGTAGCTAACACGTAAATAACACGGATAACACTTAAAATGTAAACAAAAACAACCAGGAATTCGTCTATAGAATCGGCAAGGATAACTCGTGACGTCATACCGTCATTTTTCTTGACTTAATTTTCATTGCACGGGGCATACGGAGGAGGCTTCGTCTGTTTATTCTAACCTTCTTAATTTTAACAATTAACGGAATTGGAAACTGATTTCTAAAGAACGTTTGCCCTAACTATTTAAATTCTTTCTGCACATGTGATCGCTGTTTGGCAGTACATATGTGTGGTAAAATACTTTTTCTTCTTTCAAACAAATTAAATCAAAAACAAGAAATCCCATTCAAAGTGCTTCACTGGAATCGAGACTGAGACTTTGCCTTACTGAAGTTAGAGTGGACATTGATAAACCTGTATCAAAAAAGCAGTACTAATCATCACATTGATTTCTAGACTGTAAAATAAAGTGATAGATTAAACTAGTGATTTATATGTAATTCATTTTCTTTCTTTAATGTCTCTGTTCCTCACTTTCCTATACTAAAGTTTGATTGGCCCGTGGGTAACATAAGGTTGGACCACACTTACTTAGTTTACAGAAAAGTTCTACTTATTCTAAGGCCTTCTTCAAAATAAAGAATACGCTCTAGCTTTACAGAATCTGTGGGTGCACTTGATGGAGAAAATTAAGCATACTTTCTAGTTAAAAGGCCATCGCAAACACTTGAGCAAAATTTTGAGCTAGAAAAACACTAACAACATTCAAGAAATGAAAAACTGTAATGTAGCGGGGAAAGTAAAATATACTTATCTTTGTGGAGGTCATAATCTGGTAGTTGCTACTATTATAGAATCAAATATTAGTGCTTTCTAATTTTCCCCATATTTAACTGTCAGTATCATGAAACTTAGATCTTCAGACCAACAGTATATGAAGCGCAAAGCAGTAACAAAAAGGATCCTGGAACCATGAAATAAATTATTTACGACATGAAGTTACCTCCCCCTCTCCGCAATTCTTTACTTGCATCTGCAAATGCTTTATTTCCCAATAAACTGATGACAGATTTACATTTCGTTCAACTTCTCTCTGTGGCAAAAGACATTCTATCACTCAGACTATGAAAAGCGCAAGCCGATCATGCTTGGACACCCTGCAGATACAGATTTATCGCACACAATACACATGCAGTACACCCTGCCAAATGAGAAGGCATTAGCTATTTATACAGATGGCTCAAAGATGGCTTCGCCTACTGTGTACTCCAAGAAGGAGAAGTGGTTAAAACTTGGGAAAGACGAATGGCAGACAAAAATGCCGTCTTTCAGGTAGAGCTTCTTGCATTAAAAGCAGCCATCAATTTGGCAAAATATCAATAGGAATAAAGGTCAACATATATAGCGACTGTGCCCCAAGTTTGGAGTCCATCTGAGGGCACAAGACAATGAGTCCTTTGCTGCAAGATATTCAAAGTCCTGCTAAGTATCCCACCAGATGACAGACCTATCCTGATCTGGGTTACAGCTCATGTGGGTATTACTGGCAACGAAGCGACGGACGTGCTTGCGAAATCTGCAGCCAATGACTCCAGCAGACTGGAAAACACAGTAAGTGTTCCGCAGTCCTGTTTAAAAAAAAATCACGCTGAATAGGCTTTTACAAGGATGGCAGAAAAGATGGGAAAGGGAAAGCACAGGGAGGAAAATCTACAAGTTCTTTCCGAAAGTTATATGCTCAGTTAATACATACAGCGGAGCACAAACTCAATTCTACACTGGCCATGGTCCCTTCCCACATTATCTTGAGAGATTCGGCAAACGAGCATCAGAATTGTGTGACTGTGGTGCGGTAGGTGACGCAGATCACTTCCTCTTCAACTGCCCACAAACCGATAAACTGCGTTTAAAAATGCCAAGCAGTGAATACTGGCCGCAATGGGCGGAGAATACCTGCGGCGACAAGCAGACGAAAACTAAAATAGAGGAGGTAATCAGGCTATGCTCAGCAAGGTACTAAGAAATTCTCCCCCTCTCTTGAGAATTGAATCTTCGCAGCATAATTTTAATAGCAATTCAAAATACTGCAACAAATGAAAATCAACACTAGAAAAATAGCTCACCCCGTAAAATAGTAACAGGACTGTAAAAGCAAAACTATTTTAATGTAAGCATATTACTATCCAGTTTGTAAGTACTTGATAAAAATAATATTGTAAAGCAGTTTAAATGACTGAAAATCCAGTCAATGTGTAAATGAATTACAAGTTTATTTTGATTATCTCAGTAAAAGTATTGTAACATGAATTCAGATAATGTTTAAATGTACACATAGCTGTCATGATTTTATGTAATTATCATATGTAACTTGTACAAGACAATGTTTGTCATCAACATATCTATGCTTATACACAGGCCGTATATGCCCGTGTAATATTTATATGTATATTTTTACACTGAGGAAATATTCCCTTCTCGCCAGGATGATTATTAACACTGTAAGACTTTTACAACAAAGTCAGGTTAGTGGTTATCTCAGGCGGCGCTCAGTATGCAAAATTCTGCGGTTTTGAAAAATACATCGCTGCTTTTTTTCAACCGATGGTAAGTTAAATAAAATTTATATTTTAGAGGTGAAAAATAATAAAAAAATACGAAAGAATAAACGATATCTTAAAGAAACTATTGCTTATTTTCCATTTCATGGAAAGTTTAAAATGGTCAACGTTTTAGATGGTATCAAGTAAAGAAGGAATTGAGAATTAAATATGTTGTCCGTTACAATTGTCACAAAAAATGTTTCTTTTCTAACTGTTAGAAAATAATAGATATAGTAATGGTAAAAAAATGGTTAATATTTTAAAGAAAGAAAAATATTGAATTGATGATATCACGTGGACAGCTTGGTAACCGAAATAGTCTGAAAATTGGCGTAGTGTCACTAATCTGTGTGTCGGCGACTAATCCTCCGATTCTGGCAATCGAGGTGACCACTTTAATTAGGAAGTACAAATTAAACATACTTTAAATGTTTTTGACAAATTTTAACAGCTTTTTAAATTACAAGTTTTTAAGCAAATGGGTACTAAAATGTAAAAAACAAAAAAGAAATAATATATATTTTTTACCTGCCACAAAATTCTTGGTCGTGTGTAAGAACATATAAAATTGTTTTACTGCCAGCAGTGACGTGTTTTCAAAATTGCGAATGAGAAATTTTAATGAAATGAATATAATCCTTCTTCTGTGCTCCATGTCTGATCTCACTTCTCATGATTTTTAAAATTATGTTTACGTCGTAATAAAAGTAATAAATAAGAGGAGAAATGAATAATTAACAAATAGTGATACTAAGTTAATTAATATAGCGTTAAATTATGCAACATTTGTTCCACTTTTTTGCTGTAACAAATGCATGAATCGAGTTTCTTTCATCTAAGGTTTAGCACGTACAATTTAGAATGTTCTTTTAAGGGCACTTTTTTGGGAGGTCTTAATAACTACAACTCGAATATTTTAATCTTTCTGCATATAAATGTTAAGCACAAAATCCTAAAATCCATTTGAATGCAAGTAAATTACCTTCTTTTATCAACACCATATCCCCGATTCTTATATTTTGTTGCTAAAATATCACCCCCCCCTTTTTTTTTTTTTTTTTTTTTTTTTTTTTTTTTTTGTATATTGATGCAAATTATTGAGATGATTATTTCTCGACCTTTTTAAGACGTATGTGCCACTGTAGTAGCTCTTTGCGACAGATATGATTTGCTGTCAATAATAAAAGGTACAACACAGATGGGAGGCATATATATAAGAAAGTGAGCTGGAGGGTAAATTTATAAATCATCAACTTCCGATAAAGGGTCATTAGGGGGCGGACAAGTATTAAGCTTGTCCGCCCCCTAATGTGTGGACAAGTATTAGGTTTAACGACAAGCATCAAAAATCTCTTATTCTTTTCAAAGGATACTTATAGGACTTTATGCCAGATCCAAAAAGCTTACCATAATTTGGAACACTTGTAAGGTATTTTCTCCCTCCTTCTAGTGTACTCTTCGTGGTGTAACGGTAACACACTCGGCGAGTATTCGAAATGTCAAGGTTTGAGTCACGGCGCCGGCATTGCTCATTTTTCACATCTCCTGCTTCAAAATAACCTAACGACTCTACAGTAGCGCCCGAACTAAAAGATGGTGGGGGATAATTCGTCACAATCAAGATTTGGCAATTGGGTCCCCTAATCCCCAGTCGACCTTTAAAAGAGGAAGTATATAAGGTAATACATTGGGGGGGGGCAGTCAGACCCTCCTGTCCACGAATTGGCCTCATGGTAAAAAAAAAGAGTGACCACAGAAGTATATAAGGTATTTTCACCCGCCTTCTGGCATGTTTTCACGGTGTAAAGGTAGCACATGTGACGCGTATTCCAGAGGCCCAGGTTCGAGTTCAGGCGAGGGCATTGCACATTTTTCACATCTCATGTTTCAGAATAGCCTATTGACTCTTCACCCTGAGAGTTACGATTTACCACTCAGTGTTCGCTTACGAAATAATTATCGTTTGTGTTTCACTTATCTCAATAAACTCCCGAGGCTGTCTCTAGATAGGGGAGGGCGTGGGACATACGCCTGTTTACCTATGTTAAACACCAGGCGTCCCCCCCCGTCCTCCGTCATCTGTCACCTATTGTAAGTAATTCCAGTGAGAAATTTCAGAGAAGCAGATTAAAAGCATTGAGAATAACAAAAGCATTACACGCCGAAAAGTATAATTTTGCACTATACACTTAAATATAAGACAAGGGCGAATATTCCTATTTAGTTTGATAAATCGAAGCTTATGTATTTTTCATGATATTTTCATGATTTTCATGTAGAAGTATTTTTCATGATCATACTGAACTAAATGAGTTAGGTTACCTTTAGGAGGGAGTAAAATTTGCTACACTCATGTCCACAAATTAAGGATAATTCGGAGTCACGCGGAAATCGAACTCTAAAATAAATGTATCACCTGTAAAATCACTACACAGATCTTCAAGAATCATATGCAAATTTCAGGAAGTAACCAGATGATACCGATGGCACGTCACAATGACGATTGTAAGAGGGTGATATATAAGGAATACAGGCAAAGAAGTAAAATTGTTGTTCACAGGCGCTTTATAAGCATTTCAGTGCAATAACCGAATAGTTATGACACAAAGGACGCATTTGGATGATTTTTTACGTGGTAGAATTATCGGCCGTCTGGAATGTGGGCGTACCCAACTGGAAGTATCAGACGAACTTGGAATTGCCCAGAGTGTCATCTTCAGGTTTTGGCAACGATTCCAAGATGATGGCAATGTGAGTAGATGTTACAGCACAGGTCGCCCCAGAGTTACAACGCCGAATGAGGACCGGTATTTGGCAGTTACTGCCAAAAGAAACAGGCGGAGCACAGCCTCAGACCTGTCTAGTCAGCTCTCTTCAGCCACTGGTATGACAATTTCAAGGCATACCGGGTACAGACGCTTAGGGCAGATTGGTCTATATGCTCGTAGACCTGTCAGATGCGTTCCACTTACTGAAACTCACTGTCGCCTGCGGTTAGCCTGGAGTAGAGAGTATGCATTGTGGACACCGCAACAGTGGGCTTGTGTGATGTTTTCCGACGAGTCCAGGTTTAGCTTGCAGTCTGAGTCTCGCCGGACTTTTATATGGATAGCTCCAGGTACCTGTTACTATCATGAGAACATCATTGAACGACACCGTTACGGTGGTGCAGGAGTGCTCATTTGGGGTAGAATTATTCTGGGTTCCAGAACTGATCTGCATGTTCAAATTGGAACCATGACAAGCCAAATCTATCGAGACGTCATTCTGGAACAACATGTACGTTTGTTTCGGGGCCGCATGGGCGCACAATTTGTGTTTATGGATGACAACGCCCGTTCTCACTGTGCAAACATCGTAAGCGAATGCCTTCAATCGGAGGATATCACCCGTATGGACTGGCCAGCATTCTCACCGGACTTGAATTCAGTAGAGCACGTGTGGGACATGCTTGGCCGACCAGTTGCAGCCCGTCAACCTCCTCCTACATGTCTACCGGAACTTCGGAGAGCATTGCATTTTGAATGGTGTAATATCCCCCAAGATCAGATCGATAATTTGATACTCAGCATGTCTAGGCGTTGTACGGACTGTATTGCATCGTCTGGGAAACATACAATGTATTAACAATCATACCAACCATGTAATATTGTTTTTTTGTAAATAGTTTTTTTTTTTTTTTTTTTTTTGTAATTTGCTCCAGGGAGAAAAAATCGCTAATTTTTTTAATAATATCAAACATATGGCATCTTTTTTTTTTCTTTTTACCTTTTGTTTAATAAATAAGCTTTACAAAAAGTTAAATTTGTTTTGCTTCTAACTCTTCCCTTGCCTGATTTTGCATTATCCTTAATTTATGGACATGTGCGTATTTTGGGGCGTAACTAATGGAAGGATTAGTTTAATTGAACCTGCACTGAATATTCGTTTACATCTAAAATACGATAGCTTTTCTTATGTTTTATTTTTTAATTTTTACTCGAAGGCAGAACATTGGTATTGACTTCCGAACACTTCACATCAATCTCGAATTTTGTACACTGAATCTTCTCAAAAGAAAATGGCTACGCTGACTTAATTTTCTCATGCTGAAAAGAACAAAACCTTTTTCACCTGTGCAAGACATGCAGTTCTTGTCAAATATAAAAAATACAAATTTAAAACATTCAGAATTTTTAAATAGATGATACTTTTTTTTAATAAACAGTGTATGAACAGACACATGATATACAGAAAGAGCAATTGTAAAGTCATTGTACAATTAAGAAATTTCAGAATTTTTCTTCTCAAAAGCAGGTAATAAGATGTTAAAGATATTAACAATTAGCAACAGAAATCGGCGGAATGTGTGTAAATTTGCTGGCCTATAGTTTCGAAGGTTAAAAAGAATTTTCTTCTTTAACAGCAGGGATGAAAATGATGGCAGAGAAACGTACTTATGCAACAGCAACATACAATAAACATTGGAGAAATTTCCAGCTAAATCATAGCAAAACAAAGCTACTGTCTCCCTCTTTTGTTAAACACGTGAACGAAAAGCGATTAGGAAATAAGATGCCAAAGGTAAAGCAAGATTCGAATTGGGAGGATTAATCAGAACCTCAAGACTTTTATAAATGTGAAACGCTTTAGAAAATCTAATTCACCAAAGGAAACTTCTTTTTTGAGTAATTTTACCTGCACAGAAATGCAAAATATCAAAGTCCACCATTACGAGTCAAAAATATAATTTTTTAATTTCGCAAAGCAATGCCCTCCGAGTATTAAGATTAAAGGTGAAGCTACAGTCAAATAAATTTCCAGAAATGTTATGTTCCTCAGTTGAATGTCCTCAGTTCAATAACAAACTTTGCATTTTCCTGATTAAAATGTTGTAAACGCTCCTATTTATATGTTTGTATTTATATTTATATTAAATTGGTTAAACTCAATTTCTATTTTAAAGTTTCTATATTTTTCTCATCGTTTAATGTTATTATTCGATTAATGTTATCTGAATAGCCTTGGACAAATGTGATCACATCAAACGACGACTACCATATTAATAGAATAATTATTTAAGTCTTCTTTATTTCTCTCAGACGGAGCAAAAATGTCATCAACGCAATAGAACAGAACTGGAAACATTAGTTTTTAAATAATTTGGATTCATTATAATCCATACGAATAGATTCTAGTCATAAAAGAGCTGAAACAGGTTCCAGTGGCCAATATTAATCCTTGTCGTAATATTTAAAATCCATAATTTTGAATTAATCGTTAAAGTTTAAAATCAGTGCCAAACGTTTGACCATAGCGACAAACAACATAAACTAGTTAAAGGGATACAGTGAAATTCTGAGATTATTAGTTTTCTTGTTAAGCAAGGATTATGTGCAAAATATTCATAAAGAATTCGTTTAAATATTACATTTAAAAAATTAAGTCTTGAAAAAATTCGCTATAAGGTTCACATAAGTTCGGTCTGGACAACCTGTGCGCCGAATTTCATTGCACTGAGCCTATCTGTCTTTGCTTTATGCATAGATCATGCATAGATAGAGAGTTACTTACTCTTTTATTATGAGAAGCAGGTAATATTTCTTCGGATATACAAATTGGTTTGAGTGATAAAATCAATGGCAACAATCAATATTTCACGCGAAGATATAATTTGTATTGAAATTCAAAACTAAGACAGACTGGAGGTTTAAGTGAAAGGATGTTTGCGTTACATGGTATCCTATCCTATGAAATAAAATGTACAAAAACCGAATTTAAATGAAATTATAAGTAATTTTTGCAAAGAAATTATGCAGGTTTTATTTCTTTGTGTATTCATACCTTTAGTTGTCAGCGAATTTAACTTGACTGTAGTTCACATCACTGATCTGCAGTCTCACTGGTTTGAGTTTAATGAAAATGGAGATAAATGCTCACAGGAAGAATCGATAACTGGCAAATGTTTCGGCGGGTTTCCGCGACATGTGTCGTTAGTAAGTACAAACATCCTACTAACAATATTGTTTTGTATATAAGAGCCTTTATGGTAATCACTAAATTTTATTACATTTATAATAATTTTATGTGTTAAATATCTGAGTAAGCTGCAAAAAAAATCTTATGAAATGTCAAGTATAATCTACATAAGCTGAAATTTGTAAAGAAATTTTCTCAAATGATAGGATACTATTCTAAGTAAGCAGTGCTGAATTTTTTTAATTTAACGGAGGTAAATCAAATATACTTCTGACGCAGCAAATTTTGTGTGTGTAATTACTTACAATTGAATCTCAGTGCATTGAAATAACCAATAATCAGTAAAACTGAAATATTGGAAATAATTTTATAATTACGCCAGTCTCTTTAATTATTTGTAGAAGCCATTTCCTTATGAAAACCTGCGCTTTCAGAAATTTCGAATTTACGAATGGCCCAAGCTAATCAAAGTTTATCTATCAGTTTCAAAATCTCCCCAGCCCCAAGAAGAAAATATCAAACATGAATTTTTTTTTAATTTTCTAGATGCTACATCGTTGGGTTCATATTCGCATCCCGGAGAGAGTTTGGATGTTTTGCAAGTGCACGGGATACTCAAAATGCTGGTGACCCTGAATTTCTGTCAGAAAGTTTAGTTATACTTAGTATAGAAAAGGTTGCCCTTTGATTTGGTGCCAAATACCGATGTTGTTACCGGTTTTCTGGTAATCCAGGATCGACTCTGTGTTCGCAATGATATGGCAGCTAATTTTTTTACGTGACTACTTGTTGGTTGTGCATTAGCACTGAAGGCGTAATGAGTACATTTCCTCAAGCACAGAATTAAAGAATCATAAGTCAAAAGATTAACTACGAAATCTTTATTTTAATAAAATAACTTGGCTTAACTTAAGCATAACAAAAAAGTAATAATGTTCACGGACATTAAAACACTGAAGTATTGAAAAGAATAACTTACATAGAATCTTCATCAGTACTAAATATCAATCATCAGGCTTACCTATATTAGGCAATAAGAAAAATAAACAGGAATATACTTTGCCATCGTACCTGAAAGAGAAGAAAGTACTACTGGATTAGACCTTTGGCCAGGTACAAGTAGCTAGGGTGAAAATCAAATATTCTCCATTGCACACGAGCTTTACTTTCTCTCGCCAATATATACCTTGGCGCACGTTCGTTTCGTATGCCTTTCGAGTTTCATTATGCAAAATACCTAAATTTATGCTAACACTTCTTAAGTTTAGTCTTATTGGAACTTCTTAGTTTAGTGACTGATAACTACAATCACGTGTATTGAATTATTACAATTTTAATTGCCTTTAATTGACTTTTGGTTTTCGTCAACTGGCTGGTTCTAATTAATCATTGTCCTGTCGTTTCTACAAAGAAGTATGTTTAAGATAAGTACTCATTTTATTAATGATTTAGAGCGAACGGAATAAGTTATAAATGATTGGTATGTGAACGAAGATTTAATTAGTTCTCGCTATGAATGTAAAGTTTGTACGAAAGATGAGTCTGCCAAGCTTAAGGATCAATTGGATAGCTATGAGTGGGTTTGTCGCAATAAAAGCTGCTCTCAATTGGAGCTCCAAAACGAACGGCATTGTGGCCATGTGGATTCCAATTAAGCTCGAGTTTTCGTAAGCGGCACCTTCGGCAACCGTCCGATGACATTTTGTACTCCTACTTTGCGGAGTTTATATGGCGTCCTCAGTAACGGGATCAGGAGAAGGAAGATCAGTTACGAACTACATGATTTGCATTATGTATGTGAAGCAGTCATCCGATGCTAACGATGAGAGTAGCCAATAACACACGAGGTGAGCAGTTTTGTGGTTTGTAGTTTGTTTTGTTTGGTTATGTTTTCGGCGTTACTTTGGATGATAGTCATCTTGGAAACATTGCATTGTGGCTCCATGCTTAGCTTCATAAAAATCGCAAAAAAAAAAAAAAAATATCAAGGGGCACCCAATTGTAAACTTTTACTGGTAGATGTAGAAAAGAAGGAGACAATCCGTCTCCCGAGATTTCTCTACCAAAATTGGTCGGAGCTTCCCAACTGTTGCAGCTGTAAAATCAGCAGCTTCAAAAGTTGCCTTTCACAGAGCTTGAGTACCGAGAATCATTTTTGAAATTATACTTTAAATTGCTTGGTCTAAATGCTCCGAATGTCTAAATATTGTTAATCTTACTTGAAGGTTTGGTAAAATGGGATTTTAGCATGGATTTTTCATTTTGTTTGAACAGAATGAAAAAGCGGTCTATTTTGCAGCATATCTTAAATTTTACAATGCATTTACTGCATAAGTACTCTTTGTATTTTCACCTTATGCAAAATTTAGATGAGGATTTTAACCAGGGTTCATAGTTTGAGATCATTTGGAAAACCAGAAGTTTTTAATGGAGATTAGATTAGCAATAGCATTTTATTTGTAGTATGTAGCAATTTACTTTTAAAAATTATCAAACAGCTCATGACGTTTTACTGTCGCGCAGCTCGAAAATTCTACAACGATCAAAAAGAAATTAAGAACCCGGTTATTATGATTATAATATTAATGACCCATGCTTCAGTATAAGGCCTATGGCTAATCTTGGTAATCTATTAGACTAAATCTTGTATTATTTTAGTGCTGTGTATATGTATTTCTCTTATGTATAGTCTGTCTTAAGTATATTATTCATGAATATTGTATAATGCAATGTACTGTATGATTAATTTGTCTTAGCGCACTTGGGATTCGTATTTGTTTATGTTTGCCTATGTCTATTACAGTATAATCAGGTCTTTCACCGGCTCGCCAGCTCATACATTTGGCATTTTTAAGTCTATTAGAATTTTTATACGCTTGATTTATTTAACTAATTATCTATTTAATTAGTTCATAAAATCAAAAAGTTATATATATATATGCATATAATTATATGCATATTCACTACAGTTATTTTAATTTGTATTCATTCGAAATTACTTATCCCATTCGATTAGAGGTAGGGTCCTAGCACTCTCTCGCATACCACTTTTAAAAATATTGGAAGATGTAACATAATTCAAATGATTGCAAGTTTAGAATAATAAATTCATTATAACATATAACTTAAACATGATAATATGTATACATATGCTTAAAAGTGTTTTCCTTATGGCAACTAAACATATAGGTTGCTCAAAATCGTAAAAACAACCTTGTATTTAGCGTAGGTATAATGAAACACTCAATCGATTTCGAGAGCAGCTAAAGGTCCCTCCTCATCAGGAGAAAGAAATACCTAGAAAGAAGAAGATAAAGGAGTCACAGAAACACGTGGTCCTTATCAGCACTGCACGTGGTTATAACTAGATTTTTAATCAGAGTTGCACTGGCCGCCTACTTTTACTGAGCCAGGCTATCTGATCGAGCATGAAAAATTAGCGAAGTTAAAATAGGAAGCGAGGGGCAAATGCACCTTACGCTCGAAATATGAACTGCAAATAATGGAAAGCAACCACTGAACGGATTTTTATACCCTCTGGTAGTAACAAATGCGAGGAGGTAACGCCATCTATCGGCAAAAATAACTGAATTAAGATAGTGGAATTTTAAAGGCATTAGGAAGGACTGGATAGGACTTCAAATCATTAACTAAACCTGCTAAATCTTTGTGAATGTGAAACGCCTCAAGAAAATCCAATTCACCTATGGAAGAAGCCTTTTGGATAATTTTTGCAGATCCAAAATCAAAATTATGTTTAAAAGTCCAACTATGATACGCTATTGAAGACTTGTTAATTTCGCCTTTTCTGACATAAGATTCATGTTCCTTGATACGAAACTTCAACGCTCTTTTCGTTTGGCCGATATATCTTAAAACACACTGACACGATATACTATAAATTCCCCAAGAATTCAAGACAGAAACGCAATCTTTTAGAATCGAAGGGTGAATTTTATTAATAGGGGAGAAATCGACTTGAAAATTGAATTTCTGGAGAATCCGTGCAATTTTATAGCTAACAGAAGGATAAAATGGAAGCACGACAAGGTCATTAATGTTATTTCTAACAGTGGAATGTCTTCTTTGATGGGAATCTGAAAATTTCCAAAATGAAAATTTCCATAAGTCCACGAGATACGCAAGAAGGAGAATAATTTATTTTCTTCTTTCTAGGTATTTCTTTCTCCTGATGAGGAGGGACCTTTAGCTGCCCTCGAAATCGATTGAGTGTTTCATTATACCTACGCTAAATACAAGGTTGTTTTTACGATTTTGATTGTCACATTAGCCTGTTTCTCTTCTAGTCTATATAGGTTGTTGTTAATCCCTCTGCCGCTTTAGTTTTTATACTGCCAATTTTGCTTTGCGGCAAAACTGTCAAGCGTTCGTAAGTTCCGAGCTAATATTTGGACCGAACGGATAATACGTAAATACCTAGAAATGAATGACGTTACATATAGAAAATAAGTCATCTAGTGCCTAATGATATTCTAAACAAATCTGGGCTTTTGTTTTTTTCCATAGGTCCACGAGATACGCAAGAAGGAGAATAATGTCTTAGTCCTGAGCTCAGGAGAGTTCTATCTAGGCCGTTCATTGAATGCTTTACATGGATGGAAATTAGCACGCGCATTGCTACCCTACTTGGACTTGGATGCTATGGTATTACTCCATTAATAATGCACTTTTTAACTTACAGTAAAACTTTAGATAGAAAATGGTGATTATTCGGGCTACATCAAAAATGCATTGATTATGGACTGCTGATATAAAAACTCAGATATCAATATTTTATCAAATATGCCATTCTTTGTTTCATCTGCGGAAGCGAAAACAATATCCATTTTTAATAATACTGCCGTTATGCCAAAGTTTGTTTGTACATAATGCCCAAAATCTAAAAGTCATGCATATTGCAAATGTTTCAGCGATATACATAATGTCAGGTATTGAACGCAAAGTTTTAGGTATTGAATGCAAAGTTCTATTCACGGTGCGTGATGGAAAACATCGGGAAATTCAATAGACAGAATGATGAACCGTTGAAGAGAATCATAAATCTCAAATAGCTTGGTAATGATTTTTTAATCTGTTCAGATCAGGTTTAGTAACTGAGCATCGACAACGTAACACTTAAATATTCTCCCGGAATTCTGGAAACAGAGTTGCTTGTTAACTTAACACATTTACTCTAAAACACAAGCTCGAAAGAGCTGACGTTGATAGATTTCTTGTGAGTTTCAAAATAAAGTCTAAAATTCTTCTAAGTAGTAGCATTACCTATATTAAAAAAGACCCAGTAGTATTATAGAAAAATTCAATATGCTTCTTCTCAACTTATGAAACAGCAGCTTTTAATTCCTTGAAAAAATGGCATTTAAAAATTACTTTTGGTCGATGTCGATTTTACCGACGCTAACGATTTATACCAAGTTTTGCTGCTTTCATTGTTAACCGATAAAGCAATGCAAAATCATAATCAAAACCAAGAATTGCGAAAAAATGTGCGACAATTTTCAATTTGCCTTCAAATGAGAACGAAATAATTTCATTCTTCTAGGAAAAAGGTATTTTGCTGTCCACTTTCAGTTTCAAAAACGAGTGGTAATTGATATTATATATCATAACAGAAGCCATATTGAGATATAAAGGAAAAAATAGAAAAAGATAGACCACTAGTTCTCTGCTTCTGTAGAGTTCCTCACTTCGGAATTCTAAATTAATGTTGGAAGTGAAGAATCTAAGAACTGATAAGCGAATAATCGCTTGAGTTCGGTGACAAGAAACAACAAGATAGAAGGGTAACTAATCCTTTATAATAAGATTTATAATAAGATTTAACAAAACTCCTCCTGGAAGTGTACAAACAAAGCCCGCACTTGGACTTGAACTTAAAAGACTATGAATTAAACTAAAACTAAGATTAACTAAAGAAGTATAGCCGAAGCTATCAAGGTTCAAATCGAGTTGGCCCCTTAACTTATTTGACTATGAAGCTTAGCAAGGGCCTCAGTACGGCCGAGCGTAACAACAGCTTTGAGAGAGTGGCCAAAAAGGCAGACGCGCGTAAATCAGAAACTTTGATTCTCTCTGACTCAGTAAGTAACTTCGTGGTTTAAATACCGCTCCTCATTAAATATTCAGCAAGATTTTCAAAACTACATTCTGGCCGGAAGTAGTAAGTTGAAGTTAAGAATTTAACAGGAAAGGAACTTTAACTTAAAATTTAACTGTTAATAAAATTAATAATCCTTACACTTCAAAAATCTCATTTCTGAGAGCGGAAGTTTGCTATTACCATTTATGATCACCTGAAAAATAAACTAAACTTTTTCTAAGCAGAAATTTATATTTTTGGAAATACATTTTTTAAAAAAAAATGGGTCCAAAGATGCTTAAACTTTACTGATGCTTAAACTTTTCTTATACCATGGGTTCCAAAATTTTTTTTTCATATGAATTTTTTCATGTGAAATTTTTCACAACCATTTTTTTTTCAGACCCTACTGCCAAAAATTAAAATTCCCACACCAACTTCTCCAGTAATGATAATATTTCAAATCTATAAGAATATTAAGAACAAAAAATATAATTTATAAGAGTTTATTACAGAAATATTCTGTTTTCCCATTCATATTTTAAGGAAAAAACAAATAAATCAATGATCCTCATGACTTGCATGTCTTTTACAAGATTTTCAGTTCTTGGTTGAACAGAAGAAAATGCGGAACGCAATCTTGAGTTTGCTTCTATACTTTTTTATTGCTACAACTGCTGAAAGCACCCTTTCGAATGCATACTTGAAAACGGTAAATACAGGTGCAGTGCTTGCTCTGCTATGCTCAGATAAACTTTTACTTATTTTATAATATACATATTTGTTGTTGTTGTTTGCTCAGATATATTTTACCCTTATCCATCAAAAACATCTTCTCAGAGTCATATTTAACTGCAGAATCTTTTTTTAATTTCCAAACCTTCCTTTTGTTGCTTCTGGCAGCACATCCATGTCAATGTGAAAAAGATCCGTCACTAATCTATACATGTTATTATCACACGAGTTAGGAAAGCAACGTTTGAATTCTTCAGTGAGGTAAACTGATATTTTATTCTTAGTATCAGTACCCTTAGAAACCTCCTCAAAGCGCGCTTCTTCCAGGATCCCAAATAATTTGGGAAACCAGGAATAGCTGCAGGGTAAAATTTTAAGTTCCCTATGTTATAACTTATCATTATATGCTGTGATGGCATCCCAATGATAAATTATGTTACAATCTCTACTTTATAGTAATGAGTTCAATGAATCGAAAATATATGCAAATACAACTTGAAAAACTGGCTTTCAAAATTCCCCATATAATTCAGTATGATTTTGAATTTCCAAAACCTTAATACCTTCATCTCGAAGTTCAAATAATCTTGCTAACATATTACCTTTTGAGAGCCAGCGTACTTACGTATGAAACATCAGTGATTCATGTTTTGTTCCTAACCCTTCACAAAAAAGGGAAGTATTTAACGCATTCTTTTTAGCATGGTTGACAATTTTAATGCATAATTTTAAGACATTGTTTAGTTCGTTTGGAAGTGCCTTAGCTGTCAAGGCTTGATGGTGAAAAACACAGTTAATAGCAGTAACATTGAGATTATTTCCTTTCACTGTCTGTACGAATACATAGCGAGATCCGAGCATTGACGGTGCGCCATCTGTGCATACGCCTAACAGCTTTTGCCGTGGCAGTTGATATATGCAATAGTATTCAGAAATTGCCGTAATTGTACGAATTGCTTTTGAAATAGTCGTTAACTCTGTAGAAAACAGCGCCTTTTCTTTAACTGTTTCAATTTGTGCGTATCTAACGAAAGCGAACAGTTGACGATATTTCTTACATCCTTGTCGAACTCTATTGCCCAAAAAATTTTATTCTTTAACTACTTGCACGAACTGATTTTTTTACCTTCGGCCGAATCATTAATGTGACGTTTTACAACTGTTGTCAGAAAGCGGTATTTGTGAAAGTTTTCGTTTACTCTCTAGTCCAAGAACAATATCAGCTGCTGTCAACAGACAAGGTTTGATAGATGTTTGTCCAATAATATGACTTTCTTGGCTTTTGCGATGAATAGCCATAACTCAGCTTTGAGTGCTTTTTCCGCTAACTGAAGAATCCAGTATTATCCACTTTCATGCGTTTCAAACTTTTTCATTTTGCAGCCAAAAAACTTCTTCGGCTTGTCTTTTAATTAGCTGTTTAGTCGACAAATGTCGCTCCAGACGAGAAGGTCTCATGACATCACATCTCAATGCTTCGTAACAAATAACAGATAGCAGTTGATCGACACCACCTCTTTGTATAGCAAAAAAAAGAAAAGAAAAGAAACTGTATGAATATAATCATTATTATACTTGTTTTTTTATCAGCGAACACATGACACAGTAAAAAAAGTAAGAATACGGCAGTTTACTTAGTTTACTTTCGCATCAAAAATACATATAATTGCACTGCTTATATGATGGATACTAATTGAATTGAGGCCGAATTAAGTCTTTGAGCGCAGCAGGGTGATGCGAATTGTGCGGTGTGCCTAACCGGTGAAATACTTCTCACCTTTCCAGCAGCCCCCCCCTTATATGTCTTTGCACCTCCCTTGGAGGGAGCGCCCCCTACTTTGAAAAATCAATATCCTAGACGCTTTGGTCATCGGTAAAACTGGCAAATACCTTACATTTAGTTGAATTTTTTTTTCATTTTAACATTAGTATTACTCTTGTAGAGATCACTTAATACGAGGGTCAGTCAAAAAGTTAGTTGCACTGCCTAAGAAAACAAAACAGGAGTAAAATTTTACAATAACTTCATTTATATCTTAAGGTTCCATTCAAAATCTACTTTTCAACGTAATTACCTCCGTTATTTAAGCATTTGTCGGAGCTTAGCACAAGTTTTTCGATGCCTTCTGCAAAGAAATCCCGCCCAATGTCCATTGTTGAGCTGCAGCTTTCACTTCGGCATCCGAATGGTACCATTGCTTTGAACATTCTTATTTCATGGGACCAAACACATGGAAGTCAGGAGTTGTCAGGAGCTGAAAGGTCTGGGCTATAAAAAAGGTGGTTCCACACTTCCAACTTAAACTTTTTCAGAAGTTCAGACGTTTGTTTTGCTTCATGCGGTCTTGCATTGTCATGCAGGAGCACCATGCCTTTCGACTTTATGTAGCCTTTGATTTTAAGTGATTTTCGCAATCGTTTTAGTGTTTCACAATAAGAAGATGCATTAATTGTGGCACCCTTCGGCATGAACTCTGTATGCACCACGCCTTCTCTATCGAAAACCAGCGTCATTATCACCTTTCCTGCCGACGGAACAGTTCGACACTTTGTGTCAGGGAACTGCAATGTTTCCACTCGAGCTAGCTGCGTTTCGTTTCAGGGTGAGAAGTGGTGGATCCAAGTTTCATCTCCAGTCATAGATTTGTCTCAAAACTCATTTCCTTCCGTTTGGTAACGTTGCAGAAACGCAAATGCACTTTCAAAACGCTTACCTTTATGTTCCTCCGTCAATAGACGTGGCAGCCATCGAGCACAAACTTTACGAAGCAATAATTTTATGCATCCATGAGAAATATCCAGTTCATTTGAGATTTCGTCTATCGTTATGCTTCTGTTTACAAGAATGCATTCATTCACGCGAGCAGCGATTTCCGAATTTGTTGCAGTTGATGGTCTTCACTTGCGCGCAGCGTCGTCAATATCTGTACGTCCATTCTCAAACATGTTGCACCATTTCGCGATAGCTTGACGTGACATTGCATTTTCACCATACACTTCATGCAACTGTCCATAAATTCCAGTGCAGTTGCACCTTTTTGCCCACAAAAAAACGAATCACTGCACGCATTCCAATTTGGACGCTATTTGCAGCTGTCGAGACATGTTTGCGACTGGTGATCAGAAAAACTAAACTTGCCTCGGAGAAGCCGCTAAGTCACGCGATAAAGGTACATGTCTGAAGTGTTGCCACACAGTGTCATCCAAATAGTATTAAACGGAGAACATTTACGCAGTAGTGCAATAAACCTTCTGACTGACCTACGTACAATTTAGCTTATTGGGTAAATTTTATGCGTGAGTTTAAGCCCTATTCATGAATATTATATCTTTCTTGCTATTGAAAGATATTTTGTTTGTTAAAATCAAATCTAAGAATGAATATCCTTACAATGTAAAGCATCAGGAAAGTAACAGCCCAAAATATAGTAAAATGTAACATTTATGTTTGGATTTACTTTAGAGCAAACTATATTCCCAATTTTAATACTTATTGGCTTAACGTAAATTAAACATTTGCATTCTGCTTGAATTGCTTTTAATAGTAAGTATTTTCCCTTAAATGCTTGATGATGATGTTTGGTATCGCCGCAGGTTTTCTGACCTTGTTGGTGGCGGAGAACCATCTGTATTTGATAATGAGGACCAACTAATGCTAGTCTGTTTAATTCGAAGTTGTTATTGGTGATTTTTGCCGGTAAACGACTCTTGTAGAAATCGGTGTTCTTAATTCCTCTTGTCAGGTCAAGAGAGAATTTCCGACCTATTAGTCCGTAGTAAAACAAGAGAGCCTAAGAGCGGAACGATTTGAAGAGATGTCTCTCCCGTGCGGCGAACGTAACCGCTGCAAAGCTGATTCCCCATAGTCTTAATCTGACGGTCTTGGTATCTGATATACAGCCCGCGTAATAGCGCAAGTCATTTGTCTTTTGTGGTTACGAGTCTGGTTTGTTGTTTTACCGTTACATTGTTGTAAGAAGCGAACGTGGAGCTACATGGTTTCCTTGTTCATGAAAGTAGTAAATGACTTTGGCAACCGAACTTTGATGTCTTGCGTAAATGGCAAATATCAAATCCTCTTTGAAAAAGTTCCCTTATTCAATCGCTGCCGATATTTGGATGTTTTCTAAAGTGAGCGGCTGATTAGTCCTCAGGAGAGATACAGACTCCGCTGCTAACATTTTGATGTGAATAGTGTGAAACATTACTAGTCATTGCATTTGCCCTCCGTGTTAAAGGTGTGGCTACGAGCGATGTGCGTTTATCTGACTGATCATTTGTCTGTGGGCTGCTGCTCCAGCACGTGGGTATGCCTAACTGGAACCTTTATTGAACTGTAGGCGTAGCGTTGTGGTATATATGATGTAGGTCGTTAGTTGCAAACGTGTGTGCTCTTATTATGTTCGTAGTAGCCAATACGGTGTTTCCAATGTTTGCTCGCTTTCTTTGCTGTTATCGGCTAGCGTCTATTATCACAAATGGGAACTAAGGAGCTACGTGAATCCTGGGTCCTTGGAAGTGGTAAATGACCTGTGGGATCAAATTTAGGTCTGTTGCCTAAAGGTTAGGTATCGAACTCTCATTAAAAAGTACATCTGTGCAATTGCTACCAATTTGTGAATCTGTTTCTTTGTGAGAACGTCTTACTGGTCCTCGGGACTGCTACATTACATATTAATTGGCGATAATAATACAGTACCTCTACGTCTTCAGGTTGTGGCCATTTGTGTGATCATAAGCGTTCATGAAAGGGTTATTGAAACTATTTTCTTAGAAGACTATGACAGAGTGAAATAAATGATTTAAATATTATGTGGCTTTTTATGAGCCTTGGTATGTAAACAAAAAATAATTTCAGAATGGTAATTTCAAATATAAACAATAAATGGAGAATGCATTTTCAATATAAAAGCTCAAGTTTCATATTAGGATTGTCGCACATTTTTTGTATTTTTCCATCCATTGTTACTATTTTCCAGTAGATCGTACGTATTACTTGTAACTATATGAAAGTTTTATATTCTAAATTTCTAAATGTAATTAATATTAGCAAACCTAATGTAACTGTATTTTGAAAAATTATAAACAGTTGTAATTGCTAAATCCTAGTTTTATCACCATGATGGCTTTAGGTTTCCAAAATATAATTCTTAAATGGGGCAGCACAGATAAAAAGTTTATGCAACATTGCGTTTATTTTTACAGATATATTTATAGCTTCCTAATCCAGCAGATAATTAAAGCAGTCATTTTCAACATAGAGTAATTTTTATTTTGTTTCAAATTTTCTTTAGAGTTTGTCCAATCACGATTTCAACAGTGGGATGTTCGAACTCTCAGCTTTCCTCTACGCAATGAAATTTCCTGTTCTGTGCGCAAATATGTGGGCAAGAAACACTTCTTTCATCTATAGTAGAGTGAACAGGAGCGCTGTGTTCAATATCGGGGGCGAAAAAGTTGGAGTTGTTGGTTACGTGCATCCAAAGACTTTACAGAGATCGCGAAAGGGTAATGAAGCTTTCAATCATACATTTATTTTCCTATGTACGATAGAAATAAATTTAGACTTTAGTCTTCTCATTCTCGTGTTGTTCCTTTCTTACTTTCTTATCTTTTTTTACCCTGTGTAAAGAAACTAGCCATTCAATAAAACTCCAAAATCTTTATCACTCATTAAACCAAAGAGAGCACCATGAATAACTAAGAGGTACTCTATAAGCTTTATTTCCTTAAGAATTCATCATGTACTTCAATTAAAGTTAAGCTCAGATTTCGTTATGAACACAGTTTCAGCATTGTAAGTGGGTGGATTTTATAAAAGTAAAACCTAATCTTTTTATTTCTTAATCATTTATGTAAAAAAAATTTACCAATTAGTAAATATTGATTCCACAGAGATGAACTGAATAAGCATTTTCGAATTTACTGATGAATGCTCTTTTATCCAAGATATAATCATAAATCGCTAAAACAGGAATTTTCCTTTGTACGGCTACTCCCTAAAGTCATTCTCAAATAACCTTTTTTTATTTACGGGGATGCACACAATGGTATTCGCCACAAGCAGGGATGCCCTATGGAAGGAGGACATATTTAAGGGAGACTGGCTAGTATCCACATTGTATATGAGGAAAATCGCGAAAGCGCCCGTGCAGCTAGCCCGTTCGCTGGGATTCGAAACCCGGACCGAATTACCAGAGTTCAGTGACTTGACCGCACAACCGCTGACGGGGGGCACTTTTTCAAAGGTCTTGAATTATACAAAAATAGCATTGAGAAAATGATCCGAAATTGATTCTCGGAATTTCATTGTGACTAATCCTCTTGATCTGAATATGATTTAAACCAGGTCCACGAGGTCACCGCAGCCAAAAGAGAAAGTATCGCGAATGTCGTTGGAAAATGCTTTGGGTATCTTATAGGTGACGGAACAAGTTTTCCCACTTTGATGAAATGGGCCATTAATCACCATTAATGTTTCGAAGAGAGTTTCAGCTCGATGGTCTTGTAAGTGCCTCTATCTGGCAAAGACACTATATACAGATACAAGCAGCCATTACTTCGTCAGTATCCGAACCAAGGTTCACTTCTTACCACACTGCCGAATAGAGTGTCCCGAATACATATGTAAAGATGTAGATTATCTTATACATAGAAGTGTGGAAATTTTAAAGTCATTAAAGCATGATGAATGTTTATTAATTGAAATGCTGGCTCTAGAGGAATGACATTAAATATTAAACTTATTTATCGAATTATCTTGACCCCAGTATTGCAATATTTAAGCAAACTATTAAACTTTTAACTATTTGAAACTATAACTATTTTCAAATTAAACTATTTCAAACCTCTTAAACTGAGTAAATCTGGAAATTATTTGTAGTTTGTTTTCTGTTATTTTATTTCAAATGTATTGTTTCAATGAATATACGTTTGGTGATGAGTAATACATTTTACATTTTTTTTAGCGGCAAGTGTGGAATTTCTTCCAGAAATTCCCGCGATCCAGGAAGAAGTCGATCGCCTTCAAGAGGAAGGAGTGAACAAAATAATTGCTCTTGGGCATTCAGGATATTATGTCGACTTGGAAATAGCCGCAGAGGTGAAAGGAGTTGATATAGTCATGGGAGGCAATTCAGATATCATGCTACGTAAACCAGAATCTGGTAAACAGCCAATAACATATAAACTAACTTTATGGCGAATATAATCGTGATGCCAGAAATGTTTCTAGGCAATGTGTTTAGCATTTACAATATAGCCCATTTCGAATAGAGGGAAAAAAATTAAGTACCATTCTCAACCTTAGAGTAACGACTAGCGTAATATCTAACCCTCGTCTTGGTAGATCTACATAACAGATCAGTCGGATATTTAAGTGACTGAGGTGCCTTAGGATATCCCTTTGCAATTTTAAACCTAAATGTAGAAGTAATGAAGAACGCAAATGCATGTGAGATACCTAAATAAGCCTGGTATTCATTATATGCAAGAGAAATATCATCAAACGTAATAGCATTTCGTTTATAATTATGCTTGTATCAAAGCGAAATTTTCAATTGTTGTTTATTAATGTCTTTCTGTGTCGTTTCATAGTAACTGGATCATCATTTATACACATACTTCTATTAAAACAAAGCATTACATAAAAATAATGTAGCTGTTAAATACACAATGAAGCATATTTCGTTTAAAATAAGTTTTTTAATAATTTGTTAAGTCTTAATATTTCATTCATTTTTTTCATAGCTCCTAAGAAAACCACACTGAATAGTTTAAAATTATATTTTTAGACCTTTTCTCTTCCCTTTTAAAACCAAATTTTATTTCTGTAAGAGAGTAAGTAACTTAATACAACAGATTTTTAGGTAGTTTCAGTAACTAAAGTCAGTCTTCTGACTGATATAATTTTACATTTTTACTTGCATTTCGGATTTCAGGAATTAATTTTTTCTCATGATATTTTATAGATGATGTGTCAACAACGGTAGGAAACATTCATGGTAATTTTCCTCGAATCCATCATCATGAAAGCGATGAAAATGAAGTCGGTGAAGACTCAATCAAGAACCGAACTCTCATTCTGCATATTCCTCAACACGGAACATACGTCGGAGTTATGCGAATGACGTTTGACAACAGTGGCAATATTATTCACGAAAGTGGAGAACCAATTCTGCTTGACAGCAGTATTCCTCAAGGTGTTTTTCAGTATAGTCATTTGCTTTTTAATTAATCTTTAAAAATGAATACAGAATCTGAACAGAAATTTAAAAGAAATTAGATCAGACGAGTAATGTCCACTCATTTCTCACTGAATCTATAATTAATGTTTTAATATCACTTCAGCTATATAGCTGAAAAACAGCAACATGGACGTCATTACAAAAAAATTTCTCAATAGTACTGCTGTTGCCGTTATTTTACTCCTGTCTAGTCGCGAACTTCTGTACCGTAGAAGATGGACTGATTCATTTTGAGTGCATTTTTTGTGCCTGTGAATCAATGTTAATTGCTTGCACTTCCGCCCAGCACTGAAGGATTTTTAAATGTACTACTCGGAGATATACAAAGCAATTAAGACGGAAATTGCCAGATTTCTGATATTTACTAACAGCATGTAAGTGAAAAATAACTACTTAAAAATATTTTACAATGCAACTATAGATCCTTTGTTTAAAAATATTTCGTATATTTATATTAGAGGTCCAGTGGCGCAGTGGCTAGCGCATCGCACAGCAGCACCACAGGTCCGGGCTGGGCAAGGTCGACTCAGCCTTTCTTTCCTTGATTTCCATCACTTGGGTCGATAAAATGATTTCCATCGCTTGGGGACTAAAAACTGGGGGTCCTGCGATAAGCTGACTACTTGTTCAGGGCATATGCTTACGCACCCCGGGGATCCACGGTCAAGAAAGCAGATTTTGGGCCCTGCAGGTCTTGGACCATTAGGGCTGTTACGCCACTGAGTTTATATTTATATTAACATGAAACAATATACTATTTTAGATTAACATGTTGCCAGATTGTTTAAAGACCACTTCTGAACGCAAGATCATTCAAGAAAGTGAAAAAAAAATTAAATGCATGCACATTAATAAGAAACGAAACATTATTGGACTAATTAGCGCATAATCATCATTTTGTTAAATTCTACTGAAATTTTTCTGTAATTATGTTTCCCTTAAAGTCGAAAAAAATGTCCTAGATGTCATTATAAATCAATCAACGTGATGTAGAGTCTCACCATCTTTGAAAGCATATACTAAATCGAAACTCTTGATGGATCTCAGGGACTTATCGCTATGCCCAGTCAGAAAATACAGAAACGTAAGATTGGTATAAAAGACCCTCTGATTAAGGACTCAGATAACGTACTTACCTACCACTAGCTGAGTTGCTGTACCGCATGTTATATGAACTATCAGCAATTGTACTCAATTGGTGGAGCATTTTATTGTCGCTAGGTCTAGCCAAAAATCTCTATAGAATATTAAAATTTGTGGCGGAATTTATAAAGTTACTTTAGAAGATGGGTATTTGTAACCAGTGGTTATTAAAGAGACTCTGTCAAGACTTTGACTGTGCTGAGTAATTTTTTTTTATTTAGATTGCTTTTAGATTTTCACTGTTCATTGCCAAGTAGTCTGTGAGAGTTTTAAGTTTGTTTTATAGTAGCTTACTCTATTGGAGTTGTTTCAGCCTTACCTGGGCATTTTTATCTATATAGGGCCGGAAATGCAGGTCTTTGGGGAGTTCGTGCTCGAACATATAATGATCGATGGTACCTGTTGAGCCGTATATGCATGAATCTGTATGGTGCAATCTGAAGCGAAACATACAGGGTGCAAAAGGGCCAAAAGCTACGCAGAACTCATTAATACGCAAGTCGGCTCAAACCCACACCGGCGTGTCAAGCACCTTTGGCAAGAATAAAACACCTCCAGAAGCAGCTATCATAGAATTTCAACTAGTAACGTGTCCTTCAGCAGGCTGAACACGCTCAGCTAAACAATTTAAAACCTCGGTTTAAATACTATCTCTTTCAAGCTCATTTAAGTATGCACGAACTAAATTTAGCATTCTGACAGGAAAACGGAAAGGGGAATGACAGTAGGGCTACTGAACATAAAATAACTGGTTAGATAAAATAATGAATACTTCACAGTTATTATTAACGTGATCTAAGTGATTAAAGTGTTCTAAAGAAATTTATTTTTTAGCATGTAATAGACTTGTTGCAAGAGCTTCTTTAACAGTTATCGTATCTGATTTAGAATCTCACAGAAAAAAATGAAACTGTTACAATTAGTTCTGAGGATGTAATTGTAATTTGCTTCTTATGTAGGCAGCTAATTTTTCTATTTGTTTCACGCAGACGAAGAAACGTTGCATGTCCTACAAAATGCTGCCACGTCTCTGGAGAAGATAGCTGAGCATAGTCGTCTGCCTGACAGCGACGAAATTCTTGCAGTCACCGTGACAGATCTGGAAGGGAGCTCTCGAAAATGCCGGATGGAAGAATGTACTCTAGGGAATATGGTAGCAGATGCTATGCTCTATTGCTATATGAAAAATGCTTACAATGAAACAGCGCAGGTAGTAGATACAGAGCTGTGGGAATACGTGGATGCAGTCGTTCTTAACTCTGGCATTGTTCGCTCTTCCCTAAGAACTAGTTAGTAAATTTTTTTTGTAGCCTATTGATAATTATGAGAGTGTGTTAGGTAAGGCTGTTGGAAAAAATTACAACATAGAAAACAGCAATATTCAGTTCTGGTACTTATATAATTTCTATACAAGGTGTTTCAAAACGATTGCAAGAGTAAGCTTCCGCTGAATGAATTGTCAATAATTTCTGTTTAAAAAATTAATTAAATGAGACAGGTTTTCAGACCATATGTTTAACCGCTTGAGGTTTTTAGTAGTAAAAATATACGAGTATGCCACTCATATTTTTATATACACCTGATAGGGGGAAACGTGAATAAAATTTTTTTTACAGCTAAACTATTCCAACAAAAAATAAAAAAAACTGCTTAAGTCATTTATTAAGCAATAATGACAACAATAGCAGCAACAGCCAAAAAGTTTTCATTTTTTTATACATTTTTCTTTTCACTTCATTTTAATATGGTCAAAATAGCAAACTAAAATATTGTAGGATCTGATGTAAATAACACTAAAGACAACTATACAGGTATGTTTTTGAAAGCAAATTATCGAAACATGCCCTTTAAACCAGAAAAATAGTAATGGGTTCAACACAGATTTTCAGTTCCCATTTTTAGAAATGCTAAAATTCAAATTTGTTCAAAATGGTATAATTTTTGTATGATATATTTTAGTCAGCAATTCGGGTACCGCCTCTCATCCGAGAGGTGTAAAGAAATAAGTTATATAATTTTTAGAAATTTTAGAGTAAGAGGCTTTAATAAGGAAAGCGGCAATCTATTAATTGCAGCTTTCTTTATAGAGGAAATATACTACAGAGCCATTTTGTAAAAATAATAACAATAATTTGTATATTTTTATTAAAAGGTTTTACGGGAATCAAAATTATTATAATTAGAGAAAGCCTACATTACTTAGTTTGGTTTCTAAAAAGGAACCGTGGGTTTATAAATACCAGATTAAAAAAGCAAAATTTATCGGTAAAGCCGCTGAATGCTGGTAGTTTCGACCTGGGTTCAATTCCAGGCGAACGGGCTGGCTGTACGAGCGTTTGCGTAGTTTTCCCGATGTCCAATGTGTATACGAGCCAGTTTCCCTTATAAAGTCTTTCACCAAGGCATTCCACCCCTTAGGCATGCGTGGTTGGCCATAATTAAATAAATTAAACCAAACTAAACCACTCTTATGCCCTCGATGCTGAACCGGCGCACCTGGCGCTCGTCTCACCTTGGGTACGTGGGTAACGCTTGTGAAGATAAAACTACAGAAACGAAATCAACATAACCTTTCAGTTTCTAACTGTAACAAGATTCATACCATACAGTAGTAGAATGACCATTGAATAATTTTAAACGCATATTTTATATTTTAACCCGCAAATGATGTTATTATTTAAACGCGGTTTCTATTGTTTATGTTTAACAATGATCTCTGTGATCAATAAATGTAAGCAATATCGGCATTTTTTGTAATTAGTTTAATTTTAGAGACACTTCCATTAGCATTGCTTTTGTGTTAGGGGTGTTGAAATGAAAAGGTACGAAATGACACTATGGATATTTTGAAGTCTTTATTCTCAAGTAATCACAAGAGGCCTGAGCATAACTATCCCACGGTTTCACGAGCCGAAAGATTCCCTCTTCCCAAAATTCCTGTAGTTGGTGGCAGGAGCTAGTCCTGTGAAGGACCAGTCCTCCACTGTGTCCTTCAGTTCGTCGTCCGAGATGAAGCGCTTCCCTTTGAGATGCCATTTCTCACCCAGGTCTTTTACCTTGTCGATGAGTTCGACTATGCTTATTGTGTTTGCCTGGTCTTGGCTCATCATTCGAACACTCCATGCCTTACGAAAACTAGCACTCCGCTTTCTCACTGACTTGTCGGACACACACAATCCCCCCCCCACCGTATAAGACCACCATCCGGCGATGAATATCGGCCGGTTAAACCCCTTATACGGTCAGAAAGCTAATAACACATCACTGCTCCTTAGTCGTGGAATTTTGAAAAGTGAACGTCATGTTTTCATCACACGCACTGCCGCATTAATTACACAGAACACACAACTGCCTACCTTTCTCCTGCGTCATGTGCGGGTACCCACACATGCGCACAACCACGCCCGGGCACTAGATTCGCGTCCTTAGATGTCTTCTTGTATTATGCCAAAGCAGCATAATCAAATTTCAAGCGGTTTTGTTGTGACGTACCTTTTCAATTGAACACCCCTTATAGATTTTCAGGAATTCCTCGGTAATAGGATTGAAATTCGAGATGCTTATGTGGAAGTACCAATGAAGGTAAAGTAAAATCAAAATATTTTTAGAATTTAGTAAAACTTTTGCAATTGTCAATCATGTGCTATTAAAATCCTAAAGTAGTATTTAAGCATTCTGTCAGGCTGTTAACTGATTCTAGATATTTTTCAAACTTTTATGACACTTAAATCACAGCATGATTAACTGTTATTCAGTTACTCCCCAAATGGGCTATTTTTTATATACTATTTCTCCTTCGTGTATGTCAGATTAAATTAGCTAATATACATAACCTAGAAGGCACAGTTTGTAACTGTCCATCCCTTCATAGGAGGAAACGGTAGCCTAGCCACCTGTTGGGTGCTTTCACAATGAAACGGCGGCCACTTCTGGCCCTTGTAGTAGCGTAAGGCTAATGGATATTAATAATATATATATGTATATATATATATATATATACAGGGTCTATTAATTTTCGAATGATAAGCGAACATAATGCTAAATTCAGCCGTAACGCGTTTTCTAGCTTTCCTTTCTGTTTCAGGAATGAGAAAACTTAATAACTTCTCTTTTCAGGAAATATCACCATAAAGAATTTGCTGCATTCGTTATTTTTGGGCGATTTCATGGAAAGAGTATATATGTCAGGACAACAGCTGAAAGTTTTCATGGAGCATTCTGTTTGGGACTATGATCCAAATGGCGTAACATCACCAGGAGCTTTCTTACACGTGGCTGGTGCGTTCATTTGAAATGATCTTTAGCATTCAGTTTGTTACCAAAATAAAATATACAATTTTCTAAGGACAAAAACTGAAGGCTAATGCATGTGTGGTTGTCGTTAAATTACAGCAATATTTTTAATGTTGATTAGATTTTTTTCGCATAGAGTAAAAGAAATCAAAATTCGAAAGCAGCGTTAAGTATGACATCAAGATAGAAGTATAACTTTTCTTATAAAAAGTGTAGCTAATTTGGTAAAAGAGAATAATTAAGAACTATAATTCTAGAAAAGAAAAAAAAACCATCTTAACTTTTTTACTTCCTTGTACGAAGTAAAAAGGAAGTATTGTAATCGCGAAAAGCTTCAGGCAGCATATTTCAACGAAAATATCCACTTTGACCGCTTTCGAATGCAATTTAACGATGTTTTTGCGTGATATCTGTACGTAAGGACAGAATAAAAGACTCTTTTCCTCCAAAAGAAAAACTAAAAAACTGCTTTAAAATTAATTCTGAAGAGAATTTTTCGTGGCGTCTGTACGAACGTACGTACGTACGTACGTACGTATCTCGCATAACTCAAAAACGAGTAGCCTCAGAACGTTGAAATTTTGTATATAGGACTACTATAACATGTAGATGTGCAACTCGTATTTTGGTTTCAATCGGCCGCGCCAAACGTATATAAATATATTTATAAATATATCCGCTCTGTTATCCGGCTCAGTGATCTCAGTTTCTTTATTCTTATATGTTTGTAAATTGTACATTTTTTTCTTTAAAAATGATTGAATTATGTTGTTTTTATCTTCTGTTGAGGGTTTTATACCTTTAGTAAATCTGTATGATGCAATATATTTTTAGAATTATCAACAATTTAAAAGTTGTTTAAGTGCCGCTAAGCCTATTTTGATGGCGGCCATTGCTTGTTTACATTTGAAACAGCTGAGTAGTGAATTTGTGTGCCAATCTAGAGAAATGTAGCTTCGCAACAACAAAGATAAACGCCTTCATTTATTATTGCGATTTAAATCATACTTAATCCTTTCTGAAATTTTTTCGAGGAAATAAGTGTTTAAGATTTACTTAATTTCTAATAATTTAATTTTTAATAATTAGTAATTTTTAGTAGAGGTATTTTGAGTTTTTATGTATTTTTGCCTTGTCGCGAAGTGAGAATTGAATTAATTGAATGAGAAATACTCAATCGTCTGTGAAAAACTGTTTCTTTTTTTTTTTTTTTTTTTTTTTTTTTTTTTTTTTTTTTGCTTAATTTCTTTTATACATCCTTCTAGCTTTATTACAGTACTTGAATAGAACATGTGGCAACGATTAGATAATTCTTTAAATGATACAAATTTTGTGCATTCTGAGTTATAATATGAACGAAATATAATACTTTTAAGTGAACCTAGCGCCAGAGTGTCGCTATGGTAAACAAATAGAGAGAATTTTAAAGAATGCACTTATTCTATTGTGGTTTATGCGCTGTCGGCGAAGTAGATATGATTAAATCCAATAAGTTTTTACAAAATGCAAGAAAAAATGCTATAATTTAATTTTCCGTACAAGGAAGTCATGTGGTGAACACATTAGATTTTTTTCTTAGATCATACTCTCTGCATTTGAACCGAGCACGTTTAAACCTTTTAGGATTTTTTTTTTTGTGGGGGGGGGGGGTTTTGTCTATATCTTTTTTTCTTTATCTATATCTGCCTAACCTATAAAAACAAATTCAAATGTACTTGTAAAATTTATGAAAGTAAATACAAACTTTATCAATTTTGGTAACAGTTTCCATTTTAAAATAGCAATTAAATTAATGCTTGAAATCGATACTTCAAAACTATAAGTTGTGCTAGAAATAATTATTTTTAATTTCTAAAACAATAAATTCTGAAAAAAAAACAAGTCTAGGTTTAGTCTTAGTTCATGATTCTTTTATGTACTCTACTTTAAACTTCAAAAATTAATTCGATTGCCATTAACTACATTTAGGTGGTTCTGGACCTGTATTTATATATTGAAACTTTATTATCACCTTTTGTTACTTAAGTTTTAAAAATATTTATCAGATAAGACAATAAAATGTAAATACACAATTACTATATTCTCTTTTTTAAACCCTGAAGAAGGCTCAAAAAGCTGTGTTTTCTCGTTTCCTGTCCTATCAAAAAAAAAAAAAAAAAAAAAAAAAGAGTACGTCATCATACAAAGAAACCAAAAACGCTCTTGCCGTTTCTGATATGACATTGGAAGAGTGAACCCCAATATAAAAATAGAGGCCAAACCTGGCGATGAAGTGGTTAGGACATTGAGCAAGAGTATAAAAGCGCTTTGCATCGGTTCTTCAAACATATATCCTCCACCTCACAAATAACTCTAACTTTCCTATTTGAAATTCACCATCGTGCAATATCTGTGCGTGCTGTAAATATTGTATTTAATTTGTATCTTTATTTGTATGTCTCATCTGTATTTTGTGTTTGTATTGCTATTTACTTGTACTGTATAATAAAATATTGCTATAATAAAATTTATTGCATTTGTATGAAATTTCACATGTTAGGATGATACATTCACCTAGACTTTTACTGTCCATGATCGCTTTTGATTGTTGACCGCACGATGTCTCGGTCCCCCTTTTCCGTTCCCATTGGGATGCCATGTACGAATTGAATCACGTGATACGCCCATGTGGCAAACATTCATCGAGCCGGAGAAACCACATTTTACGTGGTAGTTACCAGAAGTTCATGTCAGGGGATATGCCTCTTAGTGATGCACTACGCAGCGGTCGGCTACAAGTGCTAGACGATGATTCCCCTGAGAGCAGCCAAACATGTGGTGAGCTTGCTTCACACTAAAGAGCCAGCATTGGTCAATCGTGAGTGTGTACTCCTCCTCCATGACAATGCGAGGCCGCATGTGGCTCGGGAGGCCAGAGAAACCATCCTGTGACTGGGCTGGGAGACACTACCCTATCCACCATACTCCCCAGACCTCGCGCCAACAGACTACCACCTTTTCCATTCCCTGGATAACCATCTTCGTGGGAAATCTTTCGAAAACCAGCCAGACCTCTAAAAGGCCCTCACGTACTTCTTAGCGTCCAAGACTCCTGAATTTTACCGAGATGACATCGCACAGCCAGCCACTCGTTGGCAAAAGGCACTAGATGCTGATTATTTTGAGGATTAGCGGTGATTATTATTTGTTTCATGACTTTTTTTTTTTCTGGGACTGCCCAAAACGGCAAGAACTTTTTTGCTTACCTTGTACTTTCGAAACTGAAGGACCTGTAAAATGAAAAGACTCGTAAGCAGCCCTTAACAAGTTCTGCCATTAAAGAAAGATAAGACTTTTAGAAAACTTACGGTAGATTGTAATATATCTTCAGTTGTAATTTTGTTTATTCATTAATACATGAGTGATATAAATCATATAATGACTTGTATGTTTTGTGCTCTGTGCCACAAAATTCCAGTTTTACGAAACAGTTTTGAAAAAATTTTACCTCGATGGATGCATTTTGAGGAATATTACATATAACTTAAAAATTTGTGATTTACAGATTCTGCATTTGCATAACTTTTGCCTATCTGCGCATGTCTTTTGTGTCTCCCTGAAAAAAGTATTTAATTTTTCCCCTATTTCTTTTCCAGGAATAAGGATTGAATACGATCTTCAAAAGCCACCAGGGTACCGTGTTAGAAATCTGCAGATTCGTTGCAAAAATTGTATCAGTACATATGAGCCCGTGAAGCCTTCTAAGACTTATTTTATTGCAATGTCAAGTTTTCTTTCCAGTGGTGGAGATGGCTTCCCTGAATCGCAACTTGCAAACTCTGATGACTTAGGTGAGCGTTCTTTAATTAATTTGCTGGGAACGTCTTGGTTGCTTCTGAACTTCACGAAATATCTATTTACCGGAATGCTTTCGGATTGTTTGTAAGGGCGTATTAGAGGGAAATTTGAAACAACACAAACGTAAATTCATTTAATCATAAAATTCTGATTTGTAAGAATTTGTTCGCAATTATCTGTTTTAAAGATTAAAATCTCGGTTGACTCTTCTAGATGGGGATATAATGAGAGAATTCAATGCAATCTATTAAGTTGCGCATTTCTGAGACGGTAATATCTAAATTGAATCTGAAAATTGGGCTCATTCAAGAAGACATTTGACTATGCAACGTATCTGTTCCACGCATAATTGCACTTGAGCTTGCTGCAAATTAGATCTAGTTTTTTTTATTTCTTTCTCGTTTTGCACTACTATCTTGCACAGCTTGTTTTAAATATATGATTTTGAACATAATTTCTCTAGAAGTAGGTAGAAATTCTTCCTGAAAAAGAACTCGTATTTCAAACTTTACAGGAAAAGCTCTCATAGCATGCTTATTTTAGCTAGTGATCAGGCCATCTTAGTAAAGACAAGTATAAACATGAGTTGTATACATTTCAAGGGCACAAACAGTGCTTCTATTTGAGAGCGAAGAAACGTTTATTTTTCATAAATTAATTTTCTGAAAAAACATTCGACGAAAACGATCAGAAAAACGCTACTCAGATCTTTCGAGCAAGAGTTCAGAAATTGTTACAAATATAATACGGCATCAAAAGCCAGAGTTCTTTATAAAAACTTGAAATATACACTGACAAAATCATCTCAAACATTGTATCAAGATTTCGCATAAACGTATTTGGGAATATCTGAAACACAAACAATGTGTTAGATATTTGAATCATAAATACGGACAGAAAGCAAATCAGAAAGTCCCACTAAGCGTAATTATGACAGACCTCTTTTCTTTCGAGCACTGCTAGTGCACGGCCCAATAATTCCTTGTAAAGTTCTTCAAAAGACTGTATAATGATGTATACCTGTCAAGCGTTCAGTAAATGGGTGGTAGTAGTCAGAAAAGGAGGATTTCGATTTGAAATAGAAATTTGTCAGTTTGAAATTCATCAGCCAGTTTTATCATCGACTTTTAAGTATTTTCTGTATACTCAGACTCGAGTGTCCAACCTATCGAAGATTTTGGGCCGCACGATCCAATAAAGTATGGAACAGCCACACCGCCCAACAAATATACCATGAGCATACACATAATTTAATACAGTGAATCCTTTTCTGACCTCCAACTCCCACTGATGACCTCTCTAAAAGCAATCCGTGTTTCTTAATACATAAACAAACAATAGTAATGATAATTGTAATATTCCCGAAAAAGACGGTTTCCAGAAAAGAGCCAAGCTATCAAATATATTTATTGACGAGCACCAAAAAACGTCACTAGGCCAAAAATTTCAAAGAACTATAGAAACTAAAAGATGTAGTATTCCCCTCCCCCCCAAAAAAAACTACTTTTCATAAAAAACCGGTTTTTTTAAATATATCTAAAAAAATTACTTTTTTCCTAATCTCAGCACAATATGATTCATCTCAATGATTCTTTTATAAAACAATGCACATTAAATGATATATTTACATTCCTAGATCTCATTTCCTTTGTATGGAGATTATTATGAGTGATCAGTTACAGTAGTCATCGTCAATGCAAGATTGTTTCTCGATTCAAAAAAATTTATGACAATGATGAGAACTGTATTTTATATCTCTCAATAACCTCTAAAATCATTACTTCAAAGACCTAAACACGCATATGATACTAAAAATGTAAACCAAAAGATAATAATGATGCTTGTACGTAAATGCTCGAGGTGAAAATTAACATTATTTGTAGTAAACAGTTGGACGATAAACAGTGTCAGTATGACATTTTTTAAATGTCTGAAGCTGAAAGTGTATGCAAAACCCCCCAAAATCCTCTATGCTGAGAATTATTTAATTCCCCGTATTGAGTCTTCAAAATTCTATTAAACAAATTGAAGCAATTAAGTGATAATATAAGTAATAATATTTACAAAATTTTATTTATTATGAAATTTAAACTGCTTTAGAAAAGAAATGATTAACCGAAGGGAGAAAATTAATTCGGGAAATTTCATCATAGCCGTAGTGAGTGTTTGTGAGCTTACTTTCTTCAGGTTTTATTTCATGGGGGAAATGAATGAGGGCTTTCTACATAAGATCTGTTTTCCATATGTTAAAATATTATTCATTTAATAATATTTCAAAAAATTAAGTTTTAAATATGTCATTTCCTAAGACCTTCTCTCTGATTAATTTGTAACTCTTTTAATATAACGTTATTAATAAAAAGGTATGCCCTGTTCACTTATGACGCCGTTTGCCATAGAAACAACTGTTTGCAGACGCTAAATTTAAAGATGAGTAATTAAACAACATTAAACAATGTAAAGCAATACAATGAATTTTGTATTCAAGAATTCGTGTTTAAGAAGCACTGCACACCGACGATTTCTCTGTCCATCTAATATTCAATTACAAAGGAATGCTTCATCTGTGCGGGATGTTGAATAGTCAAAATGTCCGCATATGATGAATGGAAAATTATCATGCTGTTCTTTAAATGAAATAGGATTCACCGAAACTGAACGTCTTTAGCGCCATTTCCCAGAAAAAGATATATCGGCCCTCACCCCCTTTTTTTTTTCCTTCGACAACTCTGCATTAGTGTAACATAACATATTCACTGGCGTCTCTTCACTCTTTCATAATGAAAGAAACTATGGGTCACCCTTTCATAAGGTGAGGAATGTGACATGCCCAAAGGAAATTTTACCCTCGAGGGGTAAATCATGCTTTGTCCCGAAATGTGGCGACGCTGCACCGCCGGAAGAGACGATTATTGACTGGAGTGATACTGAATACGATGACGGCTACTTGAAAATGGAATTTAACGGCTACTCCGGAGACTGGAAACACGGATTATAGAAAGATTGTAGTGGATCTTCATGGACAAATTCAAATATTAGAAGGGAAAATCGAGCAAACCACAAGCCTCAAGAAACAGTTTGATGCGATCCGTTCTGTTACCGCTCCTGACAACCATACTCCTGTGTTGACAAAGCATTTGTGGGCTATGAAAGATGAAATGGGGCACCTGAAGGGTAAGAGAGATTATTATTTAACTTTGTATGCTAATAATTCCCCCTTAAACCCTGTTGAACATGTTAATGATGCTGTTGCTGCTAACTCTAATGATAGTAATACTGTCCCTGTTAATTCTGCTATTTTTGATGATAATATACCTGAAATTGAAATTAATGTTGAAGAAAATGATATTAATGTTGTTAAGACTAAAGTAAACTACATCAATCCTCAGATAATTCTGATGGCTGTAATACTAGAGATAGTGATGGATTTGTTAAACTCTCCCGTACTGCTAAGCTAGCTAGGAAGAGTAGTAGTTCACGTAAACCCAAGTATATTACGACGAAAAATAAATTTAGCCCGTTGGGACTCTGTTGAAAATAACCTTGATATTCAAAATGAAAATGGCTCTGTAGCTCAAACTAACAATTCCCCCCAGCCAAAATCAGTTCCACCTGTTATGGTGAAACCCCCGGAAAGCGGTAAATTCAACCCATATCTTAAACAGTTAGCTGATACATCTAAGGCAAAATTTTACGGGCGAATTAATGGTGAGTTTTTGAAAATTCTGCCGACCACGCCAGATGACCATAGAATATTAACGCAGTACATAAAAGATAACAAGATTGAACATTATGTTATTAATGAGCGGAATGTAAGGCCAGTTAAGGTAAGTAACGAGGTTTACCTATTGACATGGAAATAAATGAAATTGTGGAAATTCTCACTGAGCAAGGCTACAAAATTCATAAAGTTACGCAGATGACTAGGAATAGGAATAGGACCAAGCAACCAATGCCACTTTTTCAGGTGCAGATTATACCCACTCCCAATGTTGATAATATCTATCATGTTACTCATATGTCATTATTCATAGTCAAAATTGAAAAGTATATAAATAAGAATTTGATTCCACAGTGTCATAACTGCCAGCGATGGCACCATTCTTCTGATAACTGCTTCTTAGCTCCCCGTTGCGTGAAATGCGCCGGGGAACATAAATCAGCATTATGCCCCCACAAAGAACACGTGGAAAACCCTGTTTGTGCCAATTGTCATAATTCTCATACGGCTTCATATAGGGGATGTGTAAAATTCCCAAAACCTAAAGTTAGCAATTCCATAAGTGCCAAAAAATCATATTCGGAAGTATTGAGCAGTAAAGGTCGAAAACCCCAAAAGTTTCAATCTGAAAAATCAACAGCCAATTCAGCTGCAGAACCAAACTATCCCTCAGCCAATAGCAGAACACCAGAAGCAAAACAGGCAAAAAATTCCAATGGTGAATCAAATAAGTCCAGACAAGATGAAAATCTTAATTCTGCCGCATTCTTGGAGTTGTTTAAGGTTATTAAGGAATTAGAGTCCATCTTTGGCCTTGGGCAAATATCTAAACACTGCAATTATTAGCAAAATCCTTAGTCAGCTACGCACTGCAGAAACACAGATGGAGAAACTATATATTCTATTTCTAATTATGGAAGAACTTAATGAACAAATTACCATTAGTTCATTATTTTAAGAAATTGTATGCGTTTAGTGGTTCTTGTTGTTGTAAGGAATAATTGTTGAAATAGAATTAAATGTATTAATGTCATATAACGGACATGTAGAATATACCCCAAGTTCAGCAGTACCCAAGTTACCAATTTAACCCCTCCCCCTCATTACTATTCGGCCGCTCGTACCAAATTTGTATGGTCTGGAAAGAGTCTATAGCCCTCCCCCTTAGCACACAGACTTGAATCTTACTCTTTCAGATTCTCTCCTGGCTCTAGCGAAGATTATCATCCAGCCCTTGCTCCTGACTATTCACCCAGCTACGACATCTCATCGCTGACGTCTGGCATCTTTCTTCACAGAGTAACTACACTGTATATCTCGCTTCATCACTTTTTACGGATTTATGAAGACGACTTTTACTTACTACGAACTCTCTGCAATTCACCTGCTACTACAGATCTACCAATTTTTCTTCCGACTTCAACTCTGCTATTTAGAACTTCTATTATGCTATTTAACTTTCGAAAAGTTACCTACATGTTACATTGGGATAGGGAATCTTCCCAGGCGCCCGAAGAAAATAAGCTTTGTTCACGAAGCGAAATGTGGCCACCTTACTCCTTTTGGGAGAAGTACTAAAGGTCCTTTTGAACTCTCAACACTTCACAGGGTACGGAGCTGTATAAACCAACGTCTAATGGGATTATTTCGGGAGCAATGGGACAAAACATGGAAATAAGAAACCGGTTTGTGTATTTTATACCCTCAGAGCTGAGACTGTCAGAATACAGGTCTCACCCTGTACAATAAACAGCCCCAGGGTTCTGCGCGGGTATATCTTATCCTGATATGTTACAATTGTGATTATTTCCTCACAACTGTAATATTTATTCATCTTGCTATTTATAGGAAGATGATTTTAAAAATTTCATATTTCAGCAAGTACTTTATAGAGAGCTTGGGTATTGTTTTTTAAAACAGGAGAAGTGAAAATGAGCAATGCCCTCGCCGGGAGCTCTCGAATCACGGACCTCTCGAATACGCACCGAGTGTGCTGATCATTACACCACCAAGGCATGCTAAAAAAGCGGGAGAAATATCTTGTAACTTTATTAACACTAGTACAGGCTGAAATAAGGACGGCAACTCTCGTGGATTTATTTAGGTGTCGCAGGCAATTGCTAACTATTAAGTTTTCGTCCTCATTTTGAGGAAAAGCATCCTGGGAATGTCCTAGGGTCTCCCACTCTGCTTCATTAAATATCAATCTTTCGTGAGGACTTTCAGCTCACCTTGTATTTTGAATTTCATCTGGCTGCACAGACACTATACGCTTCCAAACACTGTGCGCTTACAAACACTCATACCTTCTCTGGAATTCAAACACTTAACCCATCGGTACAGCAGTCAGCGTCCCTAATCACTATATCTTCAGTTCGGCACCACATTAACACAGGTGCTTCATAACCTGAATCATGAGATTCCGCTTTATTAGGTAGTTCGACACAGAGAAAATGATTTAGTATTTTTCTGATGATCACCAAGATCTCCCAACCTCACACTGTTTTTCTTTGGCTGCATGTTAAAAGCAATTCTTATGCCTCAACATTTTAGTAATATCAGAAGAGTTCTTGGACCGCATTCCGATTGTTTTGGTAGTTCTCAGCGAGAAAATGTTATGAACCATATGAAAAATCCATTTAAATAAGTATTCTTTATGTTGCACAGTTTGATTGCAATTAGATATATTCCAATTGCATGTCCGCACTTAAATTCATGTCAAATGAGAAAAAACGAGCAAATATGTCTTTCTCGGCGCTTCATGAATTTTTATGTGTTTAAAAGGTGATGTTTTCCTAAAATCTTAAAATCTCTTTCTTCTGAAGTCTTCTGAAAAATGGCAATATTTTTCATTGTTTCCACGAAGAATTCCACAATATTGCTCTTAATTTAAGATAAGCACCATTTCAGTTTGATTGGAAAAGATTTATTTTTTAAAACATCTCCTCCATTTACAGATTTTCTTTTTTAAGATGTAGTCAGTCCAATAAAATTCCTACGAACAGCTAGTTCTCCGATCCAAAATCAAAGTCGCTTGCTGTCAGATTTTCGTTCATTTTTCGCTTATATGACGCATCTCTTAATGAGATCACACAAGATTTGCCTAATTTCACAAAATAATTTTTTGCCAGGATGAATTTGGATGCATCCATCACATTCTTCCCTTTTGTTTAGGATAGAACATGTTCAGCTCGAGATGAAAGTATTCCTTACTCTTCCAAGGTACCTCTGCAAAGACTTACCTTGGCTGAGAATAGAACTCAAAAATATTTATTGGTGGATAGGTGCTTATAATTGAGACACCTCAAGAGATTAATAATGTCTAGAGAGCTTCTGCTTAGGCGCAAGATTCATGTAATTTATGTTCGGCTTAACTGGTTCATTCATAATGTATCTGAATTTGCCATGCCAATGAAATCAAAATTATTTCGACGAAGCGTTTCACTGTTCTTTTCCTAATAATTTTTGTTCATCTCTTAAACAACCCTTGGTATCGTAAAACATTTACAAGTTTATACAAACATAATTCTTTGAGAGCTTGACCCCCAAACACTCTGCGGTTTTAACATTGCGACTTTCGATTCTTTCAACTTACTTTAAGGATTTTATTAAGATCAGAAGTTTTTCCTTTACAAGTTCAATAATTACTAAAAGTTAATATCTTATTTATTAGGTAACGCGAAGAGGTTTAAAATGATGAATGCACTCAAAACCATTATAGGTACGATAATTCCTATTAAATTTTGAGATAAAATGTTTGCTATGCTGGTACTTGTCAACATGATTATTAAATCGTTTTGAAAGAATTAAGAAGTCTCGAACAATCAAATTTAGAATTCATTTGAGTACATCCTAGAATCTTTGCGTTCTTGTAAAGTATTATCTGATCCTTTTCCTATGAAATTAAATGCAAAAGAATTATTAAATAAATAAAGCAATCATATCAGAAGATATATTTATACGTTTTTCTATACGTAAGCCTCTTTGGTATAAAAATTACTAAAGGATGTTAATTGCATATTATTGCATTTAAGGTTTTTCTTTTTTCTAATTTTAGGTCAGTTTGACGTTTTACTAATTGTTGAATATTTGAGAGATGTCCGTATACTGCATACAATAATTGATGGGAGGATTACGTTCTTTAAAAATTCTGATGACAATAACAGTAACAGTACAATTACAAAACAGTCAGAAAATTATAATACAACATCTTTAGTTTCACCTCCTCTTTCGTCTTCGAGTATGAAACCTGAAGTGTCGCAAAAAATTCAATCCAGGAGTAAACTCAACATTTCAACGACAAAGTATACTTACACTTCTGTAATGAAAGGTGATGCATTGGTCAATTTTAGTGCAAAAGCTTCACCAATGGAGACTGATGAGAAAGAAGAAAATATATCTAATTTTCAAGAAATGAAAAGTTTGCAAGCTAATAAGGAAAATGAAACTACCAGTACTAAACGAAAAGAGAATATAAAAAATAAACCTGACCACGATATTTCAGAAATTAATGCGCAAACTAGGCCCTCTACCTTTGAGTCTGTTTCAGATTTAGAAATGGCCATTAGATCTGAATCTGTAAGCGAACTACGGTTAAAATCACACACGAGCATCCTACCGGAAAATGTTTCTTTGAAACAGTATAAAGAACAAATTACAAATATTGCAAAGGATGGAAATAGTTCAATTTCAGCTTCAGTTTTACGTGAAAACAATTTTCAGAAGACAGAAATAACGGAAAATCGGAAAATTTTGTTTAAAGACTCTTTAGCAAAAAACGCAGAAAAGAGCGAGAAGCAATCACTTGAAAACCTAAACAACATTTCCATGTCTAACCCAAACGAGTCGACGTTTTACTTGGAAGTTAAATCATCTGATGCAGAATCAGACGACTTAAATCAACTTTGGATGTCTCGGCTAATCAATTATTTGTTCTATCCTATAGGAACTGTTTTATTAAACAACGTAGTTACTGAATTAACCACTGCGAGTTACTTAAATGAGGAAGAACTAATGTTAAAAGCAATGAACAGTAGCTTAATATCGGTTTTAGAGAAACTTTTAAAAGAATTTGAAACGTCGGAATCGCTGAATACCACAAAAAATAACAGTTACATATCTTTGAATGAAAATATTAATTTAGATTCGCTCCGTAAGTCAAGAATAATTCAAAAATTAATAAGCAAACTGAAAGAGAGAAAAAATAATCTAAACGCGAAATTCCAAAATAATTTAAAATATGAATTAAATAGTACAAGGAACGGAAATGGGCAAAAAATAAAAGCCAGGGAATCGTCAACTGCCCATATTGCTAAAATACATGCCATTCGTAATGACCATAATTCAGCGTTTTTGGCTACATTCAAAAATGAAAATTCTACTGCCTCCTTTCGCCAAGAAAATAATGGTGCGACACAGAAGGAAGATCTTTTGCTCGAGTTACTAGTGGAAAAAATAAAGGAAGATTTCAGTCGTATATTTGAATTGCTAAATGCTTCATCTACAACATCTCAGATCGATGTAAAGAACAAAAAACAGCATCAAAGCAAGTCAAACGAAAGTGTAATTAATCAAGAAGAAGCTTCTTCCAATATTGTGAAGAGTGAATCTAATGAAGAGGGTAATAAGAACACTCGTAATGATTTAATAAACTTCATTAATTCCGAAGATTCATTATCAATACCTGCTGAGCAAAGAAAAGGAGAGGAAGAAGACGAGTAAAGAGAAGCAAGACCTTAAAAATTCAGATATAACTGGCGGCTTCAGCGACCAAAGTTCATTAAAATTCAAATGTCGTATCTTGAGTATAAAAATTTAGTGATAATTTAAATTATATTTAAATGCATTTAGAATCAACGAAAGCCAAAATTTATTTTTAAAGCAAATTCACAAATATTTCCTTTTTTCAGTAGTAGTTTGCAGAAGAGTTTTTTTTTTATTGGTAGAGATATAGCATAAATCTGGAATAAATTATTAGAGATTATTGATTTGCTTGCTTTTTACTGCTAAAACTCAACTTCTAATCATGATATACTGTGTAAATTTGTATTTATTAATCTAATCTGGTTTATTGTTGCTTGCGTGGGGGTTTGTAATAAATTCGAAATACAAGTCCGATGAAAAGTGAATAAAATTTATTCTTATCACAACAAATAAAAACAAAATGCTTATATTTCCTTAGATATATTCGTAAAATATCCCGATTTCTCACAGTAGTTATATTTTAAACTACTGAAACATTCAGCAGAACTTAATTCAAAACAGAAAAAGGTAGAGAAAAGTAATCCAATCTCGCCGCGAATTCGCTACAGTAAACAACAGTTTTCTTAAACAACTTATAAGGTATTTCTTCCGCCTTCTTGGCATGCCTTCGTGGTGTGGTGGTCTGCACACTGGGCACGTATTCCAAAGGTCCGTGGTTCGATTCCTGGCGAAGGCGTTACATCTTTTTCATGTTTCTTGCTTTTCAAAATATCCTACTAGCTCTACGAACTGAGGTGAGATGTTCTCTCTCTGGCTTTTATAGCTTTTTAAATCGGCCACACGAGATTATTGTAGCAATTTCTAAAAAGCAAAAAGATTAGAATTACAGTTACGGCTAGTCAAATAACATTTATTCGAATTAAATATAAATTAAGGGAGATATTTATTTATTAAATGTTAAATACACGTGCTCTTGTATTTTTAATTTTCCGTCTTAGCTTTCTCTTAATATTCGTCACACGCTGCACTGCACGGGGAATAAAACAATTTAATTTATAATTCTACTAACATTAGCTATTTAAACGCCAAATCCGTAACAATATTAAAATTACTCAAGTACTTCAGTTGTGACCAACACTAAAAATAATTTTCTTCGAAGAAGGAAGATCAGATTAAGGATTTATATGTTTAAAATCAAATGATATAGACACTACAATAAAAAAAAAATGTTAGTGTTTAGTATTTTCTTGCCAATTCGCAATGAATCGAGTTCTTTTGATTATCAAAGGAACATCATAATCTTAAGCAATCTTATACCCTCTTTGACTCAAAAAAGCCCCATATTATAATATTGGTATATTATACTATTAATCTATTATAATCTGTTATCTTACGTAAGAGTATATGTATCCTATGGGGAAAATAAATAAAAGAATATAATGATTAAACTGTTTTAAATAAAAGAATTCTACCATACTAATTAGAGATTAATTATACAGGCTTTTATTACATATTTCAGTTTAATTTCCTGATCGCTACTGCCAAAAATATAAAAAGGATTGAGCAGTGATATTATAGCAAAACTATAAAGTCATCAATAACAAGAGCTGTCATTAATAATTTTACATATATACTGCGCAAAAAGGGTAAAAAAAGTGGGACAGATCTATATTTCGCGTTCTACTGGGCCGATTAAGAGTTTGTTTAGAAAACTGCTCTTGTTGATTGTAGCGAATTCGCTTTCTTTAGTTGTTTTGAATTAAGTTCTTTTGAACGTTTGAATAGTTAAAAGATAACTACTCTGAGATTTTTGTAATACTACACGAATATCTGAGGAAATTTAAGCATTATTTGTTGTGATAATAATAAATAGTGCTATTCGGTTTCGCGGGCCGTAAAAAATCGCCAAACTATTGTTGATGTCAATGCTGCAAAAATAATTGCGGCAAGAAAGGAAGTACAGTCAAAAGTCGTTAATCCGGACTCGTCGGGACTTCGACGATTCCGGATTATCGATTTTTCCGGATTATAGATCATCAGTTTAAATCTCGTAAGATGGCATGCAGAAATTCTAAAATTAAAAATATGAAACCGTAATTTATGAAATAAAGAACAATTATGATCTAAAGGGTATCAAAATTTACAAAAAAAAAGCATAATATTTATTTGTTTACTTTATTAAACATTTCTTTCAATGTAAGTTGTTTAAGTTGCTTCGTTTTATGTGATAATACTTTCTGTTTAATTCTATAAACAGGCATAATTTCTTGTTCAGTTACAAAGTTCCGCTGTTCAAGTCCCGTAATTGCTGTGCCGAGAATACCGACTAATTTCTCAATCGAAATTTTTTCGTTTTCACTAACGTCTTTGTCACCTTCTTCATGTCTTTATCCATTTTTTGCAGTAATTCCACTTTTTGTTTGATGGACATCGAAACATACTTTCGTTTTGTAGATCCTTTGGGAGCTCCAGCATTGGAAATTCTATTTGACATAATCGAAAGTTCAAGTTTACTTTCATAAAATTGCTCTTTCAGTCTTCAAAAAATAATAAGCCGCATCCAATTCGAAGATTAAGGAACAACGCAATCATCAACATTAACTGAAATAGATAATTAGATAATTTTAGCTTATACCGTCCGTTATACATTAAACGCGCATGCGAAAACGTATTCTGCGCTTGCGCACACGCATATGCGCAGTCGTAAAGGTCTTACGCGCACGCGTAAATGCCTATGCGCATGTGTCAACGCGGCGCATGCGCAGAAAGTTTTTAGCTTTGAGGTCCGGATTATTGATCATTCCGGATTATGGGTGTCCGAATTAACGATTTTTGACTGTATAATAGTAAATAACTATCTAAGATTGATGTTTTAATTTAGATGAAAGATTAATTTCATGTAATACTTTTTTATTATTATAATTTATATGAAAAAGTCTAAACATGACTGAATGGAAGCATAAGAGTAAATAACTATTTCAGATCATTATTATAATTTATATAAAAATTGCTAAGCATAACTGAATGGATGCTTGCATCGCTATTTCGCTACCGACTTATCGCTAAAGCATAATTTCATCTCGTTAGTTGTTCAAACCTAATTTTCTATAATGAATAATGCCTTTTCTTTGAAAATATTCAGAATCGGAATTCAGAAGCGCAGAATCGCTCACTTATTTGTTTGTCCCTTTTTACAAGGGTAAAAACAATTGGATTTTTGTCAATTTTATTTTACCTTTTAAATGAAAACAGATCGATGTGTACATAGATAAAGTCAACTGAGTGCGCAGTGCCATTTTTGTGCAATTCTAGGATTTTTTTTAAGTGAAAATAGGTCGATGTGCACATGGATAATGAGCATGTGCAATTCTTAAAAACGCGTCAAGCAGTGAGTGATTCTGCACTTTACAAAAATTCTTTTGCCAACTTTTCATCATGGGCAATTTCCAAATTGTTAAAGCCATAGGATATCAAAAAAGGATTTAAAATCAAGAAAGGATTTAAAAATTAAACTGGTATTTCAATGGCGTCTTAAATATAGAACTATATAAACTTACGCAATCTGAAACCAGCGCATACGCTACATTTGGTACGCTGTTAAATGGGCACGTTTGCTAGATTTGGAGCTTTTGCGCATACATTTTCACTGCAATTTATTTACGGCCCTCAAAACAGAAGAGTACCTAATAAATTTTTGTTCCTTTTTTCATCGGACTTGTGCATTCATTTCGTAACGAACTCGTACGCACTCAAAAATATTTGGTGTCAGGAGTGGGGTTTGAATGCAAATAACAAGAGCGATGGAAGATTAATTAAGACAGTTGATATCAGCCGTTGCTGCATTTAAAGGAGAGATGAAAGACTCTGTTAAAGAGATTAAACCCGTTAAAGTGAAGCTGAAAGCTAATCAGGAAAAGATTGAAGCATGACAACAAAAGATTGAAACAGGTCAAGAAGAGATGAAAAGAGAAATTACCTGCATAATAGAAAATAAATTTGAAGCTATGGAAGGCAGAATAGACGCGGTTGAAAACAAAGTTAAGAAAATTGAAGAAAAAGTTTCTTCTGTCAAAGAACAAGTAGAAGAGTTTCGGCCGAGAGTTTCTGCTGTAGAGCAACAAATCGATTATAGAGTTTCTTCTGCGAAAGATCAAATAGATGAAAGAGTTTCTGCTGTGGAGCAAAGAATAGAAGGAAGAGTTTCTGCCGCCCAAACAACAAATTGATGACAGGGTTTCTGAAGCTGTCCCCAAAGAAGCTTGACAGCCTAAAAAAATGCATAGCGACAGCAGAAAATAATTCTGAAGGTTTTAAATTTCTATCTATGCCTGCTCGTCCCTCTCTGAAGTTATCTACATACGATGGGAAGACCTCTTCGCAAGTATATAAGACACAGTTTTCTATAGTGGCAGAAGCAAATGGATGGGATCCCGAAGCTAAGGTCTGTCATCTTGCCGCTTCTTTGAGAGCAGACGCGGCGGATATCCTTCAGACTCTTCCCGAAAACCAGAGACTTGACTTCGAAGCTCTATCCGGCGCATTGTAGCTGCGCTTTGGCGAGAAATGTTCAAAAGACTACAGCAGGCTTTAATTAAAATCCCGTCAACAGAAGCCAACAGAATCACTCCAGGAGCTCGCTACGGATGTTGAAAGGCTGTCCCACCACGCTTTTACTTAGTGCCCGAGAGAAACGAGGGAAATCCTGTCCCTGCAGTATTTTATCGATGGCATCCGTGATTTTGAAATACAGAAAGCTCTACGAATGGCAGATGTTAAAGATTTAGAGAGCGCTCTAGTGTACGCCATGAAATTCGAGGCAGTTCAACAAGCAACTCGTAGAGACCGCCACCCAATCAGAGCTGCTCATGTCTAGGTGCCAAGGGATCAAGTTACGGTTCGTCTAGAAGATATAACCAGACAACTCAATGCCTTGAGAAGAAATATCAATGACAAGAAACCGACCTTAAAATGTTGGAACTGCGGTGCTGAAGGACGCATACGATGAAACTGCAGAACACCCGAGGGTATGGAAAATAAGACCATTTCCCGGCAACGACGGAGGAAACAATTTAATGACCATATCGAGGAACGGAGGTTGCCAAGTAATGAAAAAAAAAACGCTTTAAAGCGCTGAAGATTTCTGCAGGGAATGGCAACAGTAATGGACTATCCATCAATGGGTATATC